TAAACATTGTCGCTGTTGTTGTTAGAAGGGGCATCAGCCTCGAGACTTCCGAAGGATCTAGGCTTTATATCACGAGTCGTCATAATTCTTCCTTCAACTCGGAGTCCAGAGTTTAAGTGGTTTAATTTATTTTTTCTAACTAGCGTTTATTGAGCAAAGTTGTTTTTTACGTGATGAGGTTGGTGACCCCATGCCCAACCGACCTCTTTTGATTGGGCTCGGGACCGGCAGTAACTCTATAAGAGCTACAGGCAGAGTTGTAGATATGAATTATTGAAGTGCTACCTTGTAATCAGTCAGTCAGTAACAACGTAGAACTTCTTACATACGTACATCAGTTCGAGTTACCATACCATATTAGCACACACATACAATTGTCCATTCAAATCCCATAGTGGTACAAGTAGTAAAAGTATAAGCAGTAATCGGAAACATTACGGTTTCAAGATGTTATTCAACCAGTATAATCCAGTGAAATAAATTTGGAAAGAGAAAAAAGAAAGGGTTATGAAGAATTCAGAATATTTGAATTTGGGAGTACACAAAGAGTGGATGAAACTGCCATTGCAAACCATTTTGAGCCATGTCATTCAAGGTCTCTAACCATCGGTTGCTATCATCTCGCGGATCCCAAGCAGGTAGTCTACACCTACCAACGTGACTCAGTCCACTTGACAGTGACATCATGGATTTGTACCATGTTTGATCTGGCTACCCCTAGCTTTCTTCCAACCTACTCCCCTACACCATAAAACATCGCACGTCGGGGCAGTCGGTCGTTGGGCATACGTAACACGTGTCCAAGCCATCTCAACTGATGAAGTTTTACTACTTCATCGTTTGATTTGCCATCCTCACCTAGTACTCGTTTCCTAACAACTGCGTTACTTACTCGGTGGTCCCAGGATTGACGAGCAATGTTTCGAAGACATCTATGATCAAATACTAGCAACCTACGAATATCTTCTATTCTTACCGGCCATGTTTCAGTCATAAATTAGGACAGAACGGACTGCTGCGCGGTAAACACATCGTTTGGTTGGTGTCGGATATCTCGCCTATGCCATAAATGACGCAAGTTGGCAATAGTTGCCTAACTTTCATTACTAACGGAGTTAGATTCTACCATTTGGTCCTCATTATAAAACAAAATCATACAATATAAACCTTTACATTCAATTAATTTTTAGGAAACAATTATGTTCAGAGAACTAGGAATATTTTAAAAAGCGCTGTTCAATTTGGTAGTTTAAAAGATTTTGAAATAATATATGACCGCTAGGAAGTCGAATTCGAAGTTAACAGAACATGTCCTTCTTTGATTAAGAAATGACCTTTTAGTGTTCATATTTATTTCCAAAATATCTTCATGGTGGTTATAATGATTTAAACAAAACAAGAATTGTGTACACAGAAAGTTTACGCACAAATTTTAAACTTATAATTGACTAACTAAAAGTTCATCTATGTAACCCTCCACATTTGACTGTTTATGACAAAACTAGACCATGAACTATAAATCTTATGCGAAACAACGAAATGTAATAACAAGTTATTGTATAGATAGTTTATCTAAAAATTATAGTCTTATTTATTAACATCTGTGTTCAGTCCTATAAAAACAGTACATTGAATCAATTGAAATACAAAGAGGATAGCACAAAAAGGGCATATCGATGACCATTATGGATTTAGCACTTAAGAGAATGGATGTATTATCGCACGGCATTCGTAATTAAAAATAATGAACCCATGTTGAAACAGAGATATCATTCCAGTGTCCGTAAAACATTTATTATTCATGAAGGGTGGTCGCAGTTTAGAAAACATAATCTTTGTTTCGGTAAAAAACCAGTACAATATGTGTCACTTGTGATTGTTTGTATTGATTTGCATATGAACGCGCATACACATTGATTCTTAACGCTTATCAAATATCTACAGGATACATGAGCAAACTGAACCATTATGATTTCATTTTAAGGCGAGACTATAATTTATCGACGAACCAATCACGTATAAGATAACAGGTCTCGGATTTTGGTGCGACATTCACTGATCCATTTTAGTAAATACAGTCTTGGCATTATAGCTGTAGTCAGTTAGTGATGAAAACCCTAAATTGAATTCCTTACCTTAACCACCAACTGTAAATCATAATTCTAATTCCTCATACTAATTTATAACCATCATTTGGTCCTAGTTATTACGTGGATACTGTCAAGGTCACTTTAGCATCACTCAAAGATCGTCCATAAATTATAGTTCCACCCATTTTAATTTGTTTTTTGATATCTTAACTGAGATTTGGTTAGTTTTAGTTGGAATGCAGTTACACATAGCTGATAAGTTTAAACTAGCACGAAATGCAAGCTGTGAGTTGCACTACAATCAAGATTCTATTTGTTCTATGAATTATGATTTTTATTGAAACATGATTTAAATTGCCCAGAAAAACCGTAAGATACTGAGTGATTTTTGTACTGAAAAACTCAAGAGGTTCAGAGACATCTATGAGGATTGAAAGAACCATAGGACCTTATTTCGATAGAAATAATGTGCATGAGATAGCTTATGTTTTCCAGTTGTAAGACGAGTAATGATGAGGCGAGTGAATTGTTTATTTTAGTGGAAATGATTCGAATCTAAACAATGATGTGCTGTCACAAATGGAGAATATTGAGTAGGGGGTTCGCGCACGAGACTGAAGGCCCTGGGTTCGAATCCCGCGGAGCGGGATCATGGATGCGCACTGCTGAGGGGTCCCACAATGGGACGAAACGGCCGTCCAGTGCTTCCAGGTTTACAACGGTGGTCTAACAGAAATCGATTCATGATCTCAATAAAAAAATTAGTGTACCCTGGAATGTTTATAACCTTAATAAGTATATTTATCAGACAAATTACTAAGAAAATTCAGTCAATCATTAACAACATTGAACTTAGTCTACGTTATCACACCTCATATCATTTCAACAACAAGAAATCAACATGATGAGTAATAATGTCTAAACATGAGAACTACAATCCAAAAGGAAACATTACAAATGAAAGTTAGATATTTAAGGTAGAAAATGTATACAACTTTATCATTATGACTGATTCCACTCTATATCACATCTAATCACTGATTATAAACACTTTTTTTATTTCAGGTCTTCCTCAAACAGTCTATATTTACTAATGTAGATTAAACAATACAAGAAACGGCACATAGACAATACAGAGATAAAATCATTTATTTCTGATAATATAATTGAATAACAAACAACAAGAATGTTAAGCATTAAGTTTTTTTTAAAAAAAAAAAGGGACAATGAAAACCATTTCATCAAACAAACTGTAAACACACACAAAAAAAGAAACAAACCTATGTGCGCATAGATACCTATGAATAAATAGGAGAAAACAAAATACATATATATGTATATCACATAGTTTATTTGTAATTCAAATGGAGAAAAACAAACAAACTTCCATGTATGTGTGTATATATATATATGTATAATAATACATAAGACCAGAAGAACAAACAAACAAAGAGTACATTCAGCATAGTGTTTATATGAAATTAATTCTTTAATACAAATAGAAAACATTCTTTCATCTTTAGAACTGTAGAAAAAAAGAAAGAGAAAAGAAAGAGAAAAGAAAAAGAAAAGAGATAATAGATCATAATGAATATATTTGATTGTAATAAAATGTAGACGATTTGTATCAATCGTTTATCTTGACAACTATCATTTATACACTGATATAATAATACCTAAATCGGTAGATAGATAGGCAGACAGATAGACAAAAATGAAAGTGAACAAACGATGGAAAACCGAAGTAACTAAGATGAAAACCAAAAGATAAAAACAAAACAAAACAAACAAGCCATTACTTTCACTACATAAAGCATAAATGAATAGACCCGGTAAATTTATATTTCTATGTATATTATTGTCATATATGATAATCAACAATAAATGATAACCAAACAATAAAAGTTTTCTTTGAAGTATATATATAGTTATCATTGAAATTGTTTGTAAAAAAATAAATAAATATTTAATAATTTTTTTAAAAACTAATTATTTGTAACCGGGTTATTTAAACAAATCAGCTTGTTAAAATACAATAAGCAATAAATTTGCCGATATTTAATTGTTATATAATAGTGAAACTTAATGGGGAGAAAGGAAGGAAGGGAGGGAAGGAGGTAGAGATAGAAAGAGTAACAATGATAACTTGAGAAGTGATCAAAATGTTAAAGAAATATGATTATAAACTGTAACACAAAATTAAAAAAAAAGGGGGAAAGACAGAAAGAATTGAATAGACAGTGAGTAAATCTTATCGATTCAATCGTTATTCAACCCTATATAAATTAATACAAACAAAACAGCTTGAAGAATAAGGTAAGATAAGATAATAATAATAATAATAATAATAATAATAATAATCATAGAGACAATAGAGACTTATTATGATGTAATATCTGAAAGGGGGCAATATGAATAATAATGCAAAAAAAAAACCAAGACAACAAAAGCGATATTGTTAATGAATGATCTTATGTACTATATTGAACAATATGAACTTACTAAGCAAATACATACAAGAGTGAATATGTACATTCTAGAAATATAAATATCTTTATATGAATTCGTTTGATGATACAATGAAAGAGCTGAGGAGAGACCAAACGTTAGCATAGAATTACTCGATTTTCTTTGTAATATTATGGTCAGAGGTATTTATCATTATTAATGTTAGTTAGTATATTAGTTGGTAATATATATATAGTGTACATATAGATATTACTTGGCACTTTATTGATAATCAATTAACTATTGGTAATCATGTTGACAACAAGTAAGCAAATGTAAACAGTAGGAAAAGAAAAGGTAATGTTAGTGATCCATCTTAACAGTTGACGAATTAATCAATAAAGAGAAAGATCTAGCAAGATGAGAAAACAATAGGTAACTGGTTTGGTTTTTTTGTTCCTATTATTTATTATTACTCTTTGTTATCATTCAATTTATGATTGTTATCGTTAGAACTGTTAAAGTGACTTTCTTCATGTTGTTTTTGAGATACTATTTCCCCAGGCAATGTACCACATGATAATAATTGTCCGTATATTTGTCTACTGTTATTAACATTACTATTGTTATTATTATTACTACTCGCAGTAGTAATAGTAGTATAAGTAGTAGTGGCCGGTGGACCGGCAGTGATACATGTATGATTAAAAATATCTAGACTGCCATCAACTATTGTACTAGTACTAGTCCTTGTTGTATTACGACTAATCATATATTCATGATTTGAAGGTAAATGATCCAGCTCAGGATCATCAGATGTTGACAGAGATGAAGAGGTGATACGACATAGTGATGTAATCAAATGGTCATTTCTCTCATCTATTTCTTCTCCTTCATCATCATCAGCACCATAATCATCATTGTCGTCCTCTTCCTCCTCAACATCAGCATCATCATTCTCTTCACTTTTTCCCCAACTTGAAAATCGATTATCATATTGAGTTTCGTTGTTATTTTTGTTAACAATGGTGATTTGTTTCTCATCACTGTTAGCATTATCATCATCATCAAGATCACCGTCATCATCTTGTACACTATCATTTTCAATCACACCAATCATATCGTTTGGAAGCGTCACAATTGAAGGGATCTAGATTATACAAATATATGATAATGAGAGAGATGAATGAAATAGACTTTGATATGAAATTCACTTGAAATTCGATACAAAAAAGTACAAAAATAGTTGGTGCACATGATTATGTATCACATGAAATATAAATTATCGAAAAAATAATATTGGCAAATGATATTAAACTTTGGATGAGTTAAAGTAAATGCCTCTATCATGGTATTTTACGAAATTTCTTCGATAATACCTCAGAAATGATAAAAAATAAACAGTTGTGAGAAATAATTAGTGATAACCAATTTTATAGATTTATGTTCTTCGTAATGAAATCGGCTTTATATAAGAAAAAAGCAGTTTGGTATCCCGCCAAAAAAACACGACAACATCAACTGTGGCAAAGAAATTAGTGAAACACCTGACTGAAAACTTCGGTGTCCCAACAACAATTACGAATGACCGTGGGGCCCAGTTTGGAAGCGAACTGTTTCAGCAATTTACGGATACTTTCGGTGAAAAGAAGATTAGAACTAGAGCATATCATCCGACTGCTAACGGGATGATAGAAAGGTTCCATCAACAGCTAAGGGCCTCATTGAGTTTTTCTGGAAAGATTACAAATGGGATGTCAAGCTTCTTTTGGTACTATCAGGCATTCGCTCAACTGTTAAACAAGACATCGGTTGTTGTGCTACTGAGTTGAGTTGGTTGATGGAACAACGTTACGTTTGCCTGACAAATTTTCTGACTGTCCAACAGATATTCTAGCAGACATAACCGACTACGTACAACAATTAAAACAACGGATCGAATCTATTAAGTTCGTTGAACCACGAACCCAGAAAGTGAGATCATTCACATCCATTTACACTGGATAAATGCTCACATGTATTCGTTAGAAATGCTAAAGTACGACAGCCCATACAGTCTTCATAACGGTTTTTCTAAAACCATCTGGAAAGATGGTAAATCAGTCACAATAGAAAGAGCAAGTAAACATGACATTGTTAGCATCGATAGAGTGAAACCAGAGTTTTCAGAGAGCGCTGAAAAACAGACAACGATGAAATTGTTTAAATGTACAGAAAAGCAAGCACCACACAAGCTATCTGCAACAAACAGTACTTCATACTTTAGGGTTTAGTGTTGCTTAAAGTTGATATCAGTGTACAGAAATCGATATCAACTTAAGAATTTCTAAATAATCCACTAGTTTCTATTGTATACATAATCCATTCGTACAGTAATACTCATGGTAGTTTATTTAACACTGCAGCTGAGTGATATAGGTTCGTATTCTTTAAACAGTAAAAATGACTAACAAGCTGACTTTCAAACTTCTACCATTAGACGTGTTCTAATCTTTCTTTATTTTAACAGGATGATAATAATACTGATAATAAACTGTTAGGCATGTTGACAGTGAGGTTAAATAAACAAAGTTATTAAAAAATTCTTTTAAAAACAAAGAAAGTTTAATAATCGTTTGATTGTTAATGGCTTAAGTATTCATCAAAGGATAGATAGGGAAATTATCATTAACAAAGGATAGCTCAGCATGATAAGATAAATGTTGAAATTGAGATTAAATGTAATGAGGATGATCGTGAAGACAAAGTAAACTAGTTGGGGGATAGAGGATTTGAGGGGAAGATGGAGGGTGAAGCAGATGGCTGTGAAAGGAAGAAGAGTATGAAAAAAGAGAAAAATAAAAAATTACAAGAAATCAGGACTATGGTAGAAGAAGAGGTTGTACCAGTCGTTTTTGCACACAATTTCTAATCTTTCAACAAATGAAAAAGTAGTTACATAATGAAAGTTTTATTCTAATTTCAGTCGAATTAAGTAGAATATTTACTTATAACAATGTCAGTAACCCTGTTATGCGTTTCTAATTAAAAAAAAACTTTTTTAATTTACAAGAAACGCTCATAAGCTATAAATGTTTTGAGTATCGCCTAGCTTGTATGGGGTTTTCAAAGTTGTTTATTTATTTGAATAAATAAATGCTGGTACAAGGAGGCACTAAACAGATATGCGCCACATAAATCATTCGATTTACTACCCGGGTGCCCAGATAGAAGTAGATGGTTTTCTTAGGGGTCACACCTCGAGCCTTCGACCTAAAGATCTGATTCACAAGGCAGGAAGTGCAGTCCCATGATAGCCAGTGACCGAAAATTGGTTCATACGCCATTTGTTCTATCAGGAGATCCTGGATCCCATGTACACTATTGGTTTGGAATCAGGGTTTTCCAACTACCGTAGGTGGATCCTCCATATCCACCAACCCCGTTAAAGCAACGGACGTCCACTTTTCGTCCTCTCAATTTCGCAAACCACAGTCCTGCCGCGAGAATACAGTGAGTGTATACGCGTGTGTGTGAGAGCATTTCGAGAGGGAGAGCGAACTCTCCCCACCTTCGGCCATACTATGGTATTTTGAGGCGTTTTCAAAGATAAAACAATCATATGACTCTGACAAACATCAATAAAATTGAGATATAAGCTTAAATAAATTCATTTAACAGACTGATTCTCAGTTCAATAAATTATTTAGATAGATAACTTGAATATCAAGTGATTTCACTATTATTTGAGTATGTCAAATAAAAGGTTTTTATAAGAAGCGATTCCTTTCAAAGGACTTGTAAAAATTGTATTGTCCACTTCATTTCCTGTAAAATCACTTTCTGATCAATCAGAATAGTCTGTAAAGATGATTACTTTTGAATAATAATAAAAAACACAACAGATATCTAACTGAAATGTGTACTATAGTTTGACGTCATGCATGGATTTCACAAGTGTAACTTGGAGGTTCTTGAAATTCGAAATCGAATAAGCAAAATTATAAACATTTTATATACTTGGCTAACAAGTTTCATTCAATCAGTGTATTATATTGGTGGAGAGAGCTTTACAAACATGCCTAAATTGGTTTAATATTTTTCGCGTGAATTAATTCTAATCCTACCTTAAAATAATGAATCCACCGGACATCGAAGCAGCACACACAGATCTTCCTATAGATGTCAACCCACCAACGACGGAAGAAATTAGAATGGCCGTCAGACAAATCAAGAACGGGAAAGCAGCAGGACCCGACAACATACCAGCTGAAGCACTGAAATCAGACATCGAAGCAACCACAAGCATGCTTACCTTCTATTCAAAAAGATTTGGGAGGAGGAACAAGTGCCAATGGACTGGAAAGAAGGACACCTCGTCAAGATTCCAAAGAAAGGAGATCTGAGCAAATGTGAAAACTACAGAGGCATTACACTACTGTCAATACCAGGGAAAGTCTTCAACAGAGTGTTGCTGAACCGGATGAAGGATGCAGTAGACGCCCAACTTCGAGATCAACAAGCTGGATTCCGTAAGGATCGGTCGTGCACAGACCAAATTGCAACACTACGGATCATCGTCGAACAATCAGTTGAGTGGAACTCATCACTATACATCAACTTCATTGATTATGAAAAGGCATTCGACAGTGTAGATAGGAGGACATTATGGAAACTTCTTCGACACTACGGAGTTCCTGAGAAGATTGTCAACATTATCCGGAACTCATACGACGGACTACAGTGCAAAGTAGTGCATGGAGGACAGCTGACAGATGCATTCCAAGTAAGGACTGGAGTCAGACAAGGCTGTTTACTCTCTCCCTTCCTCTTTCTTCTGGTGGTCGACTGGATTATGAAGACCTCAACATCTGAAGGAAAACACGGAATACAATGGACAGCTCAGAATCAATTAGACGATTTGGACTTCGCAGACGACCTAGCCCTCCTATCACGTACACACGAACAGATGCAGATGAAGACAGCCAGTGTAGCAGCAGTCTCTGCATCAGTAGGCCTCAGCATACACAAAGGGAAAACCAAGGTCCTCAAATTCAACACGCAGAACAGCAATCAAATCACTCTTGATGGCGAAACTCTGGAAGATGTAGAGTCCTTCACATACCTGGGAAGCATCATCGATGAACAAGGAGGTTCAGATGCAGACGTAAAGGCGAGGATCGGCAAAGCAAGGGTCGCATTCCTACAATTGAAGAACATATGGAACTCAAAACAACTTTCAACCAATATCAAAGTGAGAATCTTCAATACGAACGTCAAGGCAGTTCTACTGTATGGAGCTGAAACTTGGAGAACTACAACAACCACAATCAAGAAAGTACAAGTATTTATAAATAGCTGCCTACGCAAGATACTCAACATCCACTGGCCGGATACCATCAGCAATAGCCTTCTGTGGGAGAGAACAAACCAACTTCCAGCTGAAGAAGAAATTAGGAAAAGACGATGGAAATGGATAGGACATACATTACGCAAATCGTCAAACTGCATCACGAGGCAAGCCCTAACTTGGAACCCTGAAGGGAAGCGAAAAAGAGGAAGGCCAAAGAACACATTGCGTCGGATTATAGAAGCAGATATGAAAAGGATGAATTACAACTGGACGGAGCTGGAAAGGATTGCCCAGGACAGGGTTGGATGGAGAATGCTGGTGAGTGGCCTATGCTCCTTCACGAGGAGTAACAGGCGTAAGTAAAACTACCTTAAAAATAATCCTATTCACTAACTGTAATTTCTAACGCTAATTACTAATCTTTTAACCTAAATTTTTAACATAGTTGTATTTTCTCACCTAAATAATATAAAATAATCTTGTGGAGCAGGCCTTTTTCTTGCGAATACGTTATCACTACATTACTATTGGAATTCGAACTGCTTTTGCAACCTCAAGTGGTGTCCGTCAAGGCTGTCCACTTCCTCCATTTTTGTTTAACTTCATCATAGACCTATTGATGGAAATAACACTCTCGTCGACTGAATTCTCGGGTATTGATCTCCTTCCAGGAGGTCCACTTATCGACTTAGAATACGCAGATGACATAGTCCTGTTTGGTGAAGACGCTGACAAAATGCAGTCTTTTGGTAGCACTAAGCAACAATGCCAGAATCTTTGTAATGCGCTTCTCTCCCTCTAAATGCAAATTGTTGATTCAGGATTGGCCTGCGTCAACACCTGAACTAAGGATAGGGAGTGAAGTAGTCGAACGCGTCGACCACTTTACTTATCCTGGAAGTCTGATCAGCCCTAATGGGTTGGTGTCTGACGAAATCTCAGCACGGATTCGAAAAGCTCGTTTGGCTTTTGCCAACTTACGTCACCTATGGCGAAGGCGAGATATCCGTCTATCAATAAAAGGACGAGTGTACTACTCAGCATTTCGTTCTGTTTTACTTTACGGATACGAAACACGGATATTAAGAGTAGAAGATATTCGTAAGCTACTAGTATTTGACCACAGATGCCTTAGAAATATTGCTGGCGTCTGCTGGATCACCAGGTAAGTAATAGTGAAGTTAGACGCAGGGTAATAGGGAATGATGGTAAATCAGTTGATGAGGTTGTGAATCTTCATCGACTGAGATGGTTGGGCCACGTTCTACGTACGCCTGAACACCGATTACCACGATGTGCAATGCTAACCGGTGTTGGAGATGGTTGGAAGAAAGTTAGGGGCGGCCAAACCAAAACGTGGCATCAGTGCTTGAAGTCACTAACTTGTAGTCTGAGCCATGTTGGTAGATGCAGACTACTTGGTTGGGGTCCGTGTGACTTTCGTAACCAATGGTTGGAGACTCTTGGTGACATGGCTCACAATTGATCACAATGGCGTCGGTGTATACACTCTCTGTCTTCCCTTAAACTATGAGACTAAGATTATTTTATATCTCTCTATCTACGTACTAAATCTTTCTTCCTGTACTATATCCTTATTGCAATCTTTCTTTTATATATTACCACCTCTGAATTAACTACTTTTATGAATCCGGTGTCCATCTTGTTGTGTTAATGAGGTATGGCAACTTGGAACGATGTATATATGGGCCTGGCCCTACGTTGTAGCTGACTGACTATTGGAATTAGTAGGTATATGATCAATAGTCAATCAGTATATTTGTACCATGTGCCCATTACCTTCAAACTGAATTTTAACACCCGATTGGCTTATCACCGTACTCTACTATTAGTGTATAGTTCATGCAAGGTGGAACTGTTGAAGTAGTCAGTATTAAAATTAAGTTTACGGTATTAGATCAAGATAGGAGAATTCGTTGATTTGGTTGTATTAGTCAATTATATTAGTTACGACATTATTTACATATATCTAGACACTATCTATACCATAATACAATGTTGGCTAAACTAAACTGAGAATAAACAATAAAATCTAAAAAAAAGAATTAATCATCTAAACTAACCAAATTCATTAAAATTCGTCCAGCTTGTTCCAATGCTTCTATTGTTTTTTCTTTATCATCAAGCCAATTATCCGATGTGTCTAATTTCAAACTATCCAAAGCTGATGCAGTAAGCTATTATGTCATAGAATAAATATAATAAGATAAACTTTAATATACACAACATAGAAATTTGAAAAAAAAATATACATGAAAAGAAGATGGCTGATAGTAACAGTGCCTAATGCGGCATAGTTGTCACAGTTATTGAACAAAACATTACATTAAATATATATATCGATTTTAAAATATTGCTGTACCCAAATCAAAGGAATGTGCACCTAATAAGCTGATGAGTTACAAGTCAATCGGGCGCAAGCAATGTAGAACCTACGTACATACATTCATCAGCTCAAGATGTCACATCAAATCAAAGTAAATCGAGATAAATTTGTCATGACAAATACTAGCTAGAGTAATAAAAGTAGTAACAGTATCAGTGGTACTAGAAAAAATCAAACATAGACAATGTTATTCGTGAAGAGTAAATCGATTCGTGGGATAGGAACGTAAATGTTACTCTTCAAAATTACGTCCTGAAGGAATAATACAAAGAGTGAATTTATATGTAAACTGTGACCAAGAGTAATGCCACCAAACGTTCTTAATTATTGGTTGTGATGATTGCGTGAACTTTAAACAGATAGTCTGGATCAATTAAACGACTCAGTGCAACAATTAATAATTTAATAAACTGACGATATAACCAGAAAACATAAATCATAAAGCCAGTACAAAATGGTATTAGCTATATTAGTAAAATTTATGATTGACAAACCATACTTATGCACGGTACTATTGATTGTTTCTCGTCGGCATTGTTTCATCACTGCGATGGCACCCTTATGCCAAAACAAATGTACAATTTAAAACAATTAGCCTCTTTGATAAATATCGATAATTATCAGAAGGGGTTTTGTGGAGATTTTAGTAATTCCAATAGTTGAAATTACTAAAATCTCCACAAAACCTCTTCTGATAATAATCATCTACTCACTAGTGACTGACTACAAGAGGCATTTCCTGGAGTTATAGTGAGAAGCCGTGACCAGTGAAATTGAACCAGGTCTGTTTGTGAGATATCAGCTCACTAAAGACAATGGTGTAAGGTGGCGCAATTTGTGGATTGGTAGAAATTAGACATAACACCGTTGGATGCTGGCCGGCATAGTGGTCTAATGGTTAAGCTCTTGCGCGCGAGACTGATAGGTCCTGGGTCCGAATCTCGCGGGGGGAGGGATCATGGATGCGCACTACGGAGGAGTCTCAAAATAGAACGAAACGGCCGTCCAGTGCTTCCAGGTTTTCCATGGTGGTCTAGCTTCAATTGACTCATGATTTCAACTAATGAAATTTCGATAATGCAATGAGAAGACGAAGCTTATCAGAATTATGTGATATACTTGTGCAATATATTTCGAACAATCTGATCACATATTCATGTTAAGACATTTTATATGAAAATTAAAAGGTCAACTAGACAGGTTAAAGGTAAGCCATAACAAAGAAAAAAAATAGTACACAAAAACAATATGACAACCACTCTGGATAATAAATCAGTATTACCAGGGTAAGTTACAAGTAAGGACAAATTGTTTATGAACTCATAAAGGGGGTTTCAATTTCCGTATAGCCAAGGCTTCATTAATAAACCTTAGTATATATCCTTGAAAGCTTTTGTACAACATTACAAATGTTGACTTGATGTCAAAACCTTATGATAAATCTCAATTAAATATTTCGCAATGAAAGATGATGTTTGTTTATCTTGTGATTTTATTTCAAATTTGATAATAAAATCCTCAACAAACTGGAAGTTATATACTTACTTTGATTGAATTATGATAGAAATCAATATCTTGAATCATTCAATACAACATCATTCAACTAACTAGAGATTAATGATTATCATTTTATTATAATTTGATCAATAGAATTTCAAAGAATAATGGTAACACAATTCAGGTAACATTTTACAGAGTATAAATACAGATACATAAATAGATTTTTAGTAATTTTATGTGGCACTACTCTACAACATTCACTTGTCGCATATTTTATGGAATAAATTCAATGCCAAATTTATAGATTAGAAAAAAAAAAGAATATTTACATTGTTTTTTTTCAATAATAAATGTTATATATATATATATATGACATAATGATATTGGTTTATCTAATCCACCAAGATATAGCACAATAATAATCATAATCATAGATTAGTACAACTAATAATGATTCATTGAAATGTAAATCAATAAATCTATTAGCAAGTAATATTATTAAGATGAAAGTGTAGTGATCAAGAACACCAGTGTGGGACAATCGAATAGTAATTGTAAATGCAAAATTACAGAACTTGTTAATAAAATCTAACAATCATATAGTAAATGCTTAATTTGCAAAATGTCCATCAATTGTCTGAAAATAACTCAGACTTGATTGTTTTTGCATTTTCATACAAATTGTATTCTGTTTCCATTCTTTACTGTTCGATCCTTTTGTCTCTCTGCTGCCAGATATTCTGTTCACGACTAGCGTCATATACTACATATATGGATATAAGTATCCCACACCCCACTCGTCCCTACTCCTTTAAAACATTTGTTCTTGCGGTGGTTCTGCTCGCCGTGCCACTTTCTTCTTCGCTGCAGTCTGTGCCACGCCATCCGTCAAGGTGACGAGTCTGCGGAGCGCTGACCTCCATAGCACTGTCAACCTGCCGGGGCACTAACACCCGACATCCACCCGGCACCTGGGACGTTTAGCACCCGTGCTTCACAAGCATGCTGAGCCATCTACATCAGATGTTCGCTCAGCGGCATCCACACGTCCCATCGTTCCTCTCCGTCGACAGCACTCGCCACAACCAACGCCGCCCCGCCAGAACACTCAACTCGACGCCACCTCTCCGCACTAGACTTCTCCGACTAGCAGCTAGACTCCAGGCATTCTAATTCCTTTCTTTGTTGTTCGATCCTCTTGTTTCTCTGCTGCCAGACATTTTCTTCCTGACTAACATCATATAATACTTATATGGATATAAATAATCCACACCACAAAACTTGATACTTTCGAATAAATTGTGAATGGAAAATAACATTTGTGACGTTTCCTAACCCAGTGTTAGTTACTTATTTAGAGAGTACGTAAATTGAACTAATTAAATTATCTCAAGGTTAAATATCACAAAAAGAACAAATGGAAATATTTTGTGAAAGTCAATTACATATTGATTCAGTGTTTTTTTTTCGAGACATGTTTGCGCATTTGTGTGTTAATGAGTGTAACATTTGTAATATAAACAGTTGAATTCGTATGTATGATAATAGTATGAGATGTGAATAGAAACAGATATGGCAGTTTGGATAGATGGTCCAAGTTTGATGAATGGTAATGCTTTCATTTCTTTTGGGGGAGTAGGATTTGGCAATACTTGAAAAGTTACAGCTACTCGCTTTTCCTTACAATTGTGAAAGCCTACACGAATCATTTATTATTTTTAATACTGGTTTAGTGGTCAATAAAGGTAGCACAGACTACAAGCTACAACTAAAATACCAATTATACGAGAGTATGTACAGCCTGGTGTCACAATATACACGGATGATTGGAGAGCATATCGATGCCTATCTAGAGTTGGTTATGTGCATCATATTGTCGTTCACAAGCGAAATTTTGTGTAACCCATCAGGAGAGTTGTGGAGGTTAAAAGAATTTTTGCGACCTTATTATGGCCTCCAGAGGTCGACTATTATGGAGTTACATAGATGAGTTCCTATATCGTATGCATTGCAATTTCAGAACTACAGAGCCCCATTTCTAATCCTGAAAAGTTTTTAAAACCATTTTGAAGAAGTATATCCACTATAATTTTTTAGTTTTATATAATACATTCTTACTCTCTACTGACTTTTCTGATTGGTTGAAGTTTCTCAAGGTAACTTGAGATTATGGTCTTGCAATTATGCCATAGGTAGGGAAATAATTCACTTATGACATAATCATTTGTGTATACTTACGGAGTTTTACAAAATGTTTGCAACTAATCGAAAACCTAACTACTGAGAAACTTAAAAATTTATACCATGTTGATTTAGAGACATTTATCTCATCTCTTATTCAGAGGTATAATCATCATAGAATACATATGTCAAATATGTTTAGCAATAAGCAACGACAAGTCATGGGGATATGTACAGATGAATATAAATAGCAGTAAATCATTGTTTAAAAACTATTTATTCGTGAAATATTGACAAAATAATGACTTGCAAAACGTGAACTTTAGCCTAGGAATCATGTTTTCCTAAGAATTTATTTAACGCATGAAGAAAAATAGAATAATAACGATAGATAAATAAGAATAATACTACTATTATAACCACTAATATAACAACAGTTGCTCATTAATACTAATACTATTGTTAGGCTTACCTCACTTAATACTTTAACCAAATAGATTTCGTTGGATAAATAAGTGATAACATCCGGATCCGTGAATAGTAAATTAAGGAATAAATAAAATACTTGATATGCAGCAGTATTTGTTTCATAAATAAAATTGGAATTTAATAGTTTGAATAAATCAACATCATTGGAATCTTTAAATGAAATAAAAGAAAGAGTGAGAAATGAGAGACCGAAAGTGATGATCACATCAGAAAAAAATGCATTCATCGTGGTTTGACCTTAGTCGAGATACAATTGAAAACTATGGACATTTATCCCGTCCTAGCAAAGAATTCATCAGCCGAGAGCATTCCATCTGACTGAGATCGCAGTATGTGATGAATATCATCGACACATTAATTTAATCTCCACAAAATTTACTTCTATCAAAAAGCTGTACATCAAATTATTTCGACCAAACAAGTTTTTTGTAGTTTGCCTCAATATAACCGTTTCACCTCAAGCTTCCAGAATAAATGGATCTTGGCTAACAATGGAATCCACGATGTGCGTTTCCTTCTATTTATGCTTTCATCAGCTGGGTGTAGTACCTGGATCCTATTGTTGACATTCATGTTAGGACTCTAACTTAGCACTCACCTACTGAATCCAGTTAGTCAACGAGGATGTCTATATCATTAAAAAAGGGTTTAAGTGGTTTAAACATAATCTACCTGTTTTATATAAGAATAGTAATAAAATGAATAAGTTAAATTAGTGAACTAAGGTTATGGTAATGAAAGTGGGATTACGTAACTTGCGTATACGCAATACCTTTCTATTTCAATTCATATAGATACATTTAAATCAGTCTGAAGAGTCACTGATTTCACTAGTGCTCTTTGTGAATTTCATTCACTATGACAAAATCATGCTGGCAAACACAAATACATATTTATTGCAATAATTAATTTTTTTTTACGGATACATAAATGGCATAAACGTTTCGGAAAATAGAAACTGGTAAAGAAAAAAAAGACAAATTTCTTATATTGTTGAAATCAAACAAAATATTGGGAGGAGATCAGTCCTTTTTTGTAAGAGAAAACAAGTAAAGAGAATTTATCGAAGAACATTTTTCTCTTGACGAAATCATTCAGTTAAGTTGTACATTCGTATTTATAGTTATATGGAAAATATGTCTATAGGAGGATAGAAAAGATTGCATCATAAAATAGATTCGAGACTCATATTATCACAAAGAAACTCATTTGACGTTGAAGAGAAATTGTTATTGACTTAAGCTTTAGTTATACACTAACAAAATTACTCAGATGATAACTTATAACTTAAAAGGCTGACGAAATATTACGTATTTATTATAGTGACCTAATAACCGAATGAATTAATGTTAAAGTAAGTAAGAGAGATTGAATACAAGAGAAAATCTTTCATCTTAACTCTATTCACGGTGTCATACTACATGTGTAAGTTTTACTGCAGAAGTTTCTTTTACAAAATGCTTGTATTATTTATAAACTTTGAATGGAAATTAAAAAGATTGACATTTTTCAAATACAGTAAGTTCTCGATAACCATTGAAAATCCTCTCTAACTGGTTCACACAATTTAAGAAATCATCTAAGAAACATAAAATATAAACTACTTTTGTTTGATTTGAAATTTTCGATACGATAGGATAAGTCAATTGTAGCTCAGTTATAAATTTAGTTTAATAAGACTGTCAATATTAATCCGGTTTAATATTCCTATTCTACAATTTGAAATATCCTTCAACGATGTGGGCAACCGAGAAGTATCGTTCACAAATTTAGAACAGTATTTGACAGGCATTTACCAAACAGAAATAATAATAACAATATCAATAATAATGATAATAATAATAATAATAATAATAATAATAATAATAATAATAATAAGGGCGATTACAGTTTCTAAAGGTAACTTACAGCTAAACAGAAGACGTATACGTACAGATTTTAATGAATCTGACACCTGTAACAGACGTTCTAACAATTTTAATATGCTGTCTAAATCACATGGATGCAAAATGGAATAAACTAATTCCCTGAGAATAAGATCTGAAAAATTCATATTTTCATAAGAGAGGAACTATGAAAAAGAAAACAAACAAATACACGAAAAATAAAAAAAGTAGGCAAAATGGAAAAATAAAATAAGATCGATAGAAACATCTTATAAATGACAATGTTTTATTGTCCCGATATATATTTAACACTTAGGAAGTTATGTAATCCAGGATGAGTGTTTTGTCTGATCTGACTGGTCATTTGAATATATCTAAGAACTCGTACCGGGGTTCACACTGAGACGCGAACACAGAGAACATCTTCCTTCAAATGCACGTGTTATACACTGAGCGATCGAGTCTAGATGGTTACTAACTGGTTGAATAGGTATAGAGGTATTAGTCGTGATTTGTAACTTCTCATTGCTGATATGCTGAATTATGACCGAGTAGTTACAGTTCCTATATGTTAATCCTGAGTTGATCGGCTAAATTTATTGTTATGCCACACGCTTAAGTATATCAAAAATAATAAATCTTGAGATTTAACATGTCGAAACATTCCACTCAATATATATATATATATATGGGAACAGGAGCTGGTCAATCACAATAATGCATATATCAACAAAAGGACATAATATAAGTCTACGAATTTTTGATGAGAACTTTAGTTACTATTGACATCGAATGTAGAACCACAGAAAACTGTGAGACTAAACAAATGGTACCTTCTTACTTGAAACTCTTGATCGTTAATGTTGGGGCTGACTAATATAGTGTTAACTTGAATCAGATCAGATCAAAAAGCCAGAGCTTTGCATCCAAAAAGAAATATGTTCAGCCTTTCCTTTTATCCTGGCCAATTAGTTAATAATCAATGTAAATAATGTTCATTTCTATGTCCCAAACTTATCATTATGTTTACTATTATTATTATTATCTTTATGACTTATTACTATTACACTTGATAAACTTTTTGAGAAATTTATCCAGTATCCACCCCTATCTATTATATCTGACCTAGTTCATATTGTTCTACATATTGCGTGAAATCTGATATTTAGTCCTTTATTCTCCCCCCACTTCATGTTGTCCATATTTATTCTGATCATATATCTCACAATTTCATTTCACTTATAAACTGATTCAAGTCAACAACTTCATATTCGTCAGCCCCCAACAACAATCCTTGATTCACATATTACAATTTTATATGATGTACTCTGCCATAAATCTGACCAATTTTGTGGATTATTAATTTGGATTTATAATTGTAGAGTATCTGATGAGACATTCATTGAAATGAATATTCTTCGTTTATATATTTGTGGTTTCTACCAGTCAATGAAATTTCAAGTTTTTTTTTCTAAATAAGCATAATGAAGTTGCTTTACTGGTAAATTTTCTCTTAAGTTTGTGATCTATCATGAAACTGTAATGCATATGATTAAACACTGGATATAATAAAAAAAAACAACAATATTTGATAATAGCACATCAAACGTAAATACTTTTGAAAACTAACCAATAGAATATCCGAAATAGGCTTAAATGTGATTGGATTAAGGAGTGACCCTGTGAAACGTTTAACAATACGTTCTGATTGGTTGGAAAAAAATAATTGAATTAAAGAATTAGAAAGAGTGACCAATGGAGTAGATGTTACACAATAAGGATTGTGCTGATTGGTAGATACTGACTTAGCTTGTGTATCAGTTAAAAATGATTCTGAAATTATTGGACAAGTTCCATGCGGTTCACAACATTTCTCTGTTTTGTTTAATTTATGTGAGACTTGGTCTTCGGTTTTTGCTGAAGAATAACAATTAGCAGATGAGGTTGTTGTAGAAAAGATGGTGATGACGAAGATAATCGTGGTGAGAAATCGAGGTAATGAGATGGAATTCACAAGATCTGACTAGATAAGATAATAAATCCAGTGAGATTTTTAGACCACAATACGTGATAAGACTAGACACAGTAGTATTAAAATCATGGTTACTAATTGTGGTTAAATTATTCTGTTCATTGATAACTGTATCATTATAGTCATATTTATAATGACTGTAAAAATCAAAATTTGAATTCGATGCTGTAGTTGAAACTGTTGAATTAGTTAGAAGTGCATAGACTAAAGTATCTAAACACGATGAAAGCCGCAAATTTGCACAGCTGAGTGACTGAATTTCTATAGATAATTCGTTGTATAAACGTTTGATAGATCTTTGTATACAATCGTAATTACGCGATTCTTGGTTCCAACCGGGAAGGGAAGATGAAAGAGTATACGGTATTGATGTTGTTGTTCCTGATGGTGAAGTTCCAACAGTTTTCAACATAACTTCATAGGACAGCATATAACTGGAATACAGTCATAAAAAAGTAACAGTATTTTCAGAAAAATTATTTCTGCTTTATTCAACAATCAATTTTACTGTAGTATTTCCAACTTATTAAGCTTAACCTGGTAAAAGCACCGGACATCTGTTTTTCGTCCTCCCAATTTCGTAAACAATACCCCCGACGCGAGAAGGCAGTGCGTAGAACTTTCCTTGCAGTGGTTTCATGCACGTGGCCAAGTGAGAGCGTTTGGAGAGAACTAACTCTCCCCCACCCTCGGCATTTGGGGTATATGGAGGATCCCACCTAGGGGAGTTGGAAAGCCCTGATTCCAAACCAATGGTGCACATGGGCTCCAGGATGCTGAGGGAACAAAAGGTGTACGAACTTATCGTTGGTCACCGGCTACAATGGGATTGTCTCCCCTTACGTTGCCCCGTTGCCTTGTAGGTCAGACCTTTAAGTCGAAAGCTCCGGGTGTGGCCTCTTCAAGAAAACCACCTGTTTCGATCTGCATAACCGGGCAGTATCACCCCACACACAAATCAAGTGACTTGTGTGGCGCATATGTGTTCGGTGCCCCTCTGTACCAACATTTATGTGCTCAAGTAAATAAAATAAACAAATAAATATTAAAAATAAAATGGAAGTTATAAAGAAAACTTGCAGCAGTAATAGTTACGACCAAATCACACTTATTATCAGTAAGTTCAGAAATATATTGTGTCATTTAGCTAAAAATATAATTTTTAACGATTCATATATAGGTTGGAGTTTGTTATGTCAATAAAGCAAGAAATTAGAAAGTACTATTTATTGAAACCAATATGTTGAACTCAAGCTAAACGGATTTTAAACATGCTCCAACACAAACAAATTGTGAACATGATTACTTTCAGAACGAAAATTTCCGTTTAATGTTTGTCTCACGTTCGAACGAGTTAATTGAACGTTAGACATATTCTTCGTTAGTTTAACATGCAAATCGTACTAGACTGCAAAACTATACTATAAAGATGTCAAACAAATTGTACTAATATATATGAATCATCGAGATTGCGATAAATATAATTAAGATGATCATGCTATCTATCTAGTTTGCATATTTGGTAAATTATTTTAAGCCGTCACTAGGATATAATGAAGTGAAATGTGAAAAAACAATATTGGATCTATCATATGAAAGATTACTATTTATATTTTTATGATATAATTAATAGAAACTTAATCTATTGTATTTTTATATTCTCCTATTCTAAGCTTCCATTTGACTAATAAATCGTTATCATATATCGCATTATTCCAGACTTATCACTAATCAACTATTTCCCTGTTGTTTCACTTTTCTATCACATATGACTAAATTATCACAAGCACTATAATTCCTATTTAAGCTGATGTGTAGTCAGACATTCCACGTATATTATTTCATGGGTATTGATTGATGATTGAATACAGTACAACTGAGAATTGATCTGATTCCTATCTGTTTTCTAATTAGTCATTGGGTTAGGGAAGACGGACGACCAATAATGGTCCAAATCTTGATTGTTGTTCATAAGTCGGTGTGTCAGTTTGTAAAACGGATGGTCATCGATCCTACTGGAAGTGGAGATGAACTAGTTGATAATCGCGCTAGCGAAAGAGATTTATAATACAGCGACGCCAGTAATTACGATCAGATTATACTGGTCTCAAACAATAAAAGAAAAACATTTATCTTAAATTTCCCAGTTATGTCACATTATTATGCACAATGAAAAAATTCATTGAAAAAACATTAAAACAAATGCATCAACACACTTGATTAAAATTTCCGGGACATGTAGTTTAACAAATAACAACATTCTTGGTTACCATAATTTGCATAATCTAACAAAATAGCAAAATATTGTGCCCATATTACAGAGGAAGGACACATAGTTGATAATGATGATGATGATGGTAATGATGTAGAACGATTATTATTAATAATAGCAGATGGGTATAACGTAGTCGATGATGATGTTGATGGTACTGGCATAATAGATTGAAGTGTCGATGTAACCGCAGCATTCATAGGAAATGAAGATGATGAAGGATTTCCTGATCGAATTGTAGAATAGGGTTGATGATAATTTGGTTGTTGTTCCTGGAAAGATTTATTTGGTGATAGTGCTAATGTATTTGGAGAGAAATGCAACTGATGTACTATCAATTGTATTAAACATTCTCCTGGATTAATCATCTGATTATATAAATTATTATTACCATCACTATCGTTGGAATCATTTTGTAAAGAACAGGAAGAACGTTTCTGTGGTAAATTTATAAAACGATTAATAAAACATGTGGCAGAAAATATTCGAGCAGTAATCTGTGCGTTATCTACGGTTGAATTTCAACAAATACTGGTGATTTTGTTTCATTCAATGTAGACCTTAATAAATAAGACAAGACACTGGCGGTAGTAGTAGCAGCAGCAGTAGTTGTTTTTATGGTAATGGCAGTGACTTCAATATTTGGAGAAGTGGTCGCATTAGTAGTGTTGGTTGATGTAGACCTTGTATTACATACACTAGAACAACAATTACTATTATTATTGTCACTGCTTTCAGTAGTATTAGTAATAGTGTTAGAACTATTAACCAATGAAATAAAAGAATGTAGAATATCTTCACACTGTACAGATGGATCATTCATACATAAATGACAGATATAAATGATTAGAGCGGCACTGAAAAATCGCATCTGGAAAAAAATTAAAAAGCAAATAGACACGTAAGAATATACAAATATATGTGAACAGAGCAGAAAAAGGAGAGAATGAAATCAGGAAAGCTTTACGCGTGAATAATAAACGTATCTATCCAGGAAGTCATTGAAAAAATAGTACAATGACAGCGGATGTAATCACCACCACACTTAGGGAAAATCGCATTCAACTGATGCATCAACGTAACAAACTCTAGACATTTCATGAATGTCCAGATTGTGTATTGATAATCACATACACGAGAAATAATACATCAATCTATTAATCAGAGAAATAAAGTGAGCTTCTTATTAGAAGACAAATTCTGACTGAAAAATATTCCATGACAAACAGAATGATGGCAGTAAAATAAAATGTAATAATCAAGAAATTGTGGATTTAGTTCTTTTATTGTATATGAAACCAACGGTTGTAAGAGACTTCATTGAAGCAAATAATTATCAGTAGGTTTAGTGCTTACATCAGCGATCATTTAGTGGTAACGATGTTAGCCTAATACAAGATTAGACATTGACCGAATGCTTCAATGGCATAGTCTTTGACTTTTTCTGAGTATGATACCTGATTATACGAGCTCAAAAGACAAGAGAAGCACCAAAACTTTTAGGACTATAGATACATCTTGCCAAAGAGTGGGAATTAGAAGGAATGGTTGGAAATAGTCGAAAGATGAGTAGAACTAGGTAGTTTTACGATTCCTGGTGGTAAATTTCAGAAGACTTCAAAGTACCAATAGTGAAAGCCAGAAAGGCTCATGTTTTCCTGGACCACATAGGACCTGTAATCAGTCGCAACATAGAACTTTGTAGGTATGTATACTAGTTTAAGTCGCCATACCATATTACCACAGGGTGATGAAGTTGTCAGGTCAAATCCCAAAATAGTAGAGATATTAGCAATATCAGAGGTAATAGGAAAGATCGGGAATCGAACATACGACTCGAAAATATAAATCAATGAATTAAAGTGACATCACCATCATAATAGAAGCCACTGGAAATCTTACTATCGTTCCCTAAAACATTCCTCATAAAATTTAGTTAAACTTCCTCTGTTGAATGAATTCTTTTTAGAGTGTATTTTTAACAGAAATGTATTACCTACTAAATACAATTCCCGTTTATTGATTTATTGATCGAGATGACCCATCTTTTTTTCATTTTCCTCCAATGATTATCACTTCATTTGTATAATGCATTTAATTATTGATTATGCCATACTGTACTAGAATTTGAGTTGTTTTGAATAAAATATTATGATTAACAGAAACCAAATTTCAGTTCAGTTTCCTGTTGATTGCATCTAGTGTAATCACATCGAGATAACAGATTATAAGTTATTTCAAATTAAGATGAGTTTGTGGAGGTTATTATACTGTTCTAGTTTATAACACGAACAAGAACCATTAAATAACTTTTCGTCCAAGTGTGGGACTCCCCATAGTGGATAGCTACGGTACAACAGGGGAGCGAACTCATCGTGAACTAAATAAAGTAAAACAATGTGGAATATTGGATGCCGATTCAGATCCAAAAAGATGACAGGGATCCACCGAAGGACCTGAGGATCTCGGATTCGGTCTCTATTGGGTTTGTGCATGTGCAATGATGAGAGATACCATACAAGAATGAAACAACTGCCCATTGTTTTCTGATTTTCAACGACTGTCTAATTAAAATTAACTCGAGAAGCAAATTATGTATCCTCCTTCTAGTCAAATCATATTGACAGAAAGAAAAAAACATATAACAGAATAAGCATCTATCTGCAAACTAGCACTGCTAACAAATCAATATAATAAAAATATTATTATCATTATTACATCAAATAACAACATACTTCAGGATAAGGACAATGGAATTGTAAAAATCTAATTTGATCCGGTGATGCTAGGAACATTGTTTTAATTAATTCACATCTTATTGGCGCACTAATTGAAATCAATTTGATGAATAAAAGTAGCCAAGATTTCCTTTGATTTGAATAGGATACAAAAATGAAACAATATAAAGAAAGGGATAAGAAATAAATAATGATAAATAAATGAACTAAATAATCTAATCATAATTTTGAATAATTTTTTCTAGTTAGCGTTTTTTAGCGAGTTAGTGTTCTGCGGGATGGGGTTGCTAATCCGATACCCAACCCTCTCCTTGGGACCGGCAGTAACCCCAGAGGGACTCCAGGCGGAGTGTGTGTGTGTAAAAAAAGACAACTTACACTAATTGAAGCATCAATTGTCAGAAATTCACTTTTTCTACTTATTGAGATATTATACAAATGTATTATTAAAGAACAAATAATACATTTGTATAATATCTCAATAAGTAGAAAAAGTGAATTTCTGACAATTGATGCTTCAATTTGTGTAAGATGTTTCTTTTTTCTTAGAGAATTAATCAATAACCGAACTAAATTCGTTGCCTCGTTTCGTCTTTATTATTAATAATAATAATTGTAAAATGAACTATCAAATGAAAGTTGCCCATTTAGTGTTGTATCCAGTACTCAGACTAATCCGATTAAATAATGATGGTAATAAAAGACAAATATTAGATGATGTAGAATAATTTACTTCAAGGATTCCTTTATGCAGATATATGATGGGCAAGGAGATAAACAACTTTGTCTACCCAAATTAGCTAAATATGATTCAATATTTATAATTGGATCAATAAAGCGATAAATAGACAATACGCATTTATGAGCAAAAAACCTTTAAGGGTAATGCTGAATAACTGACATGGACAAATATATTTGCACGTAATGACTCAAGAAAATGAGGTGAGATTGTCAGAAAGAGTATAGTATAAAGACGAGCTAAAAACAACTGCAACCAATTTTTGGCCACTTCGCAGAAAATCAGGAAAGTTTTGGTAAATGAACAATTCACAGAAAATAAAACAGTAATATTACTAAATGTAAACAAACTTCACATATGTAATGAATTTATCAAGGCATTCTACAGGTGATTCCGTCAGTAAACTGAAAAACTTGTCTTAATGGATGTAGATTGTGCATTTTTCCCAACCTTTAAAAAGATCCAAAGAGATTTTTCATAATGTCCACATTGTTCTTAGTTAGGTTTAGGAGTTCCATAACAGGACGAAATGGCCTTCCAGTGCTTCTAGGTTTTTAATGATATTCTAACTTAGATCACTTCAAGATTTAAATGAAATTAAACACTCTTCACAACCTTATACGAACAATAGGTTTCAGTACTTAGGTTAATCGATCACCAAATGACATCACCTATAGTGTAAATAAGGCTCTGTAGCCAAATAGATGCATGAATTTAACGCAAAAATGCAAGAAATGTTATTTAATTAGTTAGTCCGTAAAATTCAGTATCACTACTAGATGTACAGTTTGGTTCAGAATTGAGAGTTTAGGTTAAGATTTAGAGATAGTATCGATTTGCCAATCGTATATTATGTACAGAGATAAAACTAAGCATTTGATATGTTCAATATTATAATTTTTACTGATCGTTATGAATGATATTTTAATTTCGCTTTGAATGTTTACCTATATCCATGCATGTCTGAGTGGGATATTGATGATACAGACGGGGGGGTTAATGGTTAATTTATTATATGATAACAGTATGAAATCTGAATAGTTTCAGTATAAATACTTGAGAAAAATATTCAAGAATGAATAGGTAATTAAATCAACCTTAGTAATAAGTGCAAAATGCAAAAGCCATTTTAAATTATTTTGATAACTTTAATATCTATCTGATGGTTGATAAAACTGAAACAGGTGGTTTTCTTAGGAGACCACACCCCGAACCTTTGACCTAAACGTATAATCTACAAGTCAGTGGAGCAACGTAAGAGATGCACTACCATGGTAGTCGGTGACCAATGATTGGTTCATACGCCATTTGTTCCCTCAACATCCTGGAGCCCATGTGCACCAATGGTTTGGAATCAGGGTTTTCCAACTCCCCTAGATGGACTCTCCGTATTCACCAACCTACTGGACATTCGCTTTTCTTCCTCTCAATTTCGTAAACAACAGTAATGCTACGAGAATGCAGTGATTAGGACTTTTCTGGTAGTGTTTGTATGCAATTGTTCGGAATAGTATTTCACAAAACTGTATGATTTACAACTGATTATAGTTTAGAAAAACGAACACAATAAGAGTTGATACTGAATTATAAGCATAACTACTTGTACAATAATAAAATTTAAACATAATTGTAACCAGTTTAACATACCAATTTGATATGACCACATGATAACGTAGATAAATAAAATGAAGTAATAGTTCTACAGTAATAAATCCTAAATTTTGATAGGCACTGGAATTAGTCTACAAGAAATATAATTAAAAGAAAAACTGAATAGAAACAAAGAACAAGGAATTCTGTGCAGAAAATATAAATGTATAAATATTTTAACCAAATACATATTGTACTTTAATTATCAATGTTAGTCATTGATGATTAAAGGTTTGAGTTTGGACGAAAAGTGATACATGCTTTCTGCCAAATTAATTGATAAAACTGTTAATATTCTTTAACTGGTTGACTGAGACAAACTCAATCACTGATGACTTTAAGGTATTATGCTATATAGTTTAATGAATCGGCTTGAAGGAGGTCAGAACAAGTCATAATGTTATCATTAAATCATTGGGTGCTATGGTTAGTCATGTGAAGAAATACAACTTGCGTATTTAGGACTCAAGTGATAATTCATATATCTATAAATGAAAACGTTGGATGACATAACCTAGAATTAGTTGCAATGATGTCGATAAATTCAATTTTTATCATACACGAAATCTTTAGTTTGAATGTGCTGAAGGTGGTTAGAAGGGCGTGTGGTGAATCTTTCGAGGTTATTATTAATATGGTTGTAGATAGACATCTAAAGTCTTGCGAACTCCTGGCTGATGTTGTCTTATCAAATACTAACTTCATCTGTACCTTTCTCTTTGTATATCTTGTGGTAAAACGAGGCGCCAATACATTAGAATCCATGCACGCAAGCAAAAGTACAAAAGTTTTACAATACCTTATCTAGCAAATGTACTATGTGACGAACAGGTTGTTACGGTTGACCTACTTAATAACTTGTATTCTTAAACATGTTTCTAATTAGAAAAACAGTACAGATTCAAATCATTTAAAAAAAACACATTTCATCTGATGACAGGTAGTTTATCTACTTTAATTTTGCATATATGTATGGAGTTGTCAGTTTCTTTCAGTTTTTGTAAAAGAAACTTATTGAAATACCTTGGTCTGTGAATCTTATATTGTATCAAATATGTAATGTTGAATAAAGTCTTTAATAATGATAATAATGTCACATATTTTAATTCCAAAAATTCGTGGAGTTTTTTGTTCGAATCATATTCTCTGTATGTAGTCTTGTATATTATTATTTTGATTTACTAACTGCTAATCCTATTAATGTTAACTAGCTGCGTTGCTTTGATGTAGCAGCTTAGAACTGATGTATATTTGTATCGGATTTTACTGTATTCCGATTGACTGATTTTATATCTAATAACCAGCTATTACAAATACTAATTCAATATGAAATGTGGTTGCTGAACATTACTTGTATTAATGTATTATTCCGTGTATAACATGGTATTGAACAACTGTCTACTAGATACGTAGGTATGTTCAATCAATATATGATTTAAGGTCATAAAAAGTGTATTTAACAAAACTGATGATACGTTTATCATAACGTTATTAAAATACTGTCCATTCATGGCATTACATTTGTCCTATGTCCATTCTAAGAAATACTTCGTTGTTTTATGTTTTCTTGACTTAACATTATTCAGTGTAAAGATTATTCTTTTTTCAAAATCGAATGTAAGATAATGATCTAAATAGTGTGCTAACAAAGTAAAGCAGTTAATCATCTTGGTATTTAAGTGATAACAACGGACTAACTTATTTACAAGATTATATATACATAAAATAGCTTTCTTTCAGGTCTCAAAATTGTTGAAAAAGCGAGAAATTTATTCCCCGATCCAATCAACAGAGATAAAATAAAGAATACATGGACAGTTCTAGGTACTTTTTCTATACATGGAGAATCCATATTCAGGACACAAGTTCCATTGGACTTCAGTTAATTGTAAATGTTTAAATACTCATTAGATATAATTCTTTTATAATAATCACTATTTTACTCTGAATTCAACAATGAATAACAATCATTATACATTTCTTACCATACACAATTGTATATTATTATTAATTAAATTATAGATAAATTCTGGAAGCAATGGATCAAATTGAATACGATGATGTAAATGTTCAATATTCTGCCAATTTACAATGTCTTGTACACGTTTAGTTAATCTTGATTGTTTTGGATTTGAACCTTGATAAGTGGGAAAAAAATATAAAAAAAGTAATAAAAGAAACAAAGAAGTATTCTTATAGAAATTACAATTCGTTATGTAGCATTTTTGGCTAATCAAATCAATGAATACTTCACAATGGATTAGTTAAACGATAAAATAAACTATCCAACAGGAGTTATTCAGATTATGGTACAACCAAGAATGAAAGGTTGAGGGAAAAAAGACTCGATTAATGAAGTTACGTACTTTGAGACGTTGTGTTATAATGTAGATGTTTTTTTGCTCAAATTTAGTCATCATCTCCAATCCATCACAATAGAAGAATAAATGTACAGAAAGTTTAAGGATTATAATTCTTTTTCAAGTGAATAGCTATGATGACTTATAAAAACAGACCTAATGAATAATTAAATTGAACTATATAGTTTGATACATTGATTTCTCTATATGAATTAGTAACCATTCGTTCACTCAGTCAGTAACTATCATTGAATATTTTAAAATGAAATTTTGCAGAGATAAATAAAAGCAAACACTGTAACATACCTAATTTAGGTATTGATATGTTTTTAATTTGTTCATGGAAATCTTCACGTTCATAGAATAATAAATAAGCACTCCACCAACGTTTACCAGATCTTAAATGAGCGAATTTTGACAGATCATGAGGTGGAACTTTCCATTCACCACCAAACCACTGATCGACAGCCTCTTCATCTTTATCTAACCGAACAGGGATAACCTTGAGTGTATAAGAAACAACGAAGTAGATAAAAAAAGACAGTGAATAGAGCAAATTTCTGAAATGAAATAGAAACATAATGCCACATAGTCAACGTCAGTTAAAATTATCACTAATTCATCCATCATTAGTTGAATAAAGAAGTGCTTATTCGTCTATTACATATATAGAGGTTAACAATAAATCTGCAGAATTGAACAGAGCAACAACAAAAGTTAGTAGAGGTCCGATCCGATTCTAAAACCGGACCGTGTGTAGTGCGGTCTAACCGAGCCTTCATCACATGTTGGCCCTGTGTTACTAATCAACTACGAATTGTACTATATCCACGATGATACACGGTCTCAGGTGGTCACCGAGGCACCATCAATCTATGAATCACTTTGAATGGCTGTCTAGCTCCAATGGAGTCAGTCATCCGACCAGTGGATCACAGTTGCCACAGAGGCTTCTACAGCCAAGTTAAAGAGTGGACAACGGCAACACGATAATAAAAAACTTTCTCAACCAGCTGAATCCATGCACACCACTTGAGTGCAATTCGCATTTCTTCGTAATCTTGTTAGATATTCAGTTTCAAATCATCTGTTAAAGTACAGTAGCCCAGACAAATTTTACCTTCTAAAAATAACGTCCGCACTCTTGACTCACAGTTGATGACGATAAATTTGCCGTCCTCTTCAAATAGGCGTCCTGAGATAATACTTCTATATTCTGGATCTGATGAACATTTTATCGTTATGTGCGATAACACATTGTATTCGCTGACGCTATCAACTTCACAGCCGGCACATATGCTCGTTTGACCAATGTATTTCAATTTCCCTATTGCTATGAAATTCGTTACTATCGGGTGTGACCCCATAACTGTATGTCTTTCTCGTGACCTTAGTGTTCCCAGCCATCAATTCTCTCTATGAATAGGAAGTTAGTTAACATTAAATAGTTCGAAAAAAAGATTAAACAGGCTGAAAAATGTAATAAGATCGATCTTAAAATACACTCAGTCAGCCAGCTACAACGTAGGACCAGATACATATATTCACCGGTCCAAGTTGCCGTACCTCATTACCACAACAAGATTAACACCTGATTCATAGAAGTAGTTAATTCAGTGGTGGTAATATAAAGAGAAAGACTTCATATAAGGACATAGTACAGGAAGAAAGAATTAGTTCGTAGAAAGAAAGATATGAAGCGAATTTAATCTGAAGGCGAAGTCGTACTGGTGACTGTACAAAGGTGTGACAGCAGTAAGGTGTTTCTTCCAGACAACCAGCATAACAGCGATGCTGTCTTCCCACAAGGAGGGGTGGGGTTAGAAAAGGTCGACCCTAAAAATGCACACCTCGCCTTATCCCACGGATATCCGTCCCCGGCGGTAAGGTCTCAACAAGTACAGAGCTGACACAAAAATTACTCACAAAAAGGTCGTGTTTGACCGACCTCAAGCAGTTGTCCCTTGGGCACTCTCTCAGGTCACTAAGACCACCCCTAATCCAATTTCCTGTCCGGGCACCTCCAGAAGAACGCTTCCACGGTGTGGGCAACCGGGAAGTGATAACAACGGTCATACTTCTAACAGCACTCAAGACCATTGTATTCATAATCAACCTCTCTCTTCAATTCCTATTATTGCTTCTACATTGAATTTCAAATCTAAACTTAAATTACACTCTAAGCTCCTTTATCAAAATTGTCAATGAAAAATTCTAAGGCCAATACAAGATAGAAAGGTTGAAAACTTTATACTTTTTCATTTGTTCCCAAGTCGGAAGTCCACTTTATTATTATTATTATTATTATCACTATTATTATTATTATTATTATTATTATTATTATTATTAATTTAACACATAGATATTCGTACAAGGAGGCACCAAATACATACGCGCTACACAAATTTTATTCGATATGTGTGAGGGCTGTGATACTGCCCGGGTGCCCAAACCGAAGCAGGTGGTTTTCTTAAGGGGCCACACCCGAGCCTTCGACCTGAAGGTTTGATCCACAAGGCAGTGGAGCATCGTAAGGAGATGCAGTCCCATGGAAGCCGGTGATCAACAATTGGTTCATACGCCATTTGTTCCCTCAGGATACTGCAGCCCATGTGCACCACTGGTTTATAATCCGGTTAAAGCGCCGGACATTCGCTTTCCGTCCTCTCATTTTCGTAAACAACAGTAATGCCACGAGAAGGCAGTGAATAGGACTTCCCTGGCAGAGGCTATATACGCGTGGCTATGTGAGAGAATTTGGAGAGGGAGAGCGGACTCTCCCCACTCTCGGCCGTACCAGGGCATTTGGGGGCTAAGTCCACTTTAAATTCTTAATACTTGTTTAAAATTAAATATAATACGAAAACTTATTGTTATGGTTTCTAAGCTAAATTATTTCTATCTCTTTTTTATACTTTCAATTACCATATTTTATTTAATCTATCAGAACTGTTTATTATATTCTTATAACAAAATCAAAGTATAATTTCATCTATATGTAAGAAAGAAAAATTGATCAATCTAATAAGTTATGCATATGCAACATGTATGTGATTAATTACTATGGTAAAGGAAATATATATATAATGAAACAAACATGGATTCAATCAATGATGATAACAGTTTGATGAGAAAAAGAGATGCAGTTGCATAAAATAAATGAGTCTACATCCTTCGGATTGATTTTCTCCAACTGTGCAACATAGAAAATATTTAGTAAGATCAAATTGTTACTATGAGTAAAATTATAGGTATAGAAATACTAACGAGTAATTTAATTTAGACAAAAAATTTTAATTTTCAGAAAGAACTATTTACATAATTAAATTTAGTTGAGATAATTTTGTCCTAGTAATAGACTCCTTCTTGACAGTGAGGTTAGATGATTATCACACCATAAAGTGAATATATTCAAATTGGGAATGTATAGAGGTAGATGTCAAATCAGACGTCGAATGCCTAAGCATTCATCGCGAAATATGAAGGTTCGGTGTTTGGTTATTGACACGAATGTAAGTGCGAATGATGAGAAGTTGTAAACAACAACAACAACAACAACAACAACAACAACAAGACAACGATCTAATCCTTTCTGGTTTCGATGATTATCTTAACTACAAATATTTATTTATCGGCAGCATAATACACATGATAAGATTATAATACAAAGATATTCTTGTTGAGTGACTCCACTTTGAGTAACCAATGAAATAATAACCCTACCAAAATAACTTTTATATCGTCTTTCATTAAAGAAAATATGTGATCACATAACCATATCACTAAAATAAACAATTTAGGATCTAAGTAACAATTTTTTTCATATTGAAATAGATTATATCATCGACTTATGTCAACCAATAAAATCAAATCACAAAAAAATAATCATTAGATAAGATGGTAGTTGGAGGTAATCAACAGAAAACCCTCCACCAACCACCATCTTATCTCAGCATAGTGCACGCAATGTCAAGTCACTTACACTAGTGATCATATTGCAATTTGGTTGATAGCATTCGATCTGCACTAAGAACAACCTAACGCACAAGACATGATCACCACCCAGTGATCAAACAATTGTAAAAATAATCTTCATTTTGATTGTTCACAATGAGAATGATTAGTAAAGGATTGTTGTATTTTTTGCAATCAGAATATGAATTTGTGAAGATTGTAGTAATTTTAATAGTTGAGTTCATGAGTCAATCTAAGCTAGACAAACAATAAAAACTTGGAAGTACTGGACGACCATTTCGTCTTAATATTTCAATATGCTTACTAAGGAATAATTAGTGAAATAAATATGAACTTACATTATGATCATCATATTTATACCATTTGAATGTTTTCGTTCGAGGTCGATAATGTCGAATAAATGAATAATAATGTCCAGATGATGCTTGACCACTATGAACAACTACACCGCGCAAATTATATTTTGTACATGGATTATTATCATCAGTATTATTATTATCATTGGTGTTATTGATGACATCAGTAGTTATACAGGACGATGAATCTGTAGAGTCTTTTAAACCTTGCACAGTATATGGTAGCATATCCAAATGACGTGGAAATTCACAATAATTATTAAATTTAAGTGATACACCCCTATGTAAGAGAAATGTAGAATATGTTAATGGTTAAATATAGTAAGTATGATGAGAAGGCAAAAGAAACAAATAAAGAAAATTGAGAAAGACAGATCGAGGAAAATACTTCTGCATACTCAATTCATTGTAATAAAAAGATTTTATGATGGTTATCTCAGGAATGATAAATTACGACAATAAGGAAAGAAATAAGTATTTCAATTGTTGTAAGTAGTATTGCTAAGCAATTTAGATAATTTAGTGAGCAAGAATTAACCAATGATTTTTTTTGTCAGTTTCTTTATTCTATCATTTCGTTATGTAACAATGACAATTCAAATATCAGGATAAATGCTGTCCAATCATATGACTCATTTTCTGGAGGGAAGAGGTTTACATTAATTGGTCAGAAGTTCGTAAGTAATATCATACTACCTACTTCATTAATGTTGACTAGATTTGATAGATCAACTTAGAAATACAACCAACAGAATAAGCCACTTGATATAATAATTCACCTTCCTGATGCTCAGTGATCAAAACTAGTCAGTATGAAATTTTGGATTTCATTCTACATGATCTTTGATATTCATTTGTCAATAAGGCTTAGACGTAACATGAATGATATTGTCTACTTCTATACTCAGTATAATTTAGATTTATACACAAATGAAAAAGTAGGATCTATGATTTTAAAAGTTTACTGATGAACTTCATTTGTAGCCTTGATGATACACTTTATTAATTGTCTGATAACTCATCGTCACAATGTTAAAACTAGATATTAGATGGCTAAAAGTAGTAGACAGGTTGAAATCTCACACAAGAAGCATAAGGATTTCCTTCAAAATAGCTTCAACCAACATAAATCAAACAAATAATGTATGCAATATTCAGTTAACTAGACTAGTCGCTCCCTTGGAAATTGATCGGTAGAGTTCGATCAGCACAAAGAACCTTATAAACAAAATATTGCTTACTAATCACTAACTTAATCGGTGTAAATTTTAGTTAGATATTAAAAAAAAAAAATCGAAAATGGTCCAAGGTTTTTAATCATCGTTAATAGCTGGCTTATGGTTTTATATTTTCAAAAATCTCTTTGATCTAAGATTTAAGGGACCAAGTTAGTCCTGTAATAGAATGAATGTTTAAACTATTCATCTTACTCTCAAAAATACTACGATAATACGTTCATATGACAATAAGACTAGTCAGGTTATATCAGAACCATGATTCACGACCTGGAATAGAGAACCAGATTAACACTAGATAACACTTTATTTAATACAATTACAAGCGACCACACATAACTAATAGTCCGTAGACTATGTCTGTTCGCCCAAGTTCAGTGATCGACTATATTTTACTTTCACCACGATACATCATCCTTTCATACTGATCCATTCAGGCGAATCGATGGATTGGTCAATTGGATACTAGTAAGAGAGATAGTTCATTGGTTTTATATTTATATGTACAACCTGATTGATTATCTCTATCATAACATGAAATAAATGAAAGCAAAATAATGAAAATCATTTAAAAAGAAATCAATGAATCCACTTACCGTTCCCAATCATAATCGAAACGTTTCAATTGAATAGTTAATACTAATGGTAATTTTTGAATACACATACGTTTTAATATTGGTATTTTTTTATTGCACATTCTACAATGATATGCATTATCTCCTTCTAATAATTCACCTTTTACATATTGTTCCAATGAATCAATTAGATTTCTATGATCTAATATATCAACATTGAGTGTAGTAAATGATTCATAACTTGTATATCTAAAGAGAAAAAAAAATAATGAAAGAAAAGCTTAGTATACTCAGAGAAATTATCTTGTTGAGCTACAAATATTGTTCATCAAAGGACTGGACGACTTTTGCTGGTAGAGATATTCATGGTTCGGTATTATTGCAAATAATATTGATAAATATTATCTGAACGCTTGAATCCCTTCCCTAAGCTCTTCTAATAACTACAGGCTAAATCCACACGACAACTTGAGCACAAGAGAAAAAACGCAAAACAAGGAACAATCGCTTTTCTCCAAAGTAAGTTTCTATACAGAAAATCGAGGGTATTTGTAGCATTTCAGATAGTTTTGAGCTTCTGTAACCCTACTAGACATAGTACCAAGATAAGTAATCATTCAGTCAGAAGTGTGACTCGTGAATTTTCACTTTCCAGATGTTTCTGAGATTCCCTTGCTCAGTGCTTATTGGATCAAGTGCTTCTCAGTGTTTTTAAGGCCCCCTTTGGGCCTTTTTCAAGGACCCATCCAACAAATATTTGACTCGTTTACCAGATCAGATTTGTTGTACTGGGTTACGAATTACACTAAAGGTTTCAAGACTATTGATACCACTAGATACCATTCAAGTTCTTTACAACCTGAAAGTACAGCTCAACCATGTGGCTCAAATACATAAGAACCCTGATGAATAATAAACTAGAATAAGATAACTGTTCGATGTTCAACAAACTTTAACGGCTTTTCAGTTAAAAATCAAACAGAGTATAAAATAGTTGATTTTGAAAGTCATACAACATAATTACATCACTAAAATCTGAGTTATTTGTACACAGATTACGCTTCATTTCGCAATCAAAAAAATGTCCAGCCAGCCACAAAAAAGACGTAAAGTCTAGGGAAAGTTTGAGTCAGTTGAAATTCTGCATAATACACTAGCACAATGAGATGAATAGCAAAAGAGTCGATAAAATATAACGGCGACGGTAATATGAAAGATTAAATAATGAGAATATAGTTCGAAAAGACTAAATGCAAAGGTATGTTTGAAAAAAAAACTGCAACTAGAGATTTAAGGGATAATAAAGAGTGAATGGATTTAGAACGTTGTGACTGATTGTAAATCATATCACATAATACTTCTAAAGAATAATCGTTGTTTATGTGCTGTTTCTAACTAGGTAATCTAAATATGTTAGATGGGTGAACAAGAGATCAAGTATGACTTCATGATAAACTACTAGATGTTCAAAGATATTAGATGATTGATCAAATTGCATGAAATCAATATCAACTTACCGATGTGGACAATCCAAACAGATCTTTTGATCGGCAAATTTACCACCTAACACAACTTCAACAATTTTAGGCAATTTACATAATTCTAAAGCTTCATCCAAATCATTACCGAGTATTTGAAAGAATTCCAATGCATCATGTTGTTCTCCAACATGTACAGCTTCTGCACGAAATCTAGTTATTGTTTTTATGAGGAGAAAATGAAAAAAAGTACATAAGATATATTTATTTTTCATGGTGGTCTAGCTTTTATTGACTCATGAACTCAACTATATAATTGTGTATCAATATAATGAGTTAAATTGCAATGTAATTTATTTAGTGGTTTAATTTAGAAAAAATAGTGATTGAACGATGAATGGTATCTCTTCTAATAAATATAAGGATTTCCACATGCTACATGACATCAATCATTATGATTGTAGCTTTTAGGCTTAATGATGCTACATATGTTGGATAAAGAGGTTAGACTAAAAGAGCTAACTTAAAGTCTGAGAGTGAAGTTTGTACATCGACGTGATAAGAGTCAGGAACTTTCCTAAGACAACTAGAGTGCCAAAGGGTTTTATTTTCTCACAAAAGAAGATATTAGAGAAATCCGACGTTGAAAATTCACTATCGATTTTTTCTCTCAACAACAACGCTTTCTTCATCTGAATATTGAAAGTGATCTATCAGAAAACTTAGTTATCAATGACATGTTTCTGTTTAGTGAAGACGTTGACAAAATGAACAGTTTCTTCATTCCCACAAGGAACAATGTAAAATGTTGATTTATGAATGATTTGCGTCATCTACTAAATTGATCATCAGGAGAAAAAAAAGTTGAGCAGATGGGTCAGTTCATTTATCGTGGAAGTCTTACAAACCCTGGTTAATTGAAATTTGTCAAAATCTCAGCACGGATTCAGAAAGCTCTCCTGTCTTTCACCAAATTCTACCACTTATGATATGGGCGAAATTTTCGTCTTACGATGAAGAAACAAGTATAATGTGTAGGAAGTAGTATTTTACCTTATTACCGTGAAAAGTGACTTAAGAAAGTTAGATGATTTACTTCTTGCTTACCTCTAGACTATGATTCTTCGAATTATTTTATAAATTTTGGTTAGATTAATTCATACTTTATTTCTCGAATCATTTCCATTTCCTATCATGATATTCTTCAGTATGTTTTCGGAAAATTGATTGTTTTTCAATTCATTACTGATGGAATAAATATTAGTCAATCAATATTCTTTAAATAAGAAAGAAAGATTAGTTCAGCGAAGAGTTCTCTTTTCGGCGAATTCATTTTCGAGGAAAATGAAAAAAGAACTCTTCGCTGAACTAATCTTTCTTTCTTATTTAATGTCATAATGGGTGTATTCCGTTTATTAAAAAATCAATATTCTGTTGGAAAATATAATCTAGACATAATTTATATCTTTTACAAACCATATGAAACACAACCAGGAAGTTTGCAACAAAGTACGATTCACTACTAACCAGGATAATAAAACAGAGTAGATGATATTAGAGTATATGCTTCGAAATATAGCACTGTACATGTATTCTTACTCTGTAGATAACTTAAATAAAATACATGTATAACAGATGCATGACCATTTAAATTATAGGCCGTAATAGTGCGATCGTAAATCAATACACAGTTCAATATTTCACAGTATACTTGTTGTGAGAAAGATAGACGGATATCTTATCTATGCTACAAGTAGTAAGTAAGCGATCTAAATTCAAGGGAACATTTATCATCTATTCAGACTTAAATCACATCAACTACTGAATTACATAGATTGATTGACTACATTTCTCATACAGCAAATACAAATATCCCTCTTAAATTGTAATGGAATCAGAAAAAAGAACAAAACAATGGAAAGACAGAATACAGATAAACAAGTAATCAATATCTGTTCGATGAATATGACCCAACAATAAAGAAACTTACTTAAAATGACGCCAAAATTCTACTGGTGCATAATATTTAACACGACTATAAGCTAAATGTCCAAAAATAGTTTGCATATGATATAACACATTTAGATGATGAATTTTTTCTTTACTTAAAGGTTGAAATTCTGACTCTTTTGATGTTTGACCATCATCAGTTGTTGTTGTTGTTGTTGTTGTTGTTACAGTGTTATTTTTCAGTTCCTCATTCTTTATAATAAAAACAAAACATATAAAAAGTTATTTAGAAAATTATAGATAATAGTAAAACCTGGTTTAAATAAATAACAGTCCCGATAGAACGGATCGGGGTTTTATCAAAATATAACTTAATTTATTATATGAAGGATTACTATTTATAATTTTAATGATATTATGAATAAAAGCTCAATCTGTTGTATTGTTATATCCTCCTATTTCTAAGCTTCCACTTGACTAATAATCAGTCAGTCAGTAACAACGTAGAATTTCGTATGTACGTACATCAGTTCGAGTTGCCATTTAAGCTGATGTGTAGTCAAACATTCCACGTATATTATTTCATGGGTATTGATTGATGATTGAATACAGTACAACTGAGAATTGATCTGATTCCTATCTCTGTTTTCTAATTAGTCATTGGGTTAGGAGAAGACGGACGACCAATAATGGTTAAGGTATTGATTGTTGTTCATAAGTCGGTGTATCGATTTGTAAAACCGATGGTCACCAGTCCCACTGGTAATATAAATGAACTAGTAGGTGCTTAGGTTAGAGAGCGAATACATAAATGCTCTCCTGTAATAACGGCCTGACCACAGGAGCGGTTTTTTCGATAATGTTTAATCTAAGCTGTCATATGTAACATCAACACATAGAAGGAAATAAAAGATACGAGAAAAGCAAAAAAAATAGGTGAAATAGTTATAGTATGTATAGCAGCCGTCCAATGCTTCCAGGTTTTCAATGGTGGTCTGGCATCAATCGGTTCATGATTTCAATCGAAAACTTAATAATCTTCATAACCCCATACTGATAAATTCTACAGTTCCAAAATGAACAAATGAGAATGTAGAAAAACGAAGAATGCGTAAACACAGAATTCAAATAATTTCAACTTCTTACATAACAGGACAGAAAAGAGAAAACAGGTAGATAATGAGAAGGTAAAAATGTAAACAATAAGGAAATAAGAGGGTTGAAAATAATATATAAAACTATAATGATGGTGATATGTCATGAAATCTAGGCGTAGCCAAAGATCTAATTCATATAGATTAATGCAACGATATAAATGACTACAGATATATCATTCCGATTAGTGAATAATGAGTGTAAGTCGAAAAAAACACGAAGTTACACAACTAAACTCTGAAAGAAATTAGTGTTACCATATCATTATCTGAGTGTAGTATCACTAACTTCTCTCCGTAACTTTAACCTTACATAATAGTTCTATGTATAGACATTTTATCCATGAAATTATATAGTATACAGCAATATGTTTATGTACTGAAATTTTATCAACAATGTGTGATGCAAAGCGCTACTGTCCAGTTGTTACTGTTTAAACCGAAATAGGAAAAAGACAATTAAAAACTGTACACATTCAATTACATTAACTCATAAAACTACTTGTTATTATAATTCATAGCTAAAAATGTTAGATTCAGCTAACTAGTCAAATAGTTCTTTGAGTAATATCGACTAATAGACAGTGATCACTTAAATAAAAACAGAGTGATATGATTAAACTCACTAATCTTTGTTGACAAATATTGTCAGCGATATCATCACTGGAGATTGGTAAAGTTGTAAGTGCAGTTGAAGTATTTATCACTTTCGAAGCTTCTTTATCTATCAACAACTTATAATCTAACAGTAGAGATTCTGGATTTGCACTAAGTACACAATCACGAATTGGATCCAATGTAAACAACTGTTGTATAATAGAATTCATATAACATGTAGCTCCACCATTTTTCAAACCAACAAAACGATGTGTAATACTTATATCATTATCATTACGATTATAATTGCTATAATCATTATTAGTCCAATTATTTTTATCAATATGATCAGAAAATATTGATGATGATAATAATGATGTTGAATTATTAGAATTTAATCCAAAATTATAATTCCAGTTGAAATTCATAGGTCTTGCATTGGCTAAAATATTAATAAATGATATGTTTTTTTCAATTATGAATTATTTTTATTTATTTAAATGCATAGATATTGGTACAAAGGGGCACTGAATACGTATGCGCCACAAAAATCTCATTTCATATGTGTGAGGACTATGATACTGCCCGGGTGCCCAGACCGAAGCAGGTGGTCTTCTTAGAGGGCCACACCCGGAGCCTTCTACCTGAAGGTCTGATCCCCAAGACAGTGAAGCGACGTAAGGAGATGCAGTCTCATGGTAGCCGGTGACTAATTATTGGTTCATACGCCATTTGTTCCCTCAGGATCCTGCAACCCATGTGTACAATTGGTTTGGAATCAGGGTTTTCCAACTCCCCTAAGTGAATCCTTCATATCTACCAAACGGTTTAAATTGCTGGACATTCACTTTTCGTCCTCTTAATTTCATAAACAACAGTAATGCCACTAGAACGCAGTGATTAGGACTTCCCTGGCAAAGGCTATATACGCGTGGCCATGTGAGAGCATTTCGAGAGAGAGAGCCGACTCTCCCCAGTCTAGGCCGTACCAGGGCATTTGGGGGCCATTGATAGACAGAAGATCAATAATAACTATAGCTATAAGAATATTAACCTATATAATGAAAGCTAATTACCTCTCAATGTTTAGGATTATTCCTCTTAAACAAACATATATACAACATAGTTATGCATAATCATTAACGATGTTAAATATAATGTAGGTTTTAAACTTACTGGAAAAAATCAAATCGTACAGCATAGTTGTTAATAATTGACTATTTAATGAGTTACATTTAGTTATGGATAGAAGAAAATCAAAAGTTGAATTCATTAATTTTCTTGAACATGATAAATGTGATGTAGATAATGGAGAATAAGAATTATGATTAATAATGTTATCGTTAATATTGTTATAGTCATAATTCACTATGTGATGTTGATTATTGATTTGTGAGCATATTGTAGACTTACGTATTTCGTTATATTGTTTTGAAGCGGGAAACAATAAAAATTCAACTAAGTCCTATAAATAAGAAAAGTTAAAATGAGAATAACGACCAAGCACAGTGTACTACTTATCGAAATTAAGTAGTAGGACATAAACAATTCAATTTTTAGATAATGAAGTAGGAACTAAGCCATGTATTTTAAAGTTGTTATTATGTATAAACGTTTAGTGTAAGGAAGAAAATTTTGAACACGTTTTTTTTTCAAAATTTCGCATAGGTACGGCTTCAAGAAACCAGTGTTCGTCCTATATAACCTTGATAAAGAGACAAAAAGCCTACATTCAGATTCATCTTATGGGCGGTTACACGTTTGTGTTCGTTTCGTATTTGTATGGAGTGACACCGTTTTGAATATTATAGAAAGCTTTATTTGTAGTTATAATACAACAGCGTTTACGTGAATTTACAGTGTTTTCCTGACTTTAATTTTTGGTTCATTCGTAGCTACTAGAGTATCGGATAGATTCGGTAATTTCTGAAGCCTACACTAAACTCAATAGTATTAATATGATTCTGGTCGTTTATTATCTATTCTTACTAAGTCAGCTAACTTCGTTAGTTATTATAACCATCGTAACATACGAGACATTTGGTTCTCCAAATAAAATATCTGAGGCAAGATCAAAACTTGCAATATACAAGTAGAAGGACTAGTCTCCTGGCAGTTTACGCACTTAAATCGGAATCGAGTAGTTTCAGTTGATCCGTCTCTTTTTCCGCTCTATCATTTCCCAACCAATCAGGTGACAGAATAGTTTTCGTCTCTCTACCTAAGACAGTTAGTCTCAATTCTTAATCACTCATTTCTAGTCTCAAGGTTAAACAAGTATATGGCATCAAGGCCTTAATCTAGATCGAGACATATTCTCTCCTGTATATTATTGGGTAAACAGATCAAGGGCATAACAGCATTGTTTTTACCATAACTGCTAAAATATTAAATTACTAGAGAAGAATAAAACTTACTTTAACTAAATATAATTGATTTATTAAATAATGCGATGTATTGTTATTATATTGTTGATCAGTAGTATTTAGAGTTTCCGATGTAGTACTTATGCATTTAACGTTATCATTATTGTTTCTATTACCACTATTTACAATGTTCATTGGGAAGTCTTTTATCTGTCCTGATATTTGTTTCATTTGGTCAAACAGTTGATCAGTATAGTCTTCGCTCGCTAACAATTGTAACGATGAATTAGTAGAATCTAGAAAACATTGATATAACGATTTGCAAATTCTCAAGTGTCCACAAATTAAGGAATCTTTATCCTCAATAGACATATCATGAAAATGATGAACAATGGTATCTGGTCTAAGGCCTGCAGTGAATCTTATCCATTCTTTGTTTAGTGATGATGATTGATCAGTGGATTCTGCAGTTGTAGCACAGTGGAAAATCGGTGGAGTGATATCAACAGACGGATAAGAAATAGGTGTTTCACATGATCCTAATTGACGATCAGTTATCTATCAGATGAAAATGAAGAAAGAAATAATATGTAGTACATATGGCTGATCAGAAGTTAGAGCACACTAACATCCACAGTCAGGTAGCATGTTATTTGCGAACTCATTTAACAATAAGTGTAAAAAAGTTTAGATGAGAAGAGAATGCGGAACTTTTTATGATAATCTTATTGAATGGGACGACTACAATGAAGACGCTAAAGATCAATTCTACAATAGGCTGCAGTCAATCGTCGAGAAGTGCCCAACAAAGGACCTGACCATTCTGATGAGAGATTTAAATGCCAAGGTCGGAATAGACAACGCCGGATATGAAGACATCATGGGACGACACGGACTGGGAGAAAGGAACGAAAATGGTAAGAGATTTGCAAACCTATGTGCCTTCAATAAACTGGTCATAGGCGGCACCATATTCCCACATAAACGCATACACAAAACCACATGGACTTCACCGGATCACATCACGCAAAACCAAATCGACCATATCTGCATCAACAAAAAGTTCAGGAGGACGATGGAGGACGTGAGAACCAAGAGAGGAGCTGATATAGCATCAGATCATCACTTGCTGGTCGCCAAGATGAAATTGAAACTCAAGAAGCACTGGACAATGGGGCGGACAATATCACAAAAGTTCAATACGGCCTTTCTTCAGGATACTAACAAACTCAACAAATTCAAGATAGTCCTCAGCAACAAATTCCAGGCCTTTCATGATCTACTCAATGGAGAAGGAACTACTGTGGAGAGCAACTGGAAGGGGATCAAAGAGGCAATCACTTCAACATGTCATGAGGTCCTGGGTCACAAGAAGCACCATCACAAGGAATGGATCACTGTTGATACACTGGATAAGATTCAAGAAAGGAGGAACAAGAAGGCAGCAATCAATACCAGTCGAACAAGAGCAGAAAAAGCCAAGGCACAAGCTGAATACACAGAAGTAAACAAACAAGTGAAGAGGAGCATCAGAACCGACAAACGTAAATATGTGGAAGATTTAGCAACGACGGCGGAAAAGGCTGCAAGAGAAGGAAACATGAGACAACTGTATGACACGACAAAGAAACTCTCTGGAAATCGCCGCAAACCAGAACGACCAGTGAAAAGCAAGGAAGGCGAGGTAATCACCAACATTGAAGAGCAACAAAACAGGTGGGTAGAACACTTCAAAGAACTCTTGAATCGACCAGCCCCACTGAACCCACCCAACATCGAAGCAGCACCCACGGACCTCCCAATCAATGTTGGCCCACCAACAATTGAAGAAATCAGCATGGCCATCAGACAAATCAAGAGTGGCAAAGCAGCAGGACCGGACAACATCCCAGCAGAGGCACTAAAAGCAGACGTAGCGGCAACTGCAAGGATACTCCACATTCTCTTCAATAAGATTTGGGATGAGGAACAAGTACCAACAGACTGGAAAGAAGGACTTCTGATCAAAATACCGAAGAAAGGCGATCTCAGCAAGTGTGATAACTACAGGGGCATCACTCTTCTCTCAATACCGGGAAAAGTCTTCAACAGGGTATTGTTAAACAGGATGAAGGACTGCGTAGACGCCCAACTTCGTGACCAACAGGCAGGATTCCGTAAGGATAGATCGTGTACAGACCAAATCGCAACTCTACGGATCATTGTGGAACAATCAATTGAATGGAATTCATCACTCTACATCAACTTCATTGACTACGAAAAGGCATTTGATAGCGTGGACAGAACAACACTATGGAAACTTCTTCGACACTACGGCGTGCCTCAGAAGATAGTCAATATCATACGGAATTCCTATGATGGATTAAACTGCAAAATTGTGCATGGAGGACAGTTGACAAACTCGTTCGAGGTAAAGACCGGTGTCAGGCAAGGTTGCTTACTCTCACCCTTTCTCTTTCTCCTGGTGATCGACTGGATCATGAAGACGTCAACGTCTGAAGGGAAGCACGGGATACAATGGACATCTAGGATGCAGTTGGACGATCTAGACTTCGCAGATGATCTGGCCCTTCTATCCCAAACGCAACAACAAATGCAGGAGAAGACGACCAGTGTGGCAGCAGCCTCAGCAGCAGTAGGTCTCAATATACACAAAGGGAAAAGCAGGATTCTCCGATACAACACAGAATGCACCAATCCAATCACAATTGACGGAGAAGATTTGGAAGATGTAAAAACCTTTACGTATTTGGGCAGCATCATTGATGAACAGGGTGGATCTGATGCAGATGTGAAGGCGCGGATCGGCAAAGCAAGAGCAGCATATTTACAACTGAGGAACATCTGGAACTCAAAGCAACTGTCAACCAACACCAAGGTCAGGATTTTCAATACAAATGTCAAGACAGTTCTACTGTATGGGGCAGAAACCTGGAGAACTACGAAAGCCATCATCCAGAAAATACAGGTGTTTATTAACAGTTGTCTACGCAAAATACTTCGGATCCGTTGGCCGGACACTATTAGCAACAACGTACTGTGGGAGAGAACAAACCAGATCCCAGCGGAGGAAGAAATCAGGAAGAAGCGCTGGAAGTGGATAGGACACACATTGAGGAAAGCACCCAACTGCGTCACAAGACAAGCCCTCACATGGAATCCTGAAGGTCAAAGGAAAAGAGGAAGACCAAAGAACACATTACGCCGAGAAATGGAAATAGACATGAGAAAAATGAACAAGAATTGGATGGAACTAGAAAAGAAGGCCCAGGACAGAGTGGGTTGGAGAATGCTGGTCAGCGGCCTATGCTCCATTGGGAGTAACAGGCGTAAGTAAGTAAGTAAGTATTGAATGGGGCTTGACATTAATCTCAATCAGTTATCTTAGTAATTTTACTACACATTTCTTTGTCATAAGTACGATAGAAACCGTCTCATTGATCTCTGTCCAGCAATACATAGAGTTGCCAAATTTTAGAGCAAATGAATTTTAATAAAAACTTTTTGAAACATCCATTACGTTTGAGCACAGTCTAATTTTTTACTTTGGAGCAACTGATCATGGTCTTTAGATGGCACTAACAGACTTGTAAAACAACAACTGTCTTCGTCGCAGATGATTATACACTGTTAGATAAGTGTAATTTGCACTAAAAAAGCACTTCTACCATAAGCCACAGGTAAGAAAGTAATAAACTTATGAATAAAGGCAATATTGACTCGTAAGTTCGATGATTCTATATCCCAACAACGTTGATCAACTTCATTTTGAAATATTTACACCAGGAAAAATACGAATCTCTAGAAATAATAATAACAAATCCACAGTACACTTTGAAAAAAAGTTTTCAGTATTACGATTATACCATTATATGTTTTGTGAACATTTTAATTCAAAAAGACTTTGTGTAGATACGATAAAATACCATGTCCATCAGGTTCGGTTATCAACAGAGATCGAGTTCAAGTTCAAAAGTGAAAAATAACAAATGTCAAACACAAATTCATAGTATTCAGATATGAACCACTAGCAAGATAGTAATTGTTCCTTCTCTTAAAATCTTATAATCACATTGAAAGACAAGAATGCCAGAAAACAACGTTGTGAAGTTTTAGATAACAAATAACTGAATGTGTGTTATTACGGGACGAACACTGAAAACTTCAAACTTCCAGGAGAATTGTACGATGATTATTTATTATTTTCTTGCATAGTAGGTAGAAGCTGGCTGCTGACTCCCCTTAGAACTCAATACAAGGGAATGATGAAAAGCTTGTAGATAGCGAACCAAAAAGAATATATATGAATGAAAATGAACATGGTGAGCTAACAATTTTAGATTGCTTAGTGAAAAGGAATCTAAATAGAATTCTAAATCTATCCATCTACCGAAAACCTACACACTAATCATTATATTGACTTCAATTCAGCACATCCCTTCAGTGCTAAGATCTCGATAGCCTTAAATCTTTTTAAAAGAGCTAACAAGAAGAGGAGAAACAAAAGGAAAAAAATGTAATTAGTATCTTACAATTTAATAATTTTCCTATGGAGATTATTAGAAGTATATTAAAACAAGACGTTTCATTGCGTAATAATGATAATCCGAATGAAATAACATGGATTAGTACTGTAGTTTTACCATACCGTCATGGCACAACAGAAGAACTCCAAAGAATCTTAAAACAACACAAAATTAAAGTATATTACAAAACAACGAACACACTTCGAAATACTTTAGTTCGGTCAAAAGAAAAAAATCGCATTCATGTCAACACAGAACTGCGTCTACAAATCAGGTTGTGTCGATTGTGATGTCTTCTATATTGGACAGTCATCTCGCGAAATTTCGACTCGTTCCGAAGAACATATCAGGTACACAAAAAAACCGCGTTATAATCCCGTAGAGCTGGACAGACTTCAAATTAAATCGGCAATAGCAGTTCACACCACTTTCAACGACCACCAAATCGACGTCAAAAATATGAAAATATTCTTGTTCGTACACTCAGTTCTGTTGTAGTTACACCGACACAGAGTTCAAAAGCTGCAGTAGCTCATACCAGCGCTGATATTGGATTTATATATGATCCAGATATGCGTGCCGGGATTGGCGCAATGGCTCTTAACGATCCAACATGTAGTGGTAGTACACATATAGGATATGCTAGCGGTGGAACTGGTTCATCTGGCAGTAATGTATGCTCTTCTGTATGTCGTCGCAGTCCTATCGTTGCAGATGTTTATGTTGTCAATGATGATCAAAGTGTAATCCGGTTAATTCGGTTATTTACTCTCTGAGGAAGTGACTCAAACTAAGTCACGAAACGTTGGAAAATCTAATTTTTCTACTCATTGAGATATGACAAATATGCCATTTATTTACAATGTTAAACGTACAGATCGGACATTCATTAAGTCTTAAATACTAAACTAAAGAGGAAAAAGTAGATTCGGAACAGCAAATAGAATTAAAATTGGAATTTTGATTAGTAAATTTAGCACATGATATCAATTACCACCTCAAGATATAGCCCTTTCTATATAGAGTATGTATTTTTACCAACTTAAAATCATAATGGGAAAACAATTAAATTATCTGCAAAGATGGATAGTGGCTAGCAGTGGGATCCAGGACGTGCGTTTCGTCCTATTTGAAACTCGTCAGCTGAATGGGCCTGCACCGCGGAGTTGATGTTCACTCTAAAGCTCGAACTCTGTAGTGACTTATATAAGGATAGAATGATTTATCCAACATGATCATTTAAACGAAGGACGATAAATATAGAAGTACAAAAATTTCCATATACCTACTTAATCGACAAACAGTCGAATATAAATAATTAAGTAATCACTTCTTATAAATGATGTAAACAAACTATCATCTAATGAAACCACCAGTAAAAAAAACTGTAATTAAACAAAAACAAACCATTAATCGAAGCCAGACAATTTCATCTCTAAGCCATTGATGTGCACTTTGTAAAAATTGTTCATGATTATTCATAAATGGAGTGATTTGAACAAGTAAATTAAAATATTCATCAGATTGTGTTATTTTCGATGGAACATAATTCTGAAATAAAATTTTTTGATATTTGCTATGAATCAAGTTAATCGGATATATATATATAGCTATTAAGAAAATTCTACAAAGTTTTGTTTGCCACAAATGCCCTGGTACGGCCTAGACTGGGGAGAGTCAGCTATCCCTCTCCAAATGCTCTCACATAGTCACGTGCATACAACCACTACCAGGGAAGTCCTAATCACTGTGTTCTAGTGGCATTACTGATGTTTATGAAATTAAGAGGACGAAAAGTGAATGTCCAGCACTTTAAACCGTTTGGTAGATATGGAGGATTCACTTAGGGGAGTTGGAAAACCCTGATTCCAAACCAATTGTACACATGGGTTGAAGGATCCTGAGGGAACAAATGGCGTATGAACCAATAATTAGTCACCGGCTACCATGGGACCGCATCTCGTTACGTTGATCCACTGCATTGTGGATTATACGTTTAGGTCAAAGGTTCGATGTGTGGCCTCCCAGGCACCCGGACAGTATCCCAGACCTCACATAAATCGAATGATTTATGTGGCTCATATCTGTTTGGTGCCTACTTGTACCAATGTTTTTTTAAATAAATAAATAAATAAATTTTTCTATATATTTTGAATAAATTTGACGTCACTTCAGTATTGTGTTTTGAGTAGCCGGTTGTAATGTAAAGGCAAATATATATGCAAGATATTGATCAGAGAGCTAATCGAAATATTTTGGAGTTGGTCCAGAGGCAATTCAGGTTTTGGCATAAATGTACATCGATCCAAACTACGATAATATATCATCACCAAACGGAAATGGATATCAAAGCATTAGTAGAAGTACAGTCCATGTAATTTTAAAAAGAGAAACAAACTTCACAATATATAAACTGTGAAATAATTTTAAGACTCAGGATATAGGGTAAGAAAAAGGATGAATGTGTCTGTGTTATTTCGAGCGATTTTGGCCTATATTAACCAACTTCATCAACTATTGGTCATAATAATCACTAAAATGTATGTCACATGTGAAGTAGTTCGAATACTTCACTTGAACCGGACGTTTGTGATGATGTTGATCAGAAAAACGATTAAAGCTCTACGACTAAAGCATCCACTTGAGCTACAAATCTATTCCATCATCTTAATTCAGATCTAAAGTTGTGCATAATCGTTTTCAGCGAATTCATTTCGATAGAGACATTGAGAGAGTTCGTTAACATAAAGCCTAGGAACGATGTGCGTTGACTCAAATCGTTATTTCGATAGAACAATGAGAAGACGGAGTTGATCTGAAAAATGTGATGTATTTGCGCTATACATTTCGAACAATCTGGTCACACATATACTTGTCAAGGCATTTTTATATGAAAATTAATAAAGGTTAAACAAATAAAAGTACAAATAACTAAGGGGAGAGAAAGAATAAGAAATTGTCCCGTTATCCTAGGCCATAGAATGACTTAAGGATTACCAAGGTAAATTCAAGGTTACGACAAATTGTTTTTGTACACATAAGGGGGGGGGGTAAATTTACGAATAGCTAAGGCTTCAGTAAACTTAAGAATTCTACCTTGACAATTTCTATACAACATTCTAAATGCTGTATTAATGTTAATTTTGTGCCCCGTCTCAATTATATGTTTCGCTATCGATGAACTTGGTTTTCTACCTCCTACATTGATCGGATCATTTGACACACACTGATTTTGAAGCCATCTGGGCACATTGATTGCATTGTTCGATTACTCCTCCCTATGTATGTGTGTCCACACAAACATGTAAATTGGTAAATACAATGGGATGTGACGTAATCATTAGTGCATTCTTTGGGTCTATTAGGAATCATGGCCTTAGACTTTTCAATCACTACCAACTGAGCAGCATAATACGTATTCTCGATGGCTGCTTTCAATCTCTGCCTTAAAACTATACTGTTAGATTCGCCTCTATATGGTAGATTGATATAAACCTTCCAAATCGTTATGTCTCATTAGCACGAATAGATGAAAATAACAAACGATATGAAAATACTGTTATAGTAATTATAGCAAGGTAGACTAAACCGTGGAATATGACTTGAAAAGACAGATTGGAAAGGTTTGTATGGAGAAATATCGTAATTCAAAATTGAGGGCAGGTAAAAGGTGAATGTATTTGTGCCAATGTGAACGATTCAAAGTTGTGTCACTCATTGTCTCCAACCCGTGATCGCGGTTACTGCGCAGAGCCTTACCAAGTGGTCTGCATCTACGTACATGACTCAATCTGATGGTCAATGGCTTCATAGGCTGGTACCATGTTTTAGTTTGGTCGGCTCTAGCTTCCTTGAAACCAACTCCTGCACCAGCAAGCATTAGTCGTCGAGGTTAGTGGCGGTAAGGCATACGTAACACAAGTCGTAAGCATCTCGATCGATGAAACACCATTCCCTCGTCAACCGATGTGTCACATCTGCCAATTACCCCAGATATATCCTTAAGATTACTCACTCCAAGACAATAGATTTCAATAACTGTGACAAGATGATGTAGGGTAGAAAACATGTAACGATTCATCTATTAGATATCTGTTTCACAGATGGGTGAAATACAACTAAATTGGATATTCAAACCTTAAGGTGTAATGATAATTGAACCTACCAATACTATAAATCGGAAGCATAAACTACACTTTCAAATACTCTTATTGACCAACAGAATATATTCTCAAAAATATTTCAAAACAGAAGATATTTTGACAACTAGCCGACTCACAAGTTAATATACATAGATTTAGATACAGTTGATAAACAAACTAAGTGTAACACAACTTACAGGTAACCAATTGAACATTTGTTCCAATGCATAATAGACATTATTTCTGTTCTCAGTTGCAGTAAATGTTAGTAAAGTATGCATAGAATATCTTGTAGATATGCGAATAATTAACGAGTCAGAAAATAACAAATCTTGTAACATATCTCCACCAGTTAATTGATAACTGTAATCATATTGATGAGAATGTGACTGAAGAATAGAAGGAGGTGGATATCGACGACATTGACGTGAATGTTTACGATGATTGCTACCACGACGATCACGACAACTACGATAACTATCTACTGTTGAATGATTCTGTGATAAACAAACTAACATTTTATATGATAAAGGGTACTTTAAAAATGTACGAAATTCACTCTGTGGATACAGACATTGATACCATGGAATACAGTTTAATGCTTCTATGATTACAGAACCTTGAGTTTCACCACTTCGAAAAGAATTAAAGCATTGTTCATGAAAGTTAGAATATAATAATTTTGACAAATTTCTATCTTCAATATCGTTGGAATCACTATTATTACTACTACCACTACAACTTCTACTACTATTATTACTACTACTACTACTACTACTACTACTACTACTACTATGACTACTACGACTATTATTACTGCCACCACTAATATTCTCATTATTAGATGAAGAACTTGACGATGATAATGAGTGTAACTGGTGAACAGAAGATAATGTTGACGATGAGGAAGCTGATGACAATGTAGATTCACACGATAATAAAGATATTGCCGATGAAGATAAACGAGTTGAATTGGACAGATTATTAGTAACTGTTTGTTCGGTATCATTAACAGGAAGAATATCTTCATTGATATCTTGAAATTTATTTTCAGTTAATACAAGTTGAGAGGATTCAACTGACAGATCATTTTTCAGTGAAGCCATTTCATCTATAAATGAAAAGAAATTTAAAAAAATTATCCAGAATATATATATGTCTCAGGATCGATATTCCGTGGGATTGTGGATCTGCATTGCTAAAGAATCACAAACTAAGGTGAAACAACTATTCAACGCTTCCTGGTTTTTAATGATTTCCTAACAAAGTTTAGTCTGTGACTAAAACTATTACTTACTTACGCCTGTTACTCCCAATGGAGCATAGGCCGCCGACCAGCATTCTCCAACCTACTCTGCCGTGAGCCTTCTTTTCTAGTTCCATCCAAAAGGTCATATGTAATACTAGAATACCTTTGTCTTCTATACATAAACTGAGCCATGAAATATTGCTTCTGCCTTCTGCTTTTCAGTTCAGTGTTAAAAAGTGTATTTCCGAGGATTTCATGTACGAAAACGCATCGAATTCTATGTATAAAAACGTGAACTTTGGGTAACCATATAGCATCATTTTTATAAAAGTTAATGAGTTTATTTTTCAAATGAAGTTAATTGAAAGTCAAACAAAATAATAAAATTCTTAAGATTTTGATGGATTTTTCTTCTCTGAGCTAAATGGTTTGGTCCTGGAGCTTTCAGGTAAAAGTCGACCTGAAGTTTGTGCTGATGATGTCATTCAGAAGAACGATGAAAGCTCTATCACCAAACCATCTAGCTCAGAGAACAAAACTGAATCAAAATCATCCACCTGAGCTACAAATCTTCTTCACCATCTCAATAAAATTCTTACCTTCTAATGAATTATTCTCTTGTACATTATTTATACCTGTACATGAATAAAGTTTATCAATACGATTAGGTTTCATACTAAAATCTTTTAAATATTCCATTGAATTTTCACAACCATATCTTGTTTGCCATCCAGTTAAGAATAGATTTCCAAAAGTATTATTTATACTACTTTTAAACCAGTAACTTTTCACTTCATTTATGGATATCTAAGAAATATAACAAAAATGACTTCACTAGACTAAATATAAAAACAGTAAATTTCTAGATAAACTGATGAATGATACAATTGAGAATGAATAACTATCATTTAAAACATGAATACACAAAAAATCAACATCTTTTAAGATGGGCTTATTAGAAGTACACCTAAATTGATATGTACATCATTCACCAGTTTATAGGATCAAGGCTTGATTATCATATTGACTGGCCACTTACATCAAAGATGTAGACTATTGGTTTCTAGTCAAGTAGTGACTTACTAGTTAGGGCGTTTGAATTTTAACCTCCAAATTAAAGATTCAAGTCTTAATCCAACTGTTTTGGAGTAGGTCCCCGATAATAACATAAGCGCTTACACATAAAGTGTAGCTTAAATCTAACCAGTACACGAATCTGTACTTAATAACTGTGTTATCTCAACGGATTCTCGTACAATATTCTGAGGGTAACTTACTATCTAAATAATTTACCACCAAATTTAGATGAAAAGTTCAAAAATCGATCTGAATAGTAAAAAATGGATAAATTCTTTACTTTTGTTTAAATTCGAGATTGAATACTACATTCCATACTTTTAACTATTTGGTTACGCCAATACTTTGTGAATTACCTATTTATCTAATTATTTCTCAATTTATTTACCTTACATTATGGTAAATGTTAATGTTAAGTATCATAACTCAAAATGATTTATATTTGACAGGTTAAGTTCTAAGTTGTCTATGAATAACTGACTAAATAAACTTGAATAAGAGTTTGAGAAATTGTGCATAATGTGCATCTATTTAATTCGTTATTATGTATACAGCTGTTGATATATCAATCAGGTGAACTTTTTTCTATTTGAGAGATGATTATTTCAATGCCAATTTAGTCAGTCAGTCAGCTACAACGTAGGACCAGGCACATATGTGCATCGGTCCAAGTTATCATACCGCATTAGCACAACAAGATGAACACCGGATTCATAGAAGCAGTTAACTCAATGGTGTAATATATAAAAGAAAGATGGCAATAAGGATATAGTACAGGAAGAAAGAATTAGTTCGTAGAAAGAAAGGTATGAAGGGACTTTAATCTCATAGTTCAAGGGAAGACAAAGAGTGTATAGACCTACACCATTGTGATCGATTCTGAGCCATGTCACCAAGAGCCTCCAACCATTGGTTACGATAGTCACGCGGACCCTAAACGAGTAGGTTGCATCTAACAACATGGCTCAGACTAGAAGTTAGTGACTTTGTGAACTGATGTCACGTTTTGGTTTAGCCGCCATCGAACCATCCCCAACACTATTCAGCATCGCGCATCGTGGTAATCGGTGTTTAGGGATACGCAACACGTGACCCAACCATCTCAGTCGATCAAGATTCGCAACCTCATCAACTGATTTACTATCATTCTCTAATACTCTGCGTCTAACCTCAATATTACTTGGTCATCCCAGCAGATACGAGCAATATTTCTAAGGCATCTGTGGTCAAATACTAGTAGCTTACGAATATCTTCTGCTCTTAATATCCATGTTTCGTATCCGTAAAGTAAAACAGAACGAAATGCTGAGTAGTACACTCGTCCTTTTATTGATAGACAAATATCTCGCCTTCGCCATAGGTGATGTATTTTGGCGAATGTCAACATAGATCTGACATTATTACAACTAGTCAGTTATGAATTGGAACAGGTTGAAACACTTAAAATGAGTACATTTAGGAAGTTACCAAGGTGAAAATGAAAATAATATTTATTAAATAGTAACGAAAAGCCTTGGTAATAAAGTATAAAATAAGGGAATAAATTTTAGAATAAAATGTAGTTTAATTTATAACTTAGTTACTTACAACCTGGATGGAGTTAATGTTTTATTCTCAGCAGTGTATTTCATATCAAATAGCTCAATGTACTGAAGTAGGCAGTAGGACAACATGTATAACAGACTGCTAGATCAAATCAGTTAAAGAAGGATTACAGTCTCATCATTCGACTACGTATCACCATGCAGTAGTATTAGCGCAATATAGATTGACATAAATCATGTTCCATGAAGGAGTGTTGGGGCGGATAACTGGAGACTTTAGAAACTCTTTGACTAAGAAGTACAAATATACTGAAGTTAAAGATGCCCAAGACCAAATACCCTTGGAATGTATGCACGACTTCTAATTTAAAAGGTCATATTCTACAGACACCGATTGTAACATGCTGGTAGCATAATAAATGAGAACAGGAATTCACGTGCCCTTCGGTATTGCATGTATGAATATACATACAATGAGGAATGTCAAATAAAAAAATTAATGGAAAACTAGCATAGAATATCCATTTAAATATGTCTAATCTGCAATAACGACTTCAATTTTAGACAAATTTCATAGTCAAGTGTTCGTATGCGAACTTGGGATCAGAGAGAGGGAGAGAGAGAATAATGTATCCGAGACCAGTTATCACTGAGCTTCAAGCTAAAGAAATGTAAGCCTTATGTGGAAACCTGCTTGAACATCTGGGCTACCTGTTTTTGCCATCTAAATATTTCAACAATTTATCTAATTTTGTTTGTTTCAATACGTCATTATGGCTATTAAACTCGTAACCTATTCAAGTGCACAACCTTTCGTTGAACTAGTTACAAAACATCCAATCAGATATCGTGGTTGCTAGCAATATGCAGCGAAAAGAATGTACATTATTTAGATGTCGATTGACTGGACTGCAAACTTCTAACTGGCGATCACCCATTATTTATCGTCAATATCGACCAAGAAGTAAGAAACGGAAACTTGTTGAAATAATTTGTGCTGAGCGTTCTATATTTTACCAAAAATATAATATTGAATAAAGCTAATAATAATATTATAATAATTCAACACTTTGATTAACTCACACTTCATTTAGAGTTTGCATGCCGTAAATTTAGTTTTATTGAATATTGAAAAAAAAAGCAAACAAGCGTTGAGATGATGTTATTGAATCGCCGTAAAATATTTCCAAGTATAAAAATAAATACACATTGAAATGGAAAGAGATAAGCAACTTACATTAGATACAATCGTCAACTGTGCAACGTGTAAAGCGTGTAAAAGTAGAAAATAATCTCCACCTAGTACAGGATGATTTGTACTACTAGTTAATTTATAAGTATGAAGTAGTAATTTACAAATATATTCAATATTATGCTCGGAATTATCAACAACATCACCATCACTATCAGCAGTAGCATCAAGATTTCCAGCAGTATTTCTTTCTGTTATCACCTTCGCTGCAGTAGTGGTAGTACTAGTACTATCTGATACCGACTGAACCAATGATAGTGGATTTTGTTGTAAAGAATTAGTAAATGAAAAATCATTCCGACAGGAACGAGGATCTTTCACAGCGACTGACAGAGAAATTAATAACTGATGAAATGATGACTTTTTGAATACATTACACATATAATCTGATATTGAATCTAGGTTATACAATACTAGTGTATTAGCTGTACTAATAAGTAATACACGAATTATTCTTAACAGCCATAGACGTATGTGATAGAGTAGTTTCCAATGAACTGTTGTGTCATAGAAAATAATCTGATTGTCATCATTTTTATTAACAATACTAACAAAAGATGAAAGCGAGAGAGAAGAAGAACGGGAATCGAGTAAATGATCATGGGATGAAGGACGTTTTCTTTCATTCTTCTCATAGTTAATAATTTTATGATTTAGTGATGATGTAGGAGTGAAGGAGGATACTAAAAGTGGAGACGAAAGAAGTAGGTTTAAGGCACCACCACGAAGTAGAAGCAGCTAAAATAAACAAACAAAAAACAATTATTTCAATAATTGAAAGATATAATTTGACGATAATAGTACTAATCGTGGACTGATATCACATACAAAATCATTGTAAACTAAGGAAGACTATAGTCGTCTCAGTTTAAAACTACCCAATTGCCAATCATATTCACAGCAAGAAATGAACTGAGATGGGTTAGTTTAAAAAATAAATGAGTTAGCACTGAATTAGTACATATTCCCAATTTCAGATGAATTTTTACAACTCTTACTTGACTTGCAGTACCTTTCCGTTTTTTATAATAAAGAGAGTACATAACAAATGTGTTATCTGAATGCTTAATGTACGTGTAGAGATTGCAAGATACAGAGAGATTTTTGACGTAAGTGTTGAATGGCACCATTTTAATATTACTTCCTAAAAGTTTCAGGATCCACTATTCATGATAAGCACCACAAACATGAAAAATTATCAATGATCACTACCTCCAATCAATTATCTAAAATCATAGCACATAATATATAAAAATTTATTTGATAAAATACTTACGGTTATAGTTATAGCATCTGACCAATCTGGAATTTGATTAAACAAAACGTTTGTAGTAAAATCTATTGTCCTTGGCATAGTGTTACTACTGATATTACCATTATTATTAGTAGTAGTAGTATTAAGAGGAAAAAAACGTTGACAATTATACATATTATTACTACTATTACATGGATTATAAAATTGACTATGATCTCCATTCAGTTTATTAAAATGATAATGTTTCACTAAACAACTAGGCATCATTAAACAATACAAAACTTGTAGTGTATACAATAATTCAATGTAATTCGGTGTATTCTCCAAATTGATTTGTTTATTATTGAATAAATTAAATACTCCAGTTGATACATTTGATTTTGTAAGTAAATGATGAAACCATGTTTGTGATAAGATAGCTGAATACAAAATAATAAACAACAATGTACATAATAATAGTAATAATAATAAAAACGAACAAAATGTTGTAACTACGTAACTTTCTTAACATATCCGATAATAAAGTTAGTTATACGACAGAATAATCAGATCCCTAAGCTTCCATTTTCTAAAAAGTGGATTTATTGCTGTGATTATTTTGATGGAATTTTCGTCCTTTGCTGGATGTTTTGGTCGTAAAACTTTCATTGTTCTTCTGAACGACATCATCAGCACAAACTCCAAATAGAAGTGAAGTGTTCCAATTTCTTCACATGTGATTCACAGCTTGTCCTATAGACCTCGAAGTTGATTGGTGATTGTTGACCTTGAACCTTTCATTCTTTACTACTTTATTTTGGTTGTATCTCCCATTGGTTTGATTTTCTTCCTAGGTTTGCGCACAATTTTCCTGACTGGTTGATAAATGGAATCAATTTCGAAGTGCTTGTTGATTGCTGATTGACCTGAGTGCCAAGCTTCTAAAAGTTCTCTAGTGTTATTGGAAATTCCTCTATCCAAGATTTCCAGTCCTCTAGTCAAATGAGTGTCCCCAGATGTCCACGTGCATAAATATAAGTGAGGAATTAGAAAGCTTCACTTCTATCTGAAGTTTGTGCTGATGATGTCGTTCAGAAGAACGATGAAATCTCCACGACCAAAACATTCAGCTCAGAGAACAAAACTCCATCAAAATCATCCACCTGAGTTACAAATCTTCACCATCTCATATGCTGTAAATATTCTTGTTTCAAATTTGTTCTACTTTACTAATTATCAGATTTGTCAGTTGTGTGCACTCATGAGGTTAGATCAAATGCTCAAAATCAGTTGTAAAACGAATAACTAAGAAACCACCACCATCACCACAAAAGTCAGCATATTTCCTTTCTCGTCTATCTCTGGTCTCTGAAGAAACAAGAAGTGATTAACATAGAATTCATACATAAATTACATTGTGGTAAAAAGAGCGATATGATAGGAGAAAGATTAATGGTAAACACTTACAAATGAATATGAATAAAAGTACATCGTTGTCTAAAGACTTTAAGATAAACATTCGAAATATTTACTCGTTAAATGTTAACCAAACCTGGATATTGTTTTAATCTTTGGATAATTTGTATTAAGAGCTTCCAAATGTTATGAAAGTGAGGAAAGAAAGAAATGTTATCACAATTGTAATACATATTCATGAAAACTCTATGCTTACAAGATTTCAGTTATTCATTCAGCTACAGAAGTTAGGAAAGAAAAAGAACGAATGCACCTGCACCTTTGCAAATGTTTTTGAGCTGTCTTTCAAATTCTATAACCATTAGTTACGATAATCACGCGTACACCAACCAGGTAGTCTACATCCATTACCACAGCTCATTCCAAATGTCAATGACTTCATGGACTGATGCTATGTTTTGGTTTGACGATCCCTAGCTCTCATCTAGCCTACTTTTACACCAGATGACATAGCAGATGAGGTGGGCGGTGGTTGTGCACACTCGACACACGTCCTAACCACCTCAGTTGACAAAGATTTACCACCTCATCAATCGATTTCTCATTGTTACCTAGTATCCTATTTCTAAAACAAATATTGCTTACTCCGTGATAAAAAAAATACACAAACAATGCTTTGTAGGCACCTATGATCGAATACCAATAACCTACGAGTACCCTCTATTCTTAATGGTCATGATTCACAATTATGAAGAGGGACAAAGAGAACTGTCGAGCCGTAAACTCGTCCTGTGGTTGAAAGACGGATATTTCGCCTATGCTTTACAAGATATACCACTGTTTTAGTGGGTATTTCGTCAACAATGTCAACGTTTTACAGCATTTTATGATTTGTATAATTAACAACTTTCTCAAAAAATTAAAAATAAAATAATTAATCAATCACGTATATGTTCAAATAGTGAAATTCTTGAGAATCGCTCTATTACGGCACCTAATTTGGCGTTTCAAGTACGGCTTAGTAAAAACAAACAGTGATGAAAAAGTCCCTGTTTAGTCGATTAAGGTACGATATAACCACATTACTACTCCTACTACCACTGAATAAATCTTGGAAAAAAAGAAACAGAACTTACGTTCATTGCAACGTTCAATAATTTTCTTATCAACTAACTGGATTAAATTATCTTTAATAAATTTAATTAATTTTTTATGCAATGGCATACAATTGAGTAGTTGCATAATACTATGAATTATATTGGAATGGTTTAAAGCTAATGCAATCCTGCTCAAATTTAATAAGAATTCAATACGTTGATCAGTATTTAAAACTATAAGCCAAAAAAAAAGAAAAAAAGGAGAAAGAATGATTTTTGTGTAATGATGGAATGTATATCTTAAATAATACTGTGGTGTATGCTACTTATAACAAGTAGTATAATAACAACAGTCATGATTGGAATGTCTGGTAGTAGAAGATCGAGAGGGAAAGAACGCGAACAGAAAGCAATTGGCATGAAAATGCAGGAACAATGAAGTCTGAGACAATTGATTGATATTTGCAAAAGGACCAGTTAAGTTTGAGATAACTGATTGATATTTTACAAATTAAGTATTTACTTTATGGCTCTCAGATTTTACTAAGACGTGATGTAATTTTGTGTTCAAATACATCCAATTGTCACCATTTGTATTCTCGTTCACTACAATAAGAGTGTAGGTTGTATTTGGTACACAGAATTTGAACCTTACTGTACTGTTTCCACATGTTAGTGAATGGATGATGTAATTGACTTGCGTTGACTTTCTCTAAACTATACCAATAGATGCTCCGGAATGGTATGTAGATGTAATCTTAACGAACGACTAACACAAATATATTCACAGAAACAGGTGAACTGGTATATGTAGATTGGGTTAATCAGTCGTAGCAACTTATCATTCACTTGAAGAAATGGAAGGGTAACTGTAGCAGTTTATATGCATATTTTCTGCATTAAATATATTTCGAATTTATGTTTTTAGACGGTTTTTAAGCCTACAATCAACAAAGCCTATTTAAACTGAAGATGTACTAACAGCGTTTTCTTTTGAACATTGTATTTGGTCCGTTAAAGGTGTTTCTCCCTCATATTTCTCGCAGTTAATTTCGACATGTATGCATTCTTTAGAGAGGTGAATTTCAGAATGGACAGTTCAACTATTAAGTGATCGAACGAACAATTTTAACAATATCCTGAGCATAGGGGATGGATGAGTTTTTCTCGTTTCAAAATTCAGTTAAAGAGTTCAGGAGATGTACACCTAAATATACAGAATGACTAATAACTAAATCCGTTGATAAATATGTCAATTTCATTGGTTAGTGCTGTGGTGACGTATGAAATCCCATATCCTGAAAATATTTATTTAAATAAGTTTTGTCCATGTTCATTTATATTTTCATTGTATTGTGATGGGCGGTGTCCAAAATGTGATACTGATACACAATGTGCTACGTGCTAACCCCCCAACTGACAACATGAGCAAGCAAGTGTATTGGGTTGCCGAATATGGTGCACAAATACTCATTCATATATATACCACTCTAATCCATAGGAAATTGGTCCTTTTACTATCCAATGAAATGCCATCGATTGACCTTCTCATTGGGTTACTTCTGATTGGCTTTTAATATCACACTGTTGTATATGCAAGTTTGTATACAGTAAAGGTATGACTCTCTGTTTATTGATCAACCATTGATATATACATTGACAGGAGAAGTGATTTATATCAACAACGCAGCTTTTTGGCAAGTAATGGTCATTCAACTATGTAATTAACGGATTATAGTTCAAGGAATCAACAGTACATCAATAAAAACAGGCACACAATTTTACTTCATTCAAATATTCGTTTTAAATTTTCAGTTTTAGGAAAACGCTACAACTACGAAACTGTGGACAATCCCGAATAAAAAAAGTGAAGGGGGTGGAATACAGTCAATATTTTTATGAAGATAATGATAGAACAGATATTGACAACAACTCAAGCGCATTTTATGATGATAAAACAAGTTGCCAGTCAAATGTAGATACCTCTGAATAGCCCATCTTTAATTAGCAGGTTGTGTTGACAACGTTCCCTAGAGAGATAACAAAGTTTTACAATTAAACAACTTAAGTTCAAAGAACACAACCCCATTAAGAATATCCTTCTGAACTAAGACAGATCATGTTTGTCATTTCAATTCCAAGTATTATTGAAATAGAGCTATCGAAAATATCGTTGTCCTCCATTATGACGTACACATACAGAAAAGATGTCATCATTAATGATGCCATATTACGACACTTGAGAATTCCATTGTGCTACAATTTCTGAATAATCATATAAGATAATCTATTCTGTCATTGAATGAATCAGTATTTTTCTTCACGTGTTCCTCTTCAAGGTTTCATGAAACTTGAGGCACAGAGGAAAAACACATCCTTCTTTCTCTGAACAGTTTTATGATTATTCGATGCAATCAATCTATTACTGTCGTATTGATTTATTTGAAAATACTACTTAATGAAAGTTGCACGAAGACAATAATTGTCAAAATTCTACTTGTTCAGTTTGTTTGGTATAACATACTTATTGTTCTAGGAAAAATTAACGTATACAATATATAGATAATAAAAAAAAATAGTAATTGACTAGTAGTAAAACGTCAACTTACTGAATTCGCCTTCACGATCAACATCCGATTGTTGATTGCATTTCAGTACATCAGAGTCGTCTATCTTCAATTTACTATCTATCAATAAACTATCACATTTACTATCATTATTATCACTATTATTATTATTTGCAAGTTGTTCTTGTTCAAGATTTCGATCAATTATTGAATCGAATATTTTTAATTCTGATGGCAGTAAGTGATCATCGTCTTCCAGAAAATTATTATTATTGTTACTTATAGTGGCAGTAGCAGTAGTATTGTCAATAGTATTAAGATGGCCTAGGGCAATATCGCTACTACTTTGTTGTGTTGCACTGACTTCCATATTATCAAACACTTTAAGATTATAAGAAAATTGAAAAGAGCCAGGTGTTGTAGTTGATGATTCAGTAGTGGACGATGATAATTCGTTATTGGTAAACATTAATTTTGCGGACAATTCCAGACTAGAAAATAATTAGGTAGATAATTATAACAAGGTTGGAAGATAAAATAAACAAAACCCCAGAGACTATCATTGATGTTTTAAAAGGGAATCAATGTAAATACTTTATACAAGTGAATAGTATTAATTAATTACCAAAACTATTACCAAATAAGTCCATTAATTAGTTCAACTTAATGATAAGGTAGATCATTGGTGTATTTTACAGCACTGTTCAACGTGATTTCGTTTTTTTCTACATTTAGTGAATATTGATTACAGAATTGACATAAACCTCAATATTCACATCATCTGTTTCCTTAAGTAGAACAAAGACCATCTGTTTTCCACCAACTTTGTGCACATACTATCTTACTGATGACCAGAATATAACGTTAAGGTGTGCGATGGCAGGTTAAGAGTGGCACCTTTTTCTTTACCAAAATTGATAGGTTAAAAGCTTCAACCGATTGACTGTTTTTAACTTGTAACCTACGTCAAACCACAGTATAGTTCACTTTATGGCTGTATTATACAAAAAGAATGTATCAAAAACATTTATTATCAAACAACAGAAAACAACGCAACTCTTATACCTACACAAAGTATAATTCATAGTCACAAGAAAACGAAGGGTAAATTTTTCACTAATATGCTCGATTTTTCATGCATGGACAGAAATCTCACTTATGGCACGAGTGTAGTGAACTGGCTTTTCGTCTCCAGATTAAAATCTCATCAGTCATCAATATGCCAAAACTAACCTAAATTCCGAAATTAATGAAGGGGTCAATATGTCAACTACTTCACTGACCAGATTACGTTGATGCACACATTTAATATATGAAGAAGGCATTGCGAAACAGTCTTTTGCAATTGATATCAATAGAAAAAGAACCGATTGAGAGAAAAAAAATGATTAAAAAACCTCAACAAGAGAGCAGAGAACGAAAAATATAGGATGATTTAATATAATGTTAACTAATTTAAACAGTGATTCCTTAAAAATATGATGTTGACCACCTCGATAACAACGAAGGAAAACAGATAATCAATAATAAATAATCATAATCACTTACTGAACAAATGGAATATCATTATTTATATGATCACGATTGTCCAGGAAATTCTTAGTCCAATTTGGAAAGAACAAAAATAAATTCACCAGCAACTCATTATCAATATTATGATGTAATATACAATCATTTGAATTTGTCTGTTCCACATTTATTATACGTAATTCTAACTGATACATTGAATTTGTCATTGAATGTGGAATATTATTATCTTGACATTGAATACCACTACTACTACTGCTACTACCACCACTGGTACCTCTAACACCACCATTACTACCGTTATCATTGAAATTGTTATTTGATGTGAAACCATGTAGACAAAAATTTAAAAGATAAGCACGTAATTCACCAAAAGTCAGATTTCCATGTACAATGAGTGTAATCGTAACTGTCTTACCATCAGATAGATAAATTTGTTTATTGTTATCAACAATATCATCATCAGCACTAATATTGTTGTTATTACTATTGGTAGGAAATAAAATTGGTAAACCTTGACAAGTGACTGTTAAGAAAAATGACGAACCAATCCATGAACTGTAAAATGGAAATAAAAAATAAATGAAGTGAAAAATATCAAAACAAATAATCATAGTTTAGATCAAGAAGTGATTTTAGCTACACCACCACTGAAGACCTGGACAGGTATTTCGTTCCTGTATCGTATTCCTCAGTACGACCCTGCAATCAGAAACTGGACTCAACACTTACAGTCTCACACATGAACGCTTGATCTACAGACGAGAAATATTGCAATGAAGACACTAAACAGACAATATATTAAATAGCGTTCAATGGTTTCTTTGTAGATGTAATAAAATCTAATGAACAAGTATCAGTTTCATGTTAATTGAAACTCGTCAATAAGACATCATTGTGGCATAAAAAGTAAGGCAATCTCATATCATATTTGAATTTTTGAGCACGCTCAAAGCATTTGGTACTGAGAAGTGCGACGGCTCTAAACCGTGTATTAACTCGGCATCTAAATGATACCGGATATATCAATGACATTTCTCAATCTATCACAATTGCAATCAGATAAAAATAACGCAATTTCTCTTCAGTTCTCTGAGGCAGGCAGAAGCTCAAAAAGACCATTATCAATGTAGCATTACTTACTTACTTACGCCTGTTACTCCTAATGGAGCATAGGCCGCCGACCAGCATTCTCCAACCTACTCTTTCCTGGGCCTGCTTTTCTAATTCCATCCAATTCTTGTTCATTTTTCTCATGTCTATCTCCATTTCCCAGCGTAATGTGTTCTTTCGTCTTCCTCTTTTCCTTTGACCTTCAGGATTCCATGTGAGGGCTTGTCTTGTAACGCAGTTCGGTGCTTCCCTCAACGTTTGTCCTATCCACTTCCAGCGCTTCTTCCTAATTTCCTCCTCCGCTGGGATGTGGTTTATTCTTTCCCACAGTTGATTGTTGCTAATAGTGTCCGGCCAACGGATCCGAAGTAGTTTGCGTAGACAACTGTTAATAAACACTTGTATCTTCTGGATGACGGCTTTCGTAGTTCTCCACGTTTCCGCCCCATACAGTAGAACTGTCTTGAAAATTCTGACCATGGTGTTGGTTGACAGTTGTTTTGAGTTCCAGATGTTCCTCAGTTGTAAATATGCTGCTCTTGCTTTGCCGATCCGCGCCTTCACATCTGCATCAGATCCACCCTGTTCATCAATGATGCTGCCTAAATACGTAAAGGTTTTTACATCTTCCAAATCTTCTCCGTCAATTGTGATTGGATTGGTGCATTCTGTGTTGTATCGGAGAATCCTGCTTTTCCCTTTGTGTATATTGAGACCTACTGCTGCTGAGGCTGCTGCTACACTGGTCGTCTTCTCCTGCATTTGTTGTTGCTTTTGGGATAGAAGGGCCAGATCATCTGCGAAGTCTAGATCGTCAATCTGCATCCTAGATGTCCACTGTATCCCGTGCTTCCCTTCAGATGTTGACGTCTTCATGATCCAGTCGATCAGCAGGAGAAAGAGAAAGGGTGAGAGTAAACAACCTTGCCTGACACCGGTCTTTACCTCGAACGAGTCTGTCAATTGTCCTCCATGCACAATTTTGCAGTTTAATCCATCATAGGAATTCCATATGATATTGACTGCCTTCTGAGGCACGCCGTAGTATCGAAGAAGCTTCCATAGTGTTGTTCTGTCCACGCTGTCAAATGCTTTTCCGTAGTCAACGAAGTTGATGTAGAGTGACGAATTCCATTCAATTGATTGTTCCACAATGATCCGTAGAGTTGCGATTCGGTCTGTGCACGATCTATCCTTACGGAATTCTGCCTGTTGGTCTCGAAGTTGGGCGTCTACGGAGTCTTTCATTCTGTTTAACAATACCCTGTTGAAGACTTTTCCCGTTATTGAGAGAAGAGTGATGCCCCTGTTGTTATCACACTTGCTGAGATAGCCTTTCTTTGGTATTTTGATCAGAAGTTCTTCTTTCCAGTCTGTTGGTACTTGTTCCTCATCCCAAATCTTATTGAAGTGAATGTGGAGCAAGATTTGGAATGAGGAATAAGTCTTACCTTGATAAATTTACAATTTGATTTTCATCATCTGAAATTTTGGTTATCTATTTGAAGTAGTTAATTAAATCTTTTCAACCAATACAAACGAAATAAAATTTACACCATTGGACAAGACGGTGGTTACCCTAGTAGCTACGTGATTGACTCGCTGGTGTTTAAAGCGAAGGGAATTGAGTTCGAATATCGGGGTGAAAGTCAAATCTGAGAAGTAGGTATTTCTAGGTTATGAGTCATATTTGGGAAGAAACGCGCGTCCTCGATTCCACTGGAAATCACCATCCAATTCTGCTTATAATTATCATAATAATAATTACTATTACTATCTTATTATTATGTTTATTTTGTTAGACATACACTTTTATAAACTCTTCAAACTACAGATGTCAGAAAATCGGTATTCATATGTGGGCGTAGATGATAATGATTGGTTGTCTGCTTAGTCAGATATGTAGATAGTCTGATAGGTGTTAGGTGAGTTATATATTCTCCTATCCTTATAATTATTGTTATCCATTGTTCATTGTTGTTGGATTGTGTCGGGTTTTGGTGTGGAAATATATTTACGTTGTGGTCAGGCTAATCACGTGTTCTTGGTCTGAATTGTGTTCAAGTCCTGTAGAATAAACACTGGGAAGGAATCTAGTGTAGACATTCGTCTAAAGTAAATTAACGTCTCATACGTGTAAACGTGGAAACCTAACCGTTATAACAGGTATCACGTCAATATAGGGAAAAAACCGTGATTCGATAGTTCATCTGCATTTGCTAAAATTTATGCTAAGATAAAGGATAATAAGAATTTCGCAACAATCCACTTAACAATTTAGAAAAATATACTCTGTACCTAAAATTTTTTAACTGACCGCGTCGTGGTAATCGGTGTTCCGGCATACGTAACACGTGACCCAACCATCTCAGTCGATGAAGATTAACAACCTCATCAACTGATTTACTATCATTCTCTAATACTCTGCGTCTAACCTCAATATTACTTACCCAGTCATCCCAGAAGATACGAGCAATATTTCTAAGGCATCTGTGGTCAAATACTAGTAGCTAACGAATAACTTCTACTCTTAATGGCCATGTTTCGTATCCGTAAAGTAAAACAGAACGAAATGCTGAGAAGTATACTCGTTCTTTTATTGATAGACGTATATCTCGCCTTAGCCAAAGGTGACGTAAGTTGGCAAAAACCAAACGAACTTTTCGAGTTAATAGACAATTAAACAGGCATAGAGCTTACCGTTTCAATGGAATACAATCATCACTTGCATCATTAATAAACATTTCTAAATTCATTCTAACTGTAAATCGTTTCAATAATTTTAAAATTCTTGATATACGTCTGAATGTAGCTGATTTTATTTCAGGATCACATGATAATGAGGTAGGTGATGATGATGACGGTGATAGTTTTGATGAAAATGTTGTTTCATAGTTTGTTTGTTTTTCGATAGAAGAAATTAACTATAAACGAATATAAAAGGACAGAAATGACAAGCATATATTTAGTGATGCTTTTTAGTGAGTCATTCAGTAACAACATACAACTTCGTACGTACGTACATCAGTTCGAGTTGCCATACCACATTAGTACACACATAAAATTGTCCATTCAAATCCCATAGTGGTACAAGTAGTAAAAGTATAAGCAGTAATCGGAAACACTACGGTTGTAAGATGTTATTCAACCAGTATAATACAGTGAAATAAATTTGGAATGAGAAAAATGAAAGGGACATGAAGAATTCAGAATATTTGAATTTGGGAGTACACAAAGATTGGATGAAACTGCCATTGCAAACCATTTTGAGCCATGTCATTCAAGGTGTCTAACCATCGGTTGCTATCGTCTCACAGATGCCAACCAGGTAGCCTACACCTAACAACGTGACTCAGTCCACTTGACAGTGAATTCATAGATTTGTACCATGTTTTGGTCTGGCCGCCCCTAGCTTTCTTCCAACCTACTCCTACATCATAAAACATCTCTTGTCAGGGCAGTCGGTGGTTAGGCAATTTTAGACAGTTAAAAGAATGGAAATTTCAATAAAGAAATGAACTAAATTCGATTCATGATGAAAAAGTCCACCCCCCGTCATACTAGTAGTGTTCATATGGTCCACTAGTGATTCATTTCAAAGGGAAATTCCCAGATTTCTAGTGATTCATGATATTTGATTGTTGAGAGAATTTAGAGTCCTAGGTTCAATATTTACTATGGTAGTTGGTGGGCATTGCTGAAGAACGATATACAAGGATATATCAGCAGTCCAGTTCTTGCTTACTTTTAGTGGTTGTCTGACGAAAATTAGACCTTAGTCAACCAGAAAATAATTTTTAAATTTTTATTTTCATATTTTTAGAAGACGTTAGAAAACTTAAATTCGCCTAAGATACACAATTTTAATTGTTGGTTGACCGATAAAAACACCTAAATTCTTACTAGAAACAGTCGTATGTTTATAGGTGTCATTACCAAGGTTTGATTTGATAATTTCGAATAAATTGAGCATTAGGTTGATTGTTATAAATAAAAATAATATATTTGTAATATCCCAATGAGTAGAAAATTGGATTTTTCTGACGTTTCGTGGCTTAGTGTAAGTCACTTCTTCAGAGAATAAATAACCAAATTAAATTAATCCAAGTTTAAATAGTACAACGGAACAATGCAAGAATAATATTTGATCAATCAAAAACAGGTCTGAACAAGTTGATGTATGTCATTTCTGTCAAGGTGATTCATAAGTGATAAGTATGTAAATTTGTGTATGTATGTATGTGTGCATTGTTTAGGAAAGAAAACTGTGTGACCTATATGGTAAGAAAAGATAGAGTTTAAATTTGTAATATGATAGTGTGAAATTGTAAATACGATCAGACTGAATGGTTAGGATAGATGGTCCAAGTAGGATGTATGGTAAGACCTTCCTTTCTATTGAGAGAAGTAGGATTAAGCATTATATGGAACGCCTCAGCTACCCTCCTTTCTTTGTAGTTGGAAAAGCCTTATTGCAATATTTTGATATTTTTAAAATCGATTTGGTGGTTGTTGAAAATGGCATGAACTGCTATTGCCGATTTAATTTGAAGTTGGTTCAATTCTACGGGATTGTTAGGAGGTTTCTTTGTGTACCTAATATGTTCTTTGGCTCTAGTCATGATTTCGCGGGATGACATCACAATCGATACAACCTAATTTGTAGACGCAGTTCTGTGTGGACATGAAAGGGATTTTTTCTTTCAGGCGAACTAAAGTATTACGTAGTGTGTTCGTTGTTTTGTAATACACTTTAATTCTGTGGTGTTTTAAGATTCTTTGAATTTCTTCTGTTGTGCCATGACGGTATGGTAGGACTACAGTGCCAATCCAAGGCATTTCATTCGAATCATTATTATAACGTAATAAACTGTGTTGTTTTAATATGCTTCTAATAATCTTCATAGGTCCTACCATACATCCTACTTGGACCATCTATCCTAACCATTCAGTCTGATCGTATTTACAATTTCACACTATCATATTACAAATTTAAACTCTATCCTTTCTTACCATATAGGTCACACAGTTTTCTTTCCTAAACAATGCACACATACATACATACACAAATTTACATACTTATCACTTATGAATCACCTTGACAGAAATGACATACATCAACTTGTTCAGACCTGTTTTTGATTGATCAAATATTATTCTTGCATTGTTCCGTTGTACTATTTAAACTTGGATTAATTTAATTTGGTTATTTATTCTCTGAAGAAGTGACTTACACTAAGCCACGAAACGTCAGAAAAATCCAATTTTCTACTCATTGGGATATTACAAATATATTATTTTTATCTATAGTCGTATGTTTAGCATGATATCCATCACAAGTTGTTTCAATAAACATGTTTCCTGGATGGTATTTATCATCTCGATTCCTGAGTCTTTAGTGTAATTGATATGTTATTGATCATTGTGTTATTAATCCGGTGATTCAAATGATAAAGATGTAGACTCGCACATAACAACATCATCAATACAAACTTCAAATGTTGAAAGCTCCACAACCAAACTATTCAACTCAGATAACTTCATTCAAATCATCTAAGTGAACAATAAATTTCACTGGTTGAAGTCATGAGTCAATTGAAGCTACACTACCATTGAAAACCTGGAAGCACCGTACGAACCCTTGTTCCTAGTATGGGACTCCTCAGCAGTGCTCATCCACGATCCCGCCCCTGCGAGATTCGAACCCAAGACCTATCAGCCTCGCGCCAGGCGCCTAACCAACTAGACCAGTGAGCTGGCATTCAACAGTGTTACTGTCTAACTTCAGCCAATCCACGAAGTTGCGCCACCGTACACCATTGTCTTCAGTGAGCTGATATCTCACAACAGACCTGGTTGAACTCCACTGGTAACGGCTTCTCACTAGAACTCCAGGAGTATCTCTTGAAGTCAATCACTAGTGAGCAGATGATTATTATCAGAAGGGGTTTTGTGGAGATTTTCGAAATTTCACTGATTTAAATCATGAGTCAATTGAAACTAGACCACCATGGAAAACCTGGAAGCACTGGACGTCCGTTTCGTCCTAGTATGGGACTCCTCAGCAGTGCGCATCCACGATCCCGCACCCAGGTTTCACAGTAGTAATAATACATGCAAATTGCTCAATAGATTTGATAAACAGAGTAATCAAGGAACCATTAACTGATTAGAGTTTTTAATTGATATTCACTTATTAATTCATGAAACGAATGAAATAGAGTAAATAGTTGTTTACTTTTAGCAACGAGAGAAGTGGTCTAAAAAGAGGGTGGTCTACAATAATTCCTTTAACAAGAGTTAGGAAAATTGATGTATTCAAGCAGTCTATCATAGGGAACTACAATGGAAAGCTCAGCAAGGAAAACATAGTTCAAATGGAATTAAATGAGACCGAAAAATGGAATATATGAGAATTAGAGATTGAATAAAACGGTGCCATTACAACCGATTCGAAGCTATGCAATAGAAAAGTGCTAAATGGTGAGTGATGATAATCATACAGATTCATATCAGTAAAAATATAGATGATAATGAAATGAAAAATCAACAACAACTTCATTAATGACATCATTGTCGCTTGAATCTCTTTGTTAACTCAAGTTTAATAAAGCAGTCAAAAATGGACAAACTTCCGATGTTCTGAGCCATTGAATAATATCAAAATGAATAAAATCATTGATATAATACACTATAAAACATTTATTAACAGCAAATTTTACGTAAGTAAATCTGAAACACATATTAGTAATGTTATAACTGGTGATACTAATCATTTTTACAACCGAAATAAGCAACGATTCACTTCAAATTGAAGACTTAATAATTGAAAGCTGAATGAGATAGACCATTAGTTACTGTTGAGATGCCTTCGAGAAGTACGGTGAAGCCTTCAGAGACTCTAAAGGAGCTTAAGGGTTTCCATCTAACCAGAGCATGACAGAACTTCCTAATACATCAACGTGGCATGCTACAATTAGACGATAGCATAAATTGCCTTCTTGATGATTGGCTGAATTATAATAATGTTATAGCCAACGTGAATAAATATAAATATCCATGTTTTTATGTGCATTCCTGATTCTTATCCAATGTACAGTACAACAACTTTCAACCAATATCAAAGTCACAATCTTCAATACGAACGTTAAATCAGTTTTACTGTACGGAGCTGAAACTTGGAGAACTACAACAACCACCATCAAGAAGGTACAAGTATTTATAAATGGTTATCTACGCAAGATACCCAACATCCATTGGCTGTGTACCATCAGTAACAGCCTTTTGTGGGAGAGAACAAACCAGCTTCCAGATGAAGAGGAAATTAGGAAAAGGCGATGGAAATGGATAGGACATAGACTACGAAAATCGTCAAACTGCATCACGAGACAAGCCCTAACTTGGAATCCTGGAGGGAAGCGGAAAAGAGGAAGGTCAAAGAACACATTACGTCGGGAAATAAAAGCAGATATGGAAAGGATGAATAACAACTGGAAGGAGCTCGAAAGGATTGCCCAGGACAGGGTTGGATGGACAGTGTTGGTGGGCGGCCTATACTCCTCTACGAGGAGTAATAGGCGTAATTAAGTAAGTAAGTACTTGGGGGGTTCGACACATTCAATTGTAGTTAATCTTATAGCACATTCAACGGTAATATCAAGCAGAGGACATAAACGTTACCACATAATTTAAACTCAATAAATAACATGACAATAATTAAGTTGATTAAGAAAAATAACAATTAAAAGACAAAAAGAGAATCTAAAATACATACCTCATTATATTCTGTTTTAATATATGTATAACATAATTTCATAATATTAAAGCATAATTCTTTACGTTTATTTAAATTTATAGTAGAACTATAATTAGTATATAATTGTAATAATAATTTGCATATTTTTTGATAAACTATTTTATTTGAATATAAAATAAAATTCCATAATTGTTTTAAATTCATGAATTTAATACTTGTTGAATTAGTAGTAGTAGTTGTCATGGTTTTAGTAGTATTCATAGTAGTCATAGTCTTAGTTACAGTAGAATAATTACTATTAAGTGTAGTAAATGTATAATCTGTTTTATTAGGAATAATTGTTGATGTTGCTGTTGCTAATGATGATGTCATTGATAATAATTTAATTGTATTGAATCCATTCAATTCACTAATAATACATGTATTATCCGAATTGATACGACAAAATAATTGAACAACAAATCTAATATGAAGATAATAAAAGTATATCAATATTATATTTGTATCGGTGATTTAGAACGAGAGTTGAGTGAGTGAGTGAGCGAACGAGCGAGCGACCGATCGAGCAAAAGACAGAAAGAAAAGAGTAACCGAAAATAAACAGGATATGAGTAGAGTTGAGGAAGAAAAAAATTAAATATCATCATATACAAATAATTGATAATTATTTTCTTTATAAGAAATTTATAACTAAAAATAATTTTACGTTTTACAATTCATTAATGTTCATTCTAATTCTTTTTTTAAAATAAAGATTTAATCAAATATTTAAGTGTAAGACAAACTGTAGTAGAATTGATCACTCATGTGTCTATTTATTACATAATAAGTATCTATCAGTCAGTCAGTAACAACGTGGAACTTCGTACGTACGTACGTAAGTTCGAGTCGCCATACCACATTAGCATACAGACACAATTGTCCATTCAAATCCCATAGTGGTAGAGGTAGCAAAAGTATAAGTGTGGTGTATGCTACTTATATTGATATAAGTAGTATATGATGTTAGTCTTAAACAGAATGTATGGCAGCAGAGACAAGAGGATGGAACAGAAAAGAATGGAAACAAAATGTAACTTGTATGAAAATGCAAGAACAATGAAGTCTGAGTCATTATGAGACAATTGATGGACATTTTGCAAATTAAGCATTTACTTTTCGATAATGATATTAGAAGACGAAGATTATCAGAACTATGTGATATATTAGCGCATATTATCACATAGTTCTGATAATCTTCGTCTTCTAATATCATTATCGAAATAAGCATTTACTATTTGATTGTCAGATTTTGTTAACAAGTCCTGTAATTTTGTGTCAAACACATTCGATTGTCCCAACCCGTGTTCTGTTCACTACATAAACAGTAATCGGAAACACTACGGTTTCAAAATGTTATTAAAGGAGTACAATACAGTGAAATAAATTTGGAAAGAGAAAAAAGAAAGGGACATGAAGAATGCAGAAGATTGGAATTTGGGAGAACACAAAGAGTGGATGAACATGCGCCATTGCAAACCTTTTGAGCCATGTCATTCAGGGTCTCTAACCACCGGTTGCTATCATCTTGCAGATCCCAACCAGGTAGTCAAACCAAACGTCAGAAATACAATTTTTCTACTCATTGATATATCACATAAAAATAAATTTATTATTAACTTATTTGAAATTATCGACCTTGACATTGGTACCTACAAATTGATACAATAGAACTATTTATGGTACATGAATATTTGAAATTGCTAGTAGGTGATGCCATTGTTAACAGTTCAATACGAGGAAAAATACATTAATAAATACTTGTTTAAAATACATGTATGTTTATGCAAAATTTAGATTTATGTCAGACTAGAATGAAGAGAGAATTTGAATCTTGTCACCTGAGTCGAACAGGAAGAAAGTTTTGCTTTTTCAGTGTTTATTATATGGTGGACATGGAAGATCAATCAGTAAAAACGTAGAACTTCGTACGTACATACATCAGTTAGAGTTGCCATACAACATTAGTACACAAACATGGAAGATTCATCTAGAAGATCGGAAAACCCTGATTCCAAACCAATGATGCGTATAGGCTTCAGGATCCTGAGTGAAAAAATGGCGTACAAACCTACTGCTGGTTACCGGCTACCACGGGAGTGTATCTCCTAACGTTGCTCCACTGCCTTGAGGAGTAGACCTCTCATTCGAACGCTCGGGAAGCGGTCACCCTCAAAAAACACATGTTTCCGTTTGCGCGTTCATGTAGTACAGCGAAGTGTGACGTATAAATATTTGGTGCCTCCTTGTACTAATTTTTGTGTCCAAATAAAATAAATCTATCTACGATATCAAGTTCTATCAGACATTTTTTCGTTCATTTAGTGTATGAGAACTGCAGATACGAGGTATTGTTTACACTATGGATCTTATTATCTAATATGATTTTCATTACTTTAATAAATATTATAAATTTATTACTACTTAAAAGATTGAATAAAACAAATAAATGATGTAGAGATTACATTATTGAATTATCATTTCAGGTTTCATGTGTCTGGTGAAAACAGGAGATATAATTCAAACACTTAAGTCATTTTTCCAATGTTGTTTAAATCTTCACATTGATGTTCAGGACTAAACTTAATCTATCTCTTTTTGGCATATGTACATCCTGTGCGAACTGTTTCAATATTGAGTTAAGTCACAAGTATTATAAGCCTTAAAAAAACCTTAAACATAATTCAAAGTTGAGCTATTGAAATGCAACAACTGTTAACCATATATAGTTAAACAGATAAATTGAAAACTTCTTTCTAAGAGTAATTTTAACCAAAACAAAACGTGACAACAAAGCTTGAAGTCACTAACTTATAGTCTGAACCATGTTGGTAGATGTAGACTATTTAGTTTGGGTCCCCGTGACTATCATAACCAATGGTTGGAGACTGTGGGTGACATGGTCCTGAATCCATCACAATGGTGTAGGGATACACACTATCTGTCTTCCCTTAAATTAAGAGGTTAAAATCGCTTCATATCTTTCTTTCTACCAACTAATTCTTTATTCCTTATATAAAATCTTTCTTTTATATATTATCACCATTGAGTTAACCACTCCTACGAATACGGTGTTCATCTTGTTGTGCTAATGCGGTATGACAACTTGGACTGATACACATATGTGCCTGGTCCTACATTGTAGCTGACTGCCTGACTGATTGAATTTTAACCGCATCATTCACGAATAATTAATGAAAAATATTTAAAAGAAAAAAATTTATAACGAATTGATGAAATGAAAAAGAAAACAAAAGTAAACTCACTCTACACCAGCATTTGTCATTAATTTTGGATTTAATGTTGAATAATTATCCCAAATAAAATCACGACATTTTAACCATGTGGAATTATTAAAAAATAATGTAAACCATTTAAAGCATAAATCACAATCATTTGATAATACAATTTGATTTTGAAATTTTAATAAAATATAATTGTTTACAATAAAATCTGGTTGAAATGTTGGCTTCAATAATGAATCCCAAATTGCTTGTAATAAATCTACTGTACATAATAAATGGCATTGAAATATAAGATAACGTAAAAGTTTTAATAATTCTTTAACTTCAATTAATTGTAGATTAGAATTTAAATTTTTCGTTGGATTCATTGAAATTGGAGATTTGGATGAAATAGATTGATCTATAATGCAGGAAATAAAATTGATGATATAGAAATATACTACTCGTAAGTAGGCATATGTAATATTAGAAATTATTATTATGTAACTTCTTATAAATAATAATGGTTGTTTTCTATGACCATATGTTAAAATAACTCTATCAATCTTAATCGGGCTCTCAAAAATAACTTTGGATCTATTCAAGTCTTCTGTTTAAAAAAGTGATATTTCACTTATTTCCCAGTCAGATTGACTTCTATTCAATGAAGTCAACTTCGATAGAAAGTGAAGTTGAAATTTCATTTATTGATTAGTATAGATTACAACGAGTTGAGAAGAAATAAATGCAAGATATTCAAAGATTACCTAAGATGATAGTTTTCATTATGGGAAACCAGTCGAAAAATTAGTAGACATTGGAATACAGTCACATAATCCTAGCTTAGGACTCCTCAGTGATGTACACATGTACATAATGAGTCAAATTATAGACACTCGTTATTTTTAACACTAGCACTTTTAACAGTGTAAGTCAAGTATGCCCAAAATTGGGAAACATTACTACAAACTCTCCAGGAGAAAAATTCAAATCTCAAAACACTTCTAATTGGACAAGAATGAAAATCTTTTTTAAATAACTCCGATAAACCAGTGTACCACTTAGTCATTAAAAGATGAACTAAATCAAACGATTGAAAGGTCCCTAAGCAAATATAATCACTGGATACCAGTCATCTAAACTATCAATGGAACTATAAATTTTTGATGTAAACTATAAACTAATAAATATCATCCTATTAATTAAAAGTTGGCCGTTAAAACAGCGCAATTAGTTTTCAATGACAAAGGTTGATTCAGGTAATGTTATACAACTATTCTGATATGGGGTTCATTGTCTGAAAAGTATCTGTCAAAGCCTCAAAACTAAATATATGTGAAAGAAAGAGAGAGAGAGAGAATGTAAGTCAATGCCATTGATGAAAACACACAATAACGAAACACTCAATCTAACCTAACTAATAAAACAAATTCATGATCACTAAAACAAATTTAACAACAAAAAAAAACTAAACGAAATAAACCTTTACACTAAAATACCACATGATACATGTTGTTGTGCATATTCATGTATTCTGTAAATTATTGACGTATTTAGTTTCTCACAGCATATTGTTTGGTAAATGTTCACCATAAATTATTTCACGATTAATTCAAATCCATGAATAGTTTATTTGATTGACTTTAAGCTACATTTTCATTGTCTGACAACTCATTATACACTATTGCTAAGGAGAGTAAAGACTAATCTTATTGCTAGTATATATTAGTTCTTTCTTTGCAGGATAATCTCGATGATATTTTTCTAATTCATATGTCTGTAATAACCATGGCTTTTATCTAACTAGTTGTTATCATCTATAGCTTATCATCTCAAAGAACATTGGATTGTACTATATAAAAAAGGTAGATTTTTCTAATTTGCGATTTCTGTACGTTATATAAAACTATCCTGAAATTCCCGTCTTCTCCATTTTATACTTATGTGTGAATTATTAAAACTGAAGTGCTTTTCTAAGTAAAACATCCGGTTTATTCGAGTTTACAACCATTCTCGTTCATACTAGAGAGATCTTCAATAGTTCGTGAGTAGAATTTAGTTTAAGTAAACCGGAAATCTGAATACGTAATCGTTTCTACCCAGATACAACAACCATCCAAATGATTAGACAGATTGATAAACGCATAGTGTGGTCTGCATTTGTAAAACAAGAAATAGTCTGTTTTATTCATCCAGCCACTATTTCACTACTGCATATGATCTAAACAACTAATCGAAAATTGATAATATGCACAAATAAAGAAAAAAAACACCGGAAAATATCGACTAATGCCGGTAAATATAGATAAAATAAGATTTAGAAACTATTCAATGTGATGAAAGCAACCTAGAGCGCCAATATATATGCGCCACACAAAACGATGAATATCCGAGAGGAATACAAAGAAAAAAAAAGCTAAGGAGCGCAACAAAAAAAGAGAGAACAATAACGAAGAGATTGGTGTAAGGTAATGTGCTAGTAATCAGGGAACGCAAAGGTACAATCAGAAGAAACCTTTCAGGTAAGGGAGACACAACCACTTTTTATGAAGAAAGTAAAAGAAGGTTACAACAGGATCGCCACTGGCTTCTATTTTGAGACATATCTGATAACGTCTCTAGCCACTGTGTAGCACCATCTCTCAGACCCCAACCAGGGAGTCGTGAAGGACCAACACAAGCCAGTCCTTTGCAGCTTTCTTTCATGCCACGACACCATGTCATGCACTGACCACCTCTCCGCTTCTTCCAACCAGTCCCAGAGTCGGCAAATAATGCACGACGTGGAATTCTCTGGGACGACATTCGCCCCCGAATGCCCTGGTACGGCCGAGAGTGGGGTGAGTCCGCTCTCCCTCTCGAAATACTCTCACACGGCCACGCGTATACAGCCTCTGCCAGGGAAGTCCTACTCATTGCCTTCTCGTGGCGGGGGTGTTGTTTACGAAAATGAGAGGACGAAAAGCGAATGTCCGGCGCTTTAACCGGATCACAAACCAATGGTGCACATGGGCTCCAGTATCCTGCGGGAACAAATGGCGTATGAACCAATCGTTGGTCACCGGCTTCCATGGGATTGCATCTCCTTACGATGCTCCACTGCCTTGTGGGTTAGACCTTTAGGTCAAAGGCTCGGGGAGTGGCCCCCCAAGATAACCACCTGCTTCGGTTTGGGCACCCGGGCAGTATCACAGCCCACACACAAACGATGAACTCTATGAAAGCAACCTAACTACTAAAACATAAATGATCAAACTAAGTGAAGGTAGAAAGTGCAGAGAAGAAGTGGATTTACTTAACACAAAAAAAATCAAAGACATCACCGATATCAAGTCATTGTCAAATAGAACAAGAACTTTTGTAGGTAGTACAAATTTTTCATGCAAATGATTCGACTTTTTCAAACTACTAGATCACCTATTCTCTAACTATACAATCAATGTTTTATTATTTAAGAGTTATTCTAACTGATAAATTATGCAATGTAATTGCAGAATATATTCATGGGCTCCTATAAAAAGCTTCTAGCACTATTTATTGTTTAATACTGGATATGGTGAGTGTGAGTAGCACGGCAGGTAACAAATGCATTCCCTTGTTTATATCCATACACTTAATGTGCATTATGTACAAATGTCGTAATCACAGATCCAGTCGAGAAATTTTACGAAGGAAACTTAGCAGTGTCTTATTCTTGTTGAAAAGCTAACTAATATTTTTTTTTTAATATTTACTGGCCAAAGAAGGATATAGAACGAGAGTTTTTTTTTGGAAAACTGCACATTTAGTAAAAACGATCATTAGAAATCCTTTTCTTGAAACAGGTTTATTTTGTTGCTTACTATAACAGTAGTATAATTTCATGCCAAATAAAATGACTTCCATTACTAAGCAGAAAACCAATAAAAAGAAATTAGGAAATCCAGAGAACACAAATATCTGCTGACATGAGAACAAAGAGCAGGGAACGGTTGATTTATGGTTTGTTAATTATAACATCGAGATGATATCATAAAACAAAGAAAAGACGGTAAAACATGCAGTGAATAGTTACTTTATTGAAGTGACTGACAACCTTTGAAAACTTTCATGAATGTTTTAAACAAGAGGAAGAGAGAAGAGTGTGATGTCAGAAAATGGTGAGTATTTTAGAAAGATATTAGGACTAATTCACTCCTAATGCCCTGGTACGGCCGAGAGTGGGGAGAATCCACTCTCCTACTTCAAATGCTTCCACGTGGTAACGCATATAAAGCCACTGCCAGAGAAATCCTACTCACGGCGGATGTATTGTTTACGAAATTCAAACTACGAAAAGCGAATGACCGGCTTTTTAACCGCGTTAGTGGACACTGAGAGTTCACCTCGGTGTGTTGGAAAACCCTGATTCCACACCAATGGAGTAAATGGTTTCCAGGATCCTAAGGAAACAAATGTCGTATGAACCAATCGTTGATCATCGGCTACCATGGAACTGCATCTGCTGACATTTGATCTACTCCATTGTGGATCAGACCTTTAGGTCGAAAGCTTGGGTTGTGGCCTCCTAAGAAAACCAACTACTTCGGTTTGGGCATCCGGGCAGTATCACAGCCTATACACAAATCAATTGACTTGTGTGGCGCATATATATATTCGGTACCCCTTTTTACTAATATTTATATGTTCAAATAAATAGACTATAAAATCAATTTTTTTCATAACTGTACTTTGTGTATTTACTAACCAGCTTTTACATAAACAACATTCAACAGTCATATGTCCTAAATAAAACAACCGTTTGCTTTCAATAAATCAGTTACTAAAGAGTTAAAAAAACAAAAACAAAAATCAACTAGGTTAAAGAAAGTTAGAATTTTAAAAGCCAATAAATCGCGCCCCCCCCCATCATTATAGATTAATAGAAAATAAACAAACTACGTTAAATCTTATCTTCATTGACAAATTTCGACCATCAGAATTCATGATGTAACCTTCTGTTTACTATTACAAATGGATAGGTTAATACATATTAGAAGAAAAAAGAAGTTCATTTACAAAATGAATAAACAAAAGTGATGCGAATCAAATCAATAAAATATTATATGGATAATTAATATTTTTCATTAAACAATTTCAATTTAGATCGATAACTATTGATTTCATTATTTAACAAATCGACTGAAATTCAAGAAAGAAAAAAAAACAATTGGATTTCAGGATCTATAAATCAATCTTAGACTAATCAGAAAAAATAGCATAATTTCTGTGAGTTCTTTGTAAATGAGTTAAATGCTGATGAGTTTCAAGATTAGGATTGATAAATGATTCTTTAATCTGATCGTATCTGCTAAATTGTTATGGTGATCAGTTGAATCAATTGAGTTATATAGGTTGGAAAACTTATTCGTTTAGGTTTGGAGAGAATGATTAGAGTTGGAGCAGCAACTTGAGGTATATAAGAGAAGTAGTGAAGACTGTAGAGAGGTATGGAAGATGTGTGATGTTTCAGACAAACAACCAACATACGAAATGCTGCAGACTTACTATAAAGGAGAGAGAATTACGGAGTGATTTTAATCTTTCTTTACAGATTTCTGTCGCCTGTGGTATCGAAAGTATGAAGTGAACACATCAAAAACTACGCACAAAAAGGCTGTGTGATCGGTTTCAAGTATTTAGTAGGTGTAGACTACCTGGTTTGAATAATTTTTTCTGGTTAGCAGAGGCACTAAAAGCAGACGTAGTGGCAACTGCAAGAATACTCCACATTCTCTTCAATAACATTTGGCATGAGGAACAAGTACCAACAGACTGGAAAGAAGAACTTCTGATCAAAATACCAAAGAAAGGCTATCTCAGCAAGTGTGATAACAACAGGGGCATCACTCTTCTCTCAATAACGGGAAAAGTCTTCAACAGGGTATTGTTAAACAGAATGAAAGACTCCGTAGACGCCCAACTTCGAGACCAACAGGCAGAATTCCGTAAGGATAGATCGTGTACAGACCAAATCGCAACTCTACGGATCATTGTGGAACAATCAATTGAATGGAATTCGTCACTCTACATCAACTTCGTTGACTACGGAAAAGCATTTGACAGCGTGGACAGAACAACACTATGGAAGCTTCTTCGATACTACGGCGTGCCTCAGAAGGCAGTCAATATCATATGGAATTCCTATGATGGATTAAACTGCAAAATTGTGCATGGAGGACAATTGACAGACTCGTTCGAGGTAAAGACCGGTGTCAGGCAAGGTTGTTTACTCTCACCCTTTCTCTTTCTCCTGCTGATCGACTGGATCATGAAGACGTCAACATCTGAAGGGAAGCACGGGATACAGTGGACATCTAGGATGCAGATTGACGATCTAGACTTCGCAGATGATCTGGCCCTTCTATCCCAAAAGCAACAACAAATGCAGGAGAAAACGACCAGTGTAGCAGCAGCCTCAGCAGCAGTAGGTCTCAATATACACAAAGGGAAAAGCAGGATTCTCCGATACAACACAGAATGCACCAATCCAATCACAATTGACGGAGAAGATTTGGAAGATGTAAAAACCTTTACGTATTTAGGCAGCATCATTGATGAACAGGGTGGATCTGATGCAGATGTGAAGGCGCGGATCGGCAAAGCAAGAGCAGCATATTTACAACTGAGGAACATCTGGAACTCAAAACAACTGTCAACCAACACCATGGTCAGAATTTTCAATACAAATGTCAAGACAGTTCTACTGTCTACTGGGGCGGAAACCTGGAGAACTACGAAAGCCATCATCCAGAAAATACAGGTGTTTATTAACAGTTGTCTACGCAAAATACTTCGGATCCGTTGGCCGGACACTATTAACAACAACGTACTGTGGGAGAGAACAAACCACATCCCAGCGGAGGAAGAAGCGCTGGAGGTGGATAGGACAAACGTTGAGGAAGCACCGAACTACGTCACAAGACAAGCCCTCACATGGAATCCTGAAGGTCAAAGGAAAAGAGGAAGACGAAAGAACACATTACGCCGGCAAATGGAGATAGACATGAGAAAAATGAACAAGAATAGGATGGAACTAGAAAAGAAGGCCCAGGACAGAGTGGGTTGGAGAATGCTGGTCAGCGGCCTATGCTCCATTGGGAGTAACAGGCGTAAGTAAGTAAGTAAGACTACCTGGTTGGGATCCGAGAGACGATAGCAACCGATGGTTAGACATCTTGAATGACATGGCTCAAAATGGTTTGCAATGGCAGTTTCATCCAATCTTTGTGTACTCCCAAATTCAAATATTCTGAATTCTTCATGTCCCTTTCATTTTTCTCATTCCAAATTTATTTCACTGTATTATACTGGTTGAATAACATCTTACAACCGTAATGTTTCCGATTACTCCATATACTATTACTACCTCTACCACTATGGGATTTGAATGGACAATTTTATGTGTGTGCTAATGTGGTATGGCAACTCGAACTGATGTATGTATGTACGAAGTTGTATGTTGTTACTGACTGACTCAAGTATTTGTATCTTGGAATCATTGATCACTCTTTTCCGTCGTTAAGACCACCTCAAACACAGTTTCTTTTTCAAATACCTCAAGAAGTATCTCTCTATGATATGGGCAACTAAGAAGTAAGAGTCAGGTTAATAACTCTAAGATCACTCGAGATAACCATATTCATAATTACATCCCAAATTTATGACAACCAATTCAAAGATGGGGAGAAAACTCTAGATTTCTCGAATAGCAAGTTTTCGGAAGCGTTAAGTTAATAGCCACAATCGGTGACACAAATCAGTTGATTCCATAATTACGTCCACGTAAGATGTGTTTGGCAATTCAAAAGTTATTAAGTAGGAACTATCTTTGGAACCTGATCTTAACAACGGTTCATGAACCCTTTGAGTTAGAGTAGCATAATATAAGGAATATATCTAAAACGGCTATCGCTAGGTCTCGTACTACTTATGAAGGATAGTTAGTATATGATAGCCGCAACTGCCCAAATGTTTTCGTATATTTAGACGATGAAATGAAATGAAAAAATCTCTCTGCTACAGATGCATGAGAATAAGATGAGATTAAAGATGAAAGTTTATCAAATATAGTACCATCGCTTGTGACTCAGTAAGCCGTTTATCAATTGCATAGTTCCTTAAAACTTAGTAAGTCACTGTGTTCTGATGGGTTACACTCAAAACTGTTGTCGTCCCTCACTGACATTATTTCAGCACCACTCATACCCTTATTAATATGTCCATTTTTCGAACCTAACTCATAAAGGCATTGGAAAGATGTTATCATTAGCCCTATATTATTTAAGTATGAAAAGAGATAGACTGTGTACAACCACCGACCTGTCACTCTAGCACAGTATTTGAGGTATTGAAAAAAATAATTAACGGTAATTTATTTGGTCATGAAGAATCCTATATATTGACTCCACAAAAACAGAAACTTCGTGAGATTCAAGCTTAACTAATCAATTAATTGCAGGAGGAGAATGGACAGCAGCCCAAAATAATGGCCCGCTTGTCGATGCAATATTCAGAGATTTCAGTAAGGTATTTAATGAGACGTCCTACTTAAGGCTTATGAACAAATAAATTGGCAAAGATATGATTCAGTCAGTCAGTCAGTCAATCAGTCAGTAACAACAACTTCGTACGTACGTACATCAGTTCGAGTTGCCATACCACATTAGCACACACATACAATTGTCCATTCAAATCCCATAGTGGTAGAGGTAGTACAAATTGTTAACAAGTTCAATCTCAATGCTTCAGTTGGGACTAATCATCTCCAAGGTCATCATAAAGTTTCAAAAGCTGCGAACGAACAACCGCAGAGCGGAATTCCGTCTTTACCATCAAGCAGTCGACGAGTGGAACGCCCTACTAGTACAAGTAATATTAGTACCATCGGTGAATACTATTAAGGAGAAACTGGTTCTTCATTAGAAAACATACTGCAAACATTAACACCAGTTGACCAACCTACTATCCGTATTACTAAATACTAGAAGCTCACTCTACTTCTTTCATCCTTACTATCAACCATTATGTCTTCGATTTCTTTCACATGTGCTATCAGTGCTACCGACCCAGGTGCATAAAATACTGTCTTAGGTCCTCTGAAATTTAAGACGGTCTCAATCTATGAAAACTAATAAGTCATCTGTAATCCTATTGATTTGAATATTTATGAAATTTCATGAATCCACTAAGGATAGTAACTAGCTGTAACACCAGTTGTAACATATGTGACAAATGCCGATTCGCTGATTCACTTAAACAAAACAGCTAAACGTTGTATTTTGTTTGTGAGATCCGAAAATTATAATCTGAATTCTCACTGACGATTGGTTCCTCAGACATAACAATGACCAACATAATACAAAAGACTGTGTAGTAATAACGAATACATCAATAAAATATATATATTTGTTTTGCATATGAATATCGACTGAGTACAATTTTGACTAATAAATTAGCTTGTATCTTGATAGTTTAACTATTCAGTGAAGCGGTGGTTCAGTGGTTGAAACATTCGACTTCTAGATACTAAGTCGTAGGTCTGAATATCACCTTAATTACTTCAGTATGATCAACTGGCTAGTAACACTAACCCTTATCACACAGTGTGTGGCTTGAAGCTAATCACCTAAATTCACATTTGGTAAATGAGTTTAACTATACCCAACAATAGATACAGATATAAATATGAACACTCCCAATCGTGATGAAATATAGTAAAGTGTAATATAATATAATACATAACTTACTTTTTATTATTACGTTTAAACGTTCTTCATGTACTGACCACATTGTTTGTATGATACAATCTACAGCTGCTTTTAAAACATTATGTCGTTGATTTATACTTTGAATTAAAGTATTTTCATTTGATGAACCCTAAAATGCATTTAGACACTTCATTTATGGATGGTATAAAATGAGGAGAGAATATAAGTGTAATAGAACAATAACAAGAAGAAACCATGAAGATAATCTTTATTAGCCGTGAAATAATTGAAGGTATGAGATATGATGAACCATTGAACCGATACTGATTCAGTGTGATCTGAAAATAACTCACCTGTGCCCCATCGATAATGTATCACTAATTGTAACTAAAAACAGCTGTTCGATGTTAACTTGTTTTCCAACAGATATTTTACATAATTAATGTAAATTCTGAAATTAATTACAGAATGCATATTGATTTACAGGGATGATTAGGTTGATACAAATAGCAAAGTTAGATGTAAAAAACTAGATACATGATTTTAGATTGTTTGAAATGTTGTAGCACGAAAATTGTTGAGGGAGTACATTTTTACATAGACCACAACAATGTATGGCAATAGCTAGGAATTGGAAATAGAAACTGAAAGTCACTGGCATGTTATGTCACAATCCAACCGATTAAATTAAATTACATGATAGTCTATTATGGCAATTACTGGTTTATCAAGATTTTCAAACAGTTTCGCGGATGACTTGACTATATAAACTTTGACTTCACAAGCGTGGGTTACCTAGATATTAATATGTATTAAACAAACTTGAATACTGAAGATATATACGTGTATATGGCTTTGAAACTATATTTAAATATTCGGAACGTATCTTGTTTAGATTTGACGAAACTAAACAAAAAAAGTCAGATCCCGACCGTTCACCTTAATTAGGTACGTAAAATTAAGTGAATCCATAGGCAAGAAAAAGGATACTCCGCCTTTATTCTCTTTCTTTCCGTACGGAGGATCAAACCAAGGGATAGAAAACCCTGGTTCCAAACCAATGGTATACAAGGGCTCCAGGATTCTGAGAGAACAAAAGGCGTACAAACTAATTGTCGATCACCAGCTAACACGGAACTACATATCTTAACGTTGCTACACTGTCTTGTGAATTTGACCTCTAGGTTAAAGGCTCGGGATTTACTCCCCCCAGAAAGACACCTGTTTCGGTTTGGGTGCCCGGGTAGTATTCCAACCCACGCTTAAATCGAATGATGATTACAGCTAAAAAATTATTCTCACTTTTATTTGCATTATGACAAATTATATTCACAATCATTTTTTAACATTTGTTTCAATATTATGTTCCGTTACTTGTCTACTCCCTTTTGTTCTTTTATTTCTCAGCTTATACAGCAGCTCACCTATGGTAGAAACTATCTAAATGATCTCAAATCACTGACTCGTCGAAAGTTGAATGCTACAACAGAATACGAATATTGAGACAGGATTTCTGTAACCACGTATCTCACTCGAACTGGCCTATTTAACGTTCGTACACTAATGAAGATCGAACAACAGATAGAGTTGGCTGCGTCTTCAGAAAGTCTTAATATCGATATCTGTCGTCTATCCGAGACTCTTATTCAAAATTCTATTGATTTACTACAAATTCGCTCTCCACCTGTATCTTGTTTATCCGAGAACCCTGCGGCATCTGACGTTCGTGTCTCACTAAGCGCTAGAGCTGAGGCAGCACTAATCGATTGGATCCCCGTTAACAGTCGGTTATGTGTTGCTAGCTTAGAAAGTTCCATCAAAATGAGAAGAAATCGGCGTGAGAAACGATGTCTTTTCGTCATCTCCGCATATGCCCCGACAGATTGCAGCCCGGATGCAATCAAGGATGAATTCTACCACCAGTTTTATGTTCTTCTACAGAAAGTGCGTTCGACAGATATTGTAGTACTAGCTGGAGACTTGAATGCTCAGGTCGGGCGTCTAGACACAAAAGAGAATTGTTCAGGTGGCCGATAGGGACTTTTTGGTGGCAGGACAGATAATGGTGACCATCTACTACAAGATGGCAGCGACCTGATTAAGGAAGCGACTGCGTTGTTTACAAATTTTTCGGAGTTAGAGAGTGTCCCAACATCATGGAATGAGTCGATAGTTGTCCCTATCTTTAAAAAGGGTTTACGTCGTTCCTGTAACAACTATCGGGGGATAAGTCTACTTCCGATTGCGTCCAAGCTATTGGCTTCCGTCATACTTCGTAGGTTGTTCAAAACCCGAGAATGATTGACTCGCGAGGAGCAGGCTGGGTTTCGTTCTGATCGAGGATGTATTGATCATATCTTCAACCTCCGCCAAATGTTAGAACACCGCCATACTTTTCAAAGGCCAACAATCGTAGTGTTTCTTGACATTAGGGCTGCCTTCGATTCGTTGGACAGGACTGTTCTCTGGGATTGTCTATTGCAGAAGGGTGTGCCTGAGAAGTTTATTAACATCCTAAAAGCCCTATATGCAAACACCTCAGGCAGAGTGAGGGCATACAACCACTTCTCTTCATTGTTCCATTCAAGCAGTGAGGTTAGACAGGGTTGCTCAATCTCACCGTTCCTCTTCAACTTTGACATCGGTGACATTCTGGAAACAGCTCTGATGAATGTAAGTAATGGCGGTGTGGATCTGTTGCCTGGAGAAAGACTTCTCGACCTTGAGTATGCGGACGATATTGTCTTACTGTGCGATAATGCCCAAGGCATGCAATCCGCACTTAATCAGTTGGCAATCAGTGTCCGTAGGTATGGTATGTGCTTTGCACCTTCGAAGTGCAAAGTACTTCTACAAGACTGACAGGATTCTAATCCTGTACTCACCTTGGATGGTGAACAGATAGAAGTAGTCGAGAAGTTCGTGTATCTAGGTAGCTGCATAAGTGCTGGTGGGGGGGGGTGAGTGATGAGATCAATGCACGTATAGTGAAAGCCAAAGAGGCTTATGCCAATCTGAGCCAACTGTGGCGCCTTTGCGATGTTAGTCTGGCTGTAAAAGGTCGGCGAGAGTAGTCTTGCTCTGTGCTTGTGAGACCAACCTTCTTCGAGTTGAGGATATTAGATGACTCTGTGTTTGATCAACGTTGTCTTCGAAGGAGTGCTAACATCTAGTGACAACACCATGTCAGTAATGCGGAGGTTCGGTATCGTGAGTTCAGGCAGAGCGACGATAATCCAATTGCTGTCACCATATTAAAAAATCGACTTCGGTGGCTTGGACATATTCTACGAATATAGTCCTACAGAATTCCACGTCGTGCATTATTTGCTGACACTGGGTGCGGTTGGAAAAAGAGGAGAGGTGGTCAGTTTATTTATTTATTTATTTGAACACATAAATATTGGTACAAGAGAGCGCCAATATATATGCGCCACACAAAATAATGGGAATTCGAAGAGAAGTAGAAAGAGAAAAAAAAACTAAGGAACGCAAAAGAAAAAGAGAGTAATGACGAAGAGGTACAATCAGAAGAAATCTTTCAGGTAAGGGAGACACAACCACTTTTTATGAAGAAAGTAAAAGAAGGTTACAGCAGGATCGCCACTGGCTTCTATTCTGAGCCATATCTGATAACGTCTCTAGCCACTGTGTAGCACCATCTCTCGGACCCCAACCAGAGAGTCGTGAAGGACCAACACAAGCCAGTCCTTTGCAGCTTTCTTTCATGCCACGACACCATGTCATGCACTGACCACCTCTCCGCCTCTTCCAACCAGTCCCAGAGTCGGCAAATAATGCACGACGTGGAATTCTCTGGGACGACATTCGGAGAACATGTCCAAGTCAGTGTATGACATGGTGTCGTGGTATGAAAGAAAGCTGCAAAGGGCTGACTTCTGTTGCTCCTTCACGACTCCCTGGTTGGGGTCCGAGAGGTGGTGCGACACAGTGGCTAGAGACGTTATCAGATATGTCTCAGAATAGAAGTCAGTGGTGATCCTGCTGTAACTTTCTTCATAAAAAATGAACGTGACTTCTTTAACTGGAAGAAATCTTGCGGGTTGTACTTCTCTAAACTTAACTGCTTCTCCCATTATTATTATTATTGCTAGTATTTCACTCATACACTAATTTCTGCTAAATGTTGCTCTTTTTTTTATTATACATACCCATTCTCTATCTTTTTCCAACTTCATTGTTAATGTGTTGCACATATATATTTGGTGCACCTTTGTACCAATGTTTATGAGTTCAAATAAATAAATAAATAATCTTTTTTAATAATTTGACTGAGATGCTAAAAGCATTAGTGCTATCTTTTCTTCGAAAGTACAGTTGAGATAATATGAGAACTTTTCACACATATACACACTGAAGATCGTACTGATAGCGATAAATGGACAAACACACCCACATGTACACTCATGCAGACTAAAAATAAATGTAAATGACTGAGGAAAAGATGAATATTTTTTTGAGATTTCAATCGATAAAGACAAAACCTAACTGTAATCATTTGACAACAAAAATATGGTGAGAAAGGATGAATTAAGGATAAGTGATTTACGTTGAGACTTTGATAGGAAACAAGCTGACAATTTAACAATACATGTAAAAAAAAGTAGACAATATTAAGAAATCGGAAATGAATACATAGTAATTATGAACAGTTACTTAAAACACACAACTTAAGTGGATTGAAATAACTCTTTCATTAAGTCAAAGATGAGATCAGTCGTTGCACGAATACCTTATTGGAATAGGTTGAATGGGACGAAACGCGCGTCCTGGTTACCAATACTAGTCAAAGTTCATCTATGCTATAAAAAATATTAAGAACGTTTTCATTACTGATTAATGCCAACTAGTGAAAAAATAGGGACTTCATAACAGTGAGCATCCACGAACAAATTACCAAGAATAGAATCAAAGACACTTGAGCTTAATAGCAAATATATTATTACTTAGACTCAGTCAGTCAGTAACAACATACAACTTCGTACATACATACATCAGTTCGAGTTGCCATACCACATTAGCACATACATACAATTGTCCATTCAAATCCAATAGTGATACAAGTAGTAAAAGTATAAGCAGTAATCGGAAACATTACGGTTTCAAGATGTTACTCAACCAGTATAATACAGTGAAATAAATTTGGAATGAGAAAAATGAAAGGGACATGAAGAATTCAGAATATTTGAATTTGGGAGTACACAAAGATTGGATGAAACTGCCATTGCAAACCATTTTGAGCCATGTCATTCAAGGTGTCTAACCATCGTTTGCTATTATCTCTCGGATCCCAACCAGTTAGTCTACACCTGCCAACATGGCTCAGTCCACTTGTCAATAACTTCATGCATTTGTGCCATGTTTTGGTTTGGCCGCTCCTAGCTTTCTTCCAACCTACTCCTACACCAGAAAACATCGCACGTCAGGGCATTCGATGGTTGGGCATACGTAAAACATGTCCCAGCCATCTCAACTGATGAAGTTTCACTAGTTCATCAATTGATTTGCCATCCTTACCTAGTACCCGTTTCCTAACAACTGCATTACTTACTTGGTGGTCCCAGGATTGACGAGCAATGTTTCGAAGACACCTATGATCGAATACTAGTAACCTACGAAGATCCTCTACTCTTACCGGCCATGTTTCACTGCCATAAAGTAGGACGGAACGAACTGCTGAGCAGTAAACTCATCCTTTGGTTGGTAGGCAGATATCTCGCCTACACCATAAATGACGCAAGTTGGCAAAAGCTAGTCGAGCCTTCTGTATCCGTGCTGTAAGTTGGTCACACACCAGACCATAGGGGCTGATGAGACTAATTAGTTGGAATTCTGTGGTTTATCGTTCAACTTTAATGATTCTTCAGTTGACGTTAGTAGGTAATGAAACTCCTTTCATACATCACTGATTTTTACAATTCATCCAATTAAGCATATATACAATTATTGTATATCTTCGACTGTTAGGGGAATTAATTTAACTATTCTGCTGAATATTTCACCAAAAAATAACTAAACTACCATCGGCTTGTAAATAACTTCGAATATTCAAAAGTACAAATTATGCAAAGGAATATATTTCTTTTCAATTAATTCTTTTAATCATAATACAGTTCTATGCTGCTGACATAAAGGTATTCCGCCCTTATTTTTAAATAGACCACGCAAAATTACTAGTGAGTTTCCTGTTAACAAAGTTTATAAATGTCAAATACTCAATCAAGTTAAATATTAAAACTACTTTGAAAAGATTCCGATTTAGGAAAACACAACACATAAGTCCAGAATTTAGCAAAAGTAAAGAAGTTGTAGAAAAAATGAAACATTGTTAGTTATATTCAACGAGTTGTACAATATGAATTATTGATCCTTAAGATGAATGAATAGTTTTTTGCAATTAAATAAACAACTGGCAACACATTACATAAGAGTAATAACTGAAGAAAAAAACACAATTCGTAATATAGGGGAAGAATTAAGTCAGTTGTTAGGTGGTTTACAAAGAATAACTTTATTTGAAGTAGATTGATTACATTATGAACTGAATCACTGATACATTGTTGTATGGGACTCCACAACGACCCATACTCAGCAACCATACATTAGGTCAAACTCAGGACTTTCAGGTCTCTCACAAACGTATCCGATGCCCCCTGATTCTCAATGTTAGTATAACTACAGTCAGTTCGTGATGTAAACTACGAAGTTCAACAACCTCTACAAACCGTCAACACTAGTAACCTAATTTGAAATTGGTTTGAAATTATCTAAAAAGGGGCACGAGATCGAAGCTCCAACCTTTAGGTTTAATGTTAGTTGAGTTTAACCACGTAGACAGTGAGACCGCTACTATTATCATTAATGGCACTAAACGATCACTGTATCATATCATATTATTGACCAACGTTAGAAATGTGGAAGATTTGGATTCCTGCTAATTCGGTTTGAAGGTATGTAATAGTCAACTGGAGACCTTAAGATCCTTGATTAAATGTACGAGCTCATGGCTGTATACTGTGAATGTGTCCCCTAAACAAGGACGATGGAATCGTCTAACTGTGGGGACAAATCCCAGTGAACTCAAGGAAGCTCTGAAAAAGCTGAATATATTCCACCCGACCATCTTTTGGAAGAATATTCCAGAATTTCTACGTGTAGCTTCACGATTAGGCAAATGCGGATTGGATAACTGTAATGATGATATCGTTTTTAGTAAAAACTATAAATACCCGAGTGTTTTGTACCATATTTGACTGGTTGGAATAAGACTTTGTCTTCTAAATTAAGATTTGAAGGGTTCAAGCGTTCGAGTGCTCAACTTCTGAATACAACACTAACAGTCCTTGGTTTTCAACGGTTTATCACCTACTGATACCAGTCCAAGAATAAAACTATCTTCAAGATCAAGTTTGTAAGGCTTTGAGGATGATACACATTGAGAATATTGCCAGTTGGTTGGAATTAGTCCGATCGCCACAAAAGTAACACATATAACTAATCAGTGACCAACTGTAAAGAATATAGTTGTAGAAACATTTTGAACTAGATCTTTACTGAAGCGGCGAATAGGTGTATTTTCGAAGTACGTTGAACGTGAATGAATTTTCGAAGCTAAGAATAGTTGGAATGTATTATACAACTGATAGCTTTTAAAGCCACTACTATTAGGTCAATTTTACAAATCGTGTGGATTAAATATGAAGGTAAAACGCTTCTTCGCATCCTTATTTATCCCTTGATCAGCAATGATTTCTTCCCGAAAAAATTCATCGACTGAGTTACAGATGAACACAGCTTTGAGAAACCCATGATTGTTCAGATATTGCAGCATCACCGATGGACGTGGAGGATACGATACAGACGTAAATGCAAGGATTGGCAATGCAAGGGCAGCATTCCTACAGTTCAAGAACACATGGAACTCAAAACAACTGTCTGTAAACCAATATCAGAATCATCAATACGAACGTCAAGACAGTTCTGCCGTACAGAGCTGAAACGTGGAGAACTACCACAACCATCATGAAAACGGTACAAGTATTTATAAACAGTTGTCTACGTAGGATATTCAATGTCCGTTGACCGGATACCATCAGCCATAGTCTACTGCGGGAGACACACCAGATTCCAGTCGGAGAGAAAACTAGGAAAAGACGACGAAAGTGGATAGGTTATAACATTGTGGAAATCACCAAACTGAATTACGAAGTAAGTGCTAACTTGAAATCCTGAGGGGAGACGGAAGAGGAAGGCCAAAATATACACTGCGCCGAGAATTTTTTGACGTGTTAGCTCCGTTCTTCAAAGGGCCTTACCGCCGGAGACGGAAATCCGTGAGGTAAGGTGAGGTGTGACATTTTTAGGGTCGACCTTTTCTAACCCCACCCCTCCTTGTGGGAAGGCAGCATCGCTGTCATGCTGGTTGTCCGAGGGAAACACCTTACTGCTGTCACACCTCTCTACAGTCAGCAGTACGACTTCGCCCTCAGACCTTGAGTTGCTGCTTTTAGTCTTACCGTTCTCCAATCAACCTGCCTGGCATGGTAGAACCTACAGGAACATATGTTCCAGCCAATATAGCTCGGTTGGGTCATCACGATAGGCAAGCCCGACCACCGCGTCAAGGTAGCAGCTTCGGTCGGGAATTAGAAGCAGATATGGAAAGGAAAGACCAGGACAGAGTTCGATGGAGAATGCTGGTGGACGGCCTACGTTTCTCTATGAGGGGTAACAGATGTAAGTGTCATGTCCGGACGAAGAATAAGTCAATGATAACTGCTAGGATCTATTTATGAATTCTTATATATATACTTATTGTTTAACTATTAAGTAACTATGTTATATGTGTATTCATATTTCAGTTATTTTAAGCTTTCATCTGATATATGGACTACTATTATACTATTTACTATTCTCAGGTTATTCCCAATTTATGAGTTCCAGTATCTCACACTCACAAACACTTTTGGCCTGATCTTGTATAATTGCTATTTTCTATTTCATAGTATGATGCAGTCTGATTTGCTTGTATATAAACTGCGCATGTCTAAAATACATGATTCACACAGCAGAAACTGTGTTCTGGACTAAAACAAGCAGGGCTAGGTAGTAGGACCAACCAGGGCTCATAGTTGACGCTAGACTGCTCGTACTGGTTTGTGCGTCATTGGTCCGGTCATATAAGTTGGTGTTTCTAATGGGCGATATTATCACGTGACATATTCGCAGGTCATAAGGACATGACAGCAAGTAATTCAGATATTTGGAATGTCCCATAAACAAAAGGATTATTGGGAATCGACAATATATCTTTGTGAAATTCCAGAAACAATACTAAACTTTTGGTCACTTAACTTTACAATATATATATATTCAGCGTTTTCGATGTAATGTACTGACGTGATCAGCTGAACAGGTTGACAACTAGCAGTTTTGATGTAACCAGGTTATATGTTAAAAAAAACGCCGAACATCTATTCTTCATGCAATAAGTCGCTTTCTGTAAAAAAAGATTATTGGGACGGGGAGTAAAGTATATAATCAAACCAAAATAGACGAGTCAAATCAGTGATTAGAGGAGTAAAATTACCGTGTTATAAAGGTTGGCAATTTCAATGAATTGTTTTGCAGCAGGTAATAAACAACATTCATCGCTCTTTGGTTCAATTTTCAAATAACTTGCAAGCTTCCCAAGCCAAACACTCCGAAGTTGACATACGAATGGCTGTCGAAATGAAACAGATAAATATAATGAGGAAAAGTATGATAATTTTTATCAAGTAAAATGTAAAAAAGAACATCGTTTTGTGGAATTGCGTTTTCTGAACTGGATGACCTAATCATCAAGCCTTCATTATCCTTCTGATCAGCATCATTCATCCATATATGACTGATAAACCGTTTTGTCGACCTTGATCTTGAGTGGTTATTGTTTTTTATCTTGTAGAAAAATATAAATATATAAACTGTTCTAAATGCAAAAACACTACAAAGGACAAAGTAGATCTCTTCCTCATCTTCGCATGAATGAACATTGATTAGCGATCAGACGCCATGATATATCTTCGCTTGCATTGATGTTCATAAACAATCATGGACACATTCGAGTGAAAAAAATGTTGAAATCCCGAATAGAGGGAATAAGAAAAACACCAAAGTATTTTACAGATGCTTGGCACACAGTTCAGTGAGCAGTCAACAAACACATAGAAATCGATTCAATTTATCAACCAATCAGGAAAATTATGGGCAAATATAGCACCGACAAGCAGATCAAAGGGAGATACAATCAAAATAAAGAGGTAGACAACGACAGGTTAAAAGTAAACAAAAAGCAGTCAGAATCGAGATTAACAGGACAAGCTGTAGGTCATATGTGAAGAGGTTCGAGTACTTCACTTGGACCGGATGTTTGTGATGGTGAAAGCCCCACGACTAAACCATCATAGGACATAACTCTACCAGAACCACAAATTCAACCGGATTTCCGCTTGTTTATTTCGTTTTATATTTGGATGTCATAGTCAGTCAGCTACAACGTAGGACCAGGCACATATGTGCATCGGTCCAGGTTGCCATACCTCATTAGCACAACAAGATGAACACCGGATGTCATAGATTAGTGTGTAACCTTCTAGAAAGTCTAAATCGGAAATGCGTTCAATTTGTATACGAGACATAAAAAAATCTCAACTGTTAAAATAATCAATGTAACGTAAGATAGAAAAACTGAAATCCTACAACAAATTTCGATTTATAATACGTTTCATTCTTGCTACTGAAAAAGAAAAACTGAAACAGATTGGTAAAGATCAATTTGAATACAAAACTTTTTTTTCTCTGTAAATAATCATTATCACTAAAGAATATGAGAAAACAATAACTATAATAAATTAATATAATTCGGTAAAATCCGAACAAAAGCCTCTCCCTAAGGCGTTGTTGGGTAGTGAGGGAAACCTCACTAGCTAACTTGAGCAATCGAGGAATATCGGACTGATCCATCACTCTGCTGTACTCGTATTATTCAGAATCTTTATTTCAAGGCTCTAACAAACTAACGTGATACTAACCCTCCTCACACCGCCCATTTGAAATTAGTGTGGAAAAAAGTAAAAGAATAGCACTGATAGTTTTGTCAAATACACAATGAACTTAGCATTGTATTATTATTTATTAATTACAATTAAAAATAAAGGGAAAAAGCAGGACATAGCACTAATTTACCTTATTATTACAACTAAGAATTTTTGCATGTGATTTAAGTGAAGCATTCATTAAATCAGTAGAAAATTTCAAACTAACAGCCCAATCCCATAGAAGATCTAATGTTTTTTGCATCATCATACCATCTGTATCTTGTTCAGCTAACATTGTGATCAAATCAACCAAACGTTCACGTTGACGTTTTGTTGCTTTTTTCCAACTTTGCTATAATATATATGAAAAGTTAAAAGAATACTTGAGTTAGGTATCAAATTTATAATGAATATTGAAAATGATATAATTTGGTATGACTAATCGACTTAGATGACTTTGTTACAAATATAATTTAAATATTAAATTGTTAATTGGTACAATGAACAGAATAGAAGCGTTATTGCTTTCTTGGTGACCCGTATTCTTGACCTTGATTCGAGCACTTTTAGAAGAAAATGGGCTCCTGACACTTTGCACTTACCCACGCTGCTAAAATATATAACTGTTCAACGAACCTAGAAAAAAAAGATTAATAGTGATGGTTTTGTCAAGCTGAACGCGTGACAGAGGAATCCTTATTGTTAACTCCAGAAATCTGTGGAGCAAAGTGATATAACAGCTACTTTTAGATCGGACCTTTCTAATCACTTCTTTTGCGATAGAAAGACAGTAATAATGAAGATATTAGCTATTCGCCAGAAACATCCTACTGCCATCACATCTCAATAGTACAATCGACAATAAGAATTCATCACCAAACCTACAAATACTAAACAACTTTTTGTATGCACTTTGTACATTTACATCCAGATAATCAAAAGATAGTCTCGACAGCAGATCATTCATATAAATCGGAGGAACTAAACATTCAGTGAAAAGGTTGATTATGAATAAAGCGGTATTGAGTGCTGTTAGAAGTATAAAGGTGGTTATCACTCCCTGGTTGCCCACACCGTGGAAGGGTTCTTCTGGAGGTACCTGAAAAGGAAATTGGATTAGAAGTGGTCTTAATGAAGTGAGAGCGTGAACGCAGTGCGCAAAGGACAACTGCTTGAGGTCGGTCACATACAACCTTTTTGTGAGTAATTTTCGTGTTATCTCCATACTTGTGGAGACCTTACTGCCGGAGGCGGATATCCGTAGGATAAGGCGAGGTGTGCATTTTTATGGTCAACCTTTTCTAACCCCAACTCCTCCTTGTGGGAAGGCAGCATCGCTGTCATGCTGGTTGTCTGAAGGAAACACCTTACTGCTGTCACACCTCTGTACAGTCAGCAGTACGACTTCGCTTTCGGACCTTGGGTTTGTTGCTTTTGGTCTTACCGTTCTTCATCCGACCTGTCTGACATGGTAGGACCTTGCGGAACGATTGTTCCAACCAGTATAGCTCGATTATTTCATCAAGATAGGTAAGCCCGACCGCCACATCAAGGTAGCAACAACGGTCGTGAGAGGAACTAAAGAGTAATGAGTATTACAGTCCTTAAATAGAATTCGAGAAAAATAAAGTAATAATTTTTAAAAAATCCTCATAAATTCATTTAAAACAATAAAACAACAAAAAACTACCTGAAAACAATTAAATAAATAATTTAATTGATTCATTGAAAATTCCAATGCTAAACGAGTTAACATATTGAATATATTTTTAATGATAGTTTCATGTTTACCAATTTGTGATTCCCATATAATATCTAAATCATCTGATGTTAATAATAATTTTCTAATCATAAAACGTATTATCTCTTCAACTTTTTCCACATATTGTAATTGATGCAAATTTTCACGAAGTAATAATTTTAATAACTATAGATAAAGAGAAAGAAAGAGAGAGAGAGAGAGAAATAGGATAAAACAACAACATCAAATATTGAGGAATAATATCGAGTGTTTTATAATGTGAAACATTATTATTATTAGTTAATACAACATCATTCACTATTTACAGGTTTGTATATCTACTCAAATTTAAGCCCCATTGTTTGTTTCTCTCTGTGTATGTGTGTGTGAAGGTTGATGATAATATACGACTGTGAATATCGTAGTAATCAGAGCTGAGTTCGAAGATCTACCCTAAATGTCTAAAATGTGAACACTTTATAAACTAACATACCGTTTCACTATAAAATTTTGTTTAAAATTAATTTTATATACTTGGTGATAAATTTATCAAGTTTGAAGAGACCGATTTGCCTATTCGATATGTTTGAATAAGGTTTTGGAGATTACTAAATTGTTTTTATTGAGATCATGAACTGACTGATGTTAGACCACCTTTGGAAACCTGGAAGCACTGAACCGTTGTTGCGTTCCATTGTGGGACTCCTCAAACGTGCACATCCACGATCTCGCGCGCGAACACCAGAATATACTTTGTTCAAATAAGTCAAGAGAATCTGGTGGTACAGTGAAAATGTACATTGTCTACGTTTATTGAGAACTTTTTTATGTAACCTAGTAACCAATAGCAACATTTTCAACTCAAATTGGAGTCAAATACTTTTGTAAGTAGCAACTATCCAGCCGTTTGAAAATATTAAAATAAATAGAGTTTTAACCAACAGCTGTAACGATTGAAAGTCAAATATTCTTGTGATGTCAGTCTGGGTGTAAAAGGTCGGATCTACAACGCGTCGGTGAGAGCAGTTCTGCTCTATACTTGTGAAACTTGGCCTTTCCTAGTTGAGAATGTTATACGACTCTCCGTGTTTGATCATCCTTGTCTTCGAAGGATTTCTGACATCCAGTGACAACACCATGTCAGTAATGCGGAGGTTCGGTATCGTGTGTTCGGGCACAGAGACGATAATCTAATCGGTGTCACCATATTGAAACATCGACTTCGGTGGCTTGGACATATTATACGAATATAGTCCTACAGAATTCCACGTCGTGCATTATTTGCTGACACTGGGTCCTTTTGGAAAAAGAGGAGAGGTGGTCAGTGTATGACATGGTGTCGTGGTATGAAAGAAAGCTGCAAAGGGCTGGCTTGTGTTGGTCCTTCACGACTCCCTGGTTGGGGTCCGAGAGGTGGTGCGACACAGTGGCTAGAGACGTTATCAGATATGTCTCAGAATAGAAGCCAGTGGCGATCCTGTTGTAACCTTCTTTTACTTTCTTCATAAGAGTGGTTGTATCTTCCTTAACTGAAAGATTTCTTCTGGTTGTACCTTTCCGTTTCCTCCATTATTATTATTATTATTATTGTTATTATTATTACTACACTACCTTACACTAATCTGGTCGTTATTGTTCTTTTTTTCTTTTATCCTTCTTACCTTCTTTTCTCTCTTCCCATTCTCATTGTTTTGTGTGACGCATATATATATGGTGCCCTCTTGTATCAATATTTATGTGTTCAAATAAAAAATAATAATTTAAATCCACTAGTAAATCAAGATAGATAGTTCTTCAAACTTCCCGAAAAAGTAGCCAAACGCTTTAACGGTAATTATGCAAACTAGGGTTAGCGACCCCATGCCGTATAAAACTAACTCGCTAAAAAAACGCTAACCAGAAAAAATTATTCAAACCTTTTAAACTCTGCCCTGGGAGTCAGAAGGTCTTCATTTAGAAGAACTATGACGCCTCATGATGAAAGCCGAGTTCCTTAGGAAGTCACGAGGCCGATGCTCTTTCTGACAACCAGAGCAACCATTTATTTAGGTAGATGAAATACTCGTATAATGTGGGAGACCGGGAGAGTCTTCCAAATTGCTGCAGAAATGAGGAGATACAACCTAAAGGTGCTTGGGATCAGTGAAACACATTCGACGCAAGTTCGCGACAACGACTAGAATCAGGGGAGCTTCTGCTATACTTCGGCCATGATGAAGAAAATGCCTCATATACGCAAGGAGTTGTATTGATGCTGTCCAAACAAGCACAAAATGCACTTATAGGATGGGAATCTCATGGACCAAGGATCATCAAAGCCTCCTTCAAAACAAAGAAAGAGAGAATTTCAATGAACATCATCCAATGCTATGCGCCTACCAACGACTACAATGAAGACGCTAAAGATCAATTCTACGATAGGCTGCAGTCAATCATCGAGAAGTGCCCAACAAAGGACCTGACCATTCTGATGAGAGATTTAAATGCCAAGGTTGGAACGGACAACACTGGATATGAAGACATCATGGGACGACACGGACTGAGAGAAAGGAACGAAAATGGAGAGAGATTTGCAAATCTATGTGCCTTCAATAAACTGGTCATAGGGGGCACTATATTCCCACATAAACGCATACACAAAACCACATGGACTTCACCGGATAACACTACGCAAAACCAAATCGACCATATCTGCATCAACAAAACGTTCAGGAGGACGATGGAAGACGTGAGAACCAAGAGAGGAGCTGATATAGCATCAGATCATCACTTGCTGGTCGCCAAGATGAAATTGAAACTCAAGAAGCACTGGACAATGGGGCGGACAATATCACAAAAGTTCAATACGGCCTTTCTTCGGGATACTAACAAACTCAACAAATTCAAGATAGTCCTCAGCAATAGATTCCAGGCCTTTCATGATCTACTCAATGGAGAAGGAACTACTATGGAGAGCAACTGGAAAGGGATCAAAGAGCCAATCACTTCAAAATGTCATGAGGATTTGGGTCACAAGAAGCACCATCACAAGGAATGGATCACTGTTGATACACTGGATAAGATTCAAGAAAGGAGGAACAAGAAGGCAGCAATCAATACCAGCCGAACAAGAGCAGAAAAAGCCAAGGCACAAGCTGAATACACAGAAGTAAACAAACAGGTGAAGAGGAGCATCAGAACCGACAAACGTAAATATGTGGAAGATTTAGCAACGACGGCGGAAAAGGCTGCAAGAGAAGGAAACATGAGACAACTGTATGACACGACAAAGAAACAATCTGGAAATCGCCGCAAACCAGAACGACCAGTGAAAAGCAAGGAAGGCGAGGTAATCACCAACATTGAAGAACAACGAAACAGGTGGGTAGAACACTTCAAAGAACTCGTGAATCGACCAGCCCAACTGAACCCACCCATATCGAAGCAGCACTCACGGACCTCCCAATCAATGTTGGCCCACCAACAATTGAAGAAATCAGCATGGCCATCAGACAAATCAAGAGTGGCAAAGCAGCAGGACCAGACAACATTCCAGCAGAGGCACTAAAAGCAGACGTAGCGGCAACTGCAAGGATACTCCACATTCTCTTCAATAAGATTTGGGATGAGGAACAAGTACCAACAGACTGGAAAGAAGAACTTCTGATCAAAATACCGAAGAAAGGCGATCTCAGCAAGTGTGATAACTACAGGGGCATCACTCTTCTCTCAATACCGGGAAAAGTCTTCAACAGGGTATTGTTAAACAGAATGAAGGACTGCGTAGACGCCCAACTTCGTGACCAACAGGCAGGATTCCGTAAGGATAGATCGTGTACAGACCAAATCGCAACTCTACGGATCATTGTGGAACAATCAATTGAATGGAATTCATCACTCTACATCAACTTCATTGACTACGAAAAAGCATTTGATAGCGTGGACAGAACAACACTATGGAAACTTCTTCGACACTACGGCGTGCCTCAGAAGATAGTCAATATCATATGGAATTCCTATGATGGATTAAACTGCAAAATTGTGCATGGAGGACAATTGACAGACTCGTTCGAGGTAAAGACCGGTGTCAGGCAAGGTTGCTTACTCTCACCCTTTCTCTTTCTCCTGGTGATCGACTGGATCATGAAGACGTCAACATCTGAAGGGAAGCACGGGATACAGTGGACATCTAGGATGCAGTTGGACGATCTAGACTTCGCAGATGATCTGGCCCTTCTATCCCAAACGCAACAACAAATGCAGGAGAAGACGACCAGTGTAGCAGCAGCCTCAGCAGCAGTAGGTCTCAATATACACAAAGGGAAAAGCAGGATTCTCCGATACAACACAGAATGCACCAATCCAATCACAATTGACGGAGAAGATTTGGAAGATGTAAAAACCTTTACGTATTTGGGCAGCATCATTGATGAACAGGGTGGATCTGATGCAGATGTGAAGGCGCGGATCGGCAAAGCAAGAGCAGCATATTTACAACTGAGGAACATCTGGAACTCAAAGCAACTGTCAACCAACACCAAGGTCAGGATTTTCAATACAAATGTCAAGACAGTTCTACTGTATGGGGCGGAAACCTGGAGAACTACGAAAGCCATCATCCAGAAAATACAGGTGTTTATTAACAGTTGTCTACGCAAAATACTTCGGATCCGTTGGCCGGACACTATTAGCAACAATCAACTGTGGGAAAGAACAAACCACATCCCAGCGGAGGAGGAAATCAGGAAGAAGCGCTGGAAGTGGATAGGACACACATTGAGGAAAGCACCGAACTGCGTCACAAGACAAGCCCTCACATGGAATCCTGAAGGTCAAAGGAAAAGAGGAAGACGAAAGAACACATTACGCCGGCAAATGGAGATAGACATGAGAAAAATGAACAAGAATTGGATGGAATTAGAAAAGCAGGCCCAGGAAAGAGTAGGTTGGAGAATGCTGGTCGGCGGCCTATGCTCCATTAGGAGTAACAGGCGTAAGTAAGTAATGCAAACTATCGCGGGTTTATTTAAGAACTCGAGAAGTTATTGCCAAATGTATTACCAGATGAAGCGGAATTTACTTGCTTAGTAAGATATTGCACTGGTCCAGCAGCACGTGCGATTAAGTGTGTATTCTTGACAGAATCCAAAATTTGTGCGCATAAGTAAGAGAGATTCCCAACGAGTGGTTTGGAAGGCCGCATACGATTGTTAAAAAAAAATTGAAGTGATAAAGGGAATGATGATTTGAATGAAGTGACTAGTTTCTTGGAAAGCTTATTGAAACAGAAATGCTGTGATATGATTGAACTTATATTCGAAACAGGACAAGCGTCTTCCAACTCGGGTGCAGAGAAAATGGATTAAAATCAGTGTAGATACAGAGGAGTCGGACGAAGAAAACGAACCTAAACTTTCAGATGTATTTCAGTTGACTGGTGTTACTCAATAATTGACCTCACTTTCATTGACATCGCCATTACCAATCTTCAACAGAGGATGAGTTTTACATCCGTACAGCTTAGTTATCATTAACATAGCCACCTTTCAGATAGCGAAAACACAAACGTTACCACCCATGAAGTCTAATCTTTGTTGTAAGGTAAAGCTGAAAAATTTAGCACATTCATCTAGGTCGCGACAAGTGGTACATATAAAACATATGTTCCTTCGATTCACAAGGTGGTTTGCACTTTTAACATAAGATCTTTCCTTGGAGGATGAAAGCTTATATATAGATCGAGTTGGTTGTACCGATCCCGTTTTAAAACTAAGCGGTTATTTTAAGAACTGCTTAACCTAGTCTCTGTACTATACTTTTGCCCAAGTGCTTGCATAAACTAATGAAATGTGATAACTGAAACCAATCGATTAATCATACATAACGTAGGACTTGGCAAATCTGAACATCAGTTTAAATTAGCATACCCTATTAACATAGCTAGATAAAACTGTCTGGGTAAATCCCAGAATAGTAGATGTAGTAACTGAAATATGATCATACAAGTCACTTCTCCAACATAATAACCACTTAAATAATAATTTACCTTAATATCTGTAATCCACTGACCAACCCGTAATGAATTAGTATTAGGTAATAGACGAATTAATTCGTTCAGTGTGTTCATTTTCCCATTGAAAGAAGATAGCTGTAAAAGCAGAATAGTTTCCTTTTTGTTTTAACATGAATCAAATAATTACCACCAATCATTAAGTATACAAAACTTTCAAAAGTTTGGTTATTCAACGATTAAAACATGTCATACATACTATGAAATTTCTTCAAGCATTTTCTGGACTAAACCCTCTTGAATGTATATACTACTATATAATGTATTCACTGAGAACTTCTGATAAGCGGAAGTACTTGTTTTTGTTTTTTCGTGAGTGACACAAATTCTAACAATTGAACAATGAATTTTAAATGAAAGTGATAATCTGAGAACGGTGGGTGTGTTAACAATTCAACCCTTCAATATTTCTGTAATTCAATGACACTAAATTGGACGCTAGTCGTTAACGAACATATAATCACCACGAAGTTACAGGATTTTATGGAAGCTTAGTACATTCTTGATATGTTTGTCAAAGTCAAACAGATCACATGTTGACTCAAGACCATAGGATAAAGTGGATTATTTATTTAGCTAAGATTGCCGCCCACAATATCCCGTTCAGTCTAGCAACCAATAAATTTACATGAGTTATAAATGTTATTATTCAGCTGTCAAATAAAGCACAAAGTCTTAGTTTTCTCCCACTGAATAGCTAATTAACTGAGAGTTAGGAACATAACAATGACTGAACCAATCAAACCCCAGGTCATGAGAGTTCTAAAGAATAATTTTCATTTCAAACTGATATTAGCAACGGAATTGCCGAAAACTAGTTATACTCTGGCATGAATTTTCAATAAATATTTTTCAAAAATATACAATGACAGGTTGCAGTCATTGGCACTGATGTTTATTTCTTACGAAAATGTGTGGTAAACAATTCAGAGTAGTGTTGACCTACGCTGTCAATTTCAATTTAGATTCACGAGAAACTCGGTAGAGAACATTCTACAACTAGAAAAATAAATAAGTCAGGAAATGGGAGAGAACATTGAGTATGTGTAAAAGCTTTCTTTCAATTAATGTAATTCTTTTCCTACAAAAATGTGCGGAAACATTTTATGGTGACAATTTATCATGTAGGGTGAGAGAGAGGAGAAAAAACGATTATATACATACTTTGTATAGATATAACTTATTTTACAAAATCCAAGGCACATCAGTCCTTATGAATCCCAAAACACTCTTCATTTATGCCGAAATACTTGCCTACATCTCTGTCTCCATTCCTCATAATAACCCATGGAGTTCCTTAGAAAGCCATAGTCTTCAAATGGTTCGATGTTTCACATTTTGTTGGAATTGTGCGCACAGACGAGTTTTTCTAATTCAGTTTATCAGCAATTATCCAGACAGTGAGCTGACAGTCAGAATGAGCAAGAGAATGCGCATGTACTAGGCAAAAAAGTGACGCAGTTATATGCAATCACCACCATAGCAAGAATTTGAAACCAGAACCTTGGGTTGTCGTAGGGATTACAATACTTTTTAGCCAAATAGTTAAAATGTAATCATTCACATTCTAGATTTTAGCTAGTTTTTAGTATAGTAGCATCTTTTATTTCCATAGTTTTCCTTTAGTCGATATCATCTCGTGATGGATATTACCTCCAAGTTATGTGAGAACTTTACAAGACCAGTTAAATTCATACAACTAAGGTATGTATGATTTTACAGTTGAAAACATCTTATGAGTTAATATCAAGTGAAATACACTGCTTGCATTCACAATAAAAAGATCCAAATATTTCTTATCTACTATATACCCTGTAACAATTGTGAACAAAAATTAATTTTAAAAAACTTTCTATAAACAACACCGACTTACTCAACTTACCTGAAAGAAACGATAGATTAAATTAAGACTGAGTAATTCAATTGTCTCAATATCATCTTCTGTTGATGATGGAATACGTTTTATTAATGTACATAAAGACAGTTTCAAACTAGTGATGAAATCATCTTTACGCAGTTCCTTTTTAGTTTCACGTTTAATTTGATCATCAGTTAAATGAGACAAATAATTGACAATAATAGTCTGTTAAATAAAAATTTCAATAATATTAATATTAATAATAATAATAAAGTAGTCAAAAGGGTGAAAATAATCCAAATCCATTTTTTGATTTTGTTTAAACATAAACATTGGTACAAGGAGGCACCAAATAGATATGTACCACGTAAATCATTCGGTTTATGTGAGAGTTGGCATACTATCCGGGTGCCCGAACCGAACCAGGTGGTTTTCTTAGGAGGCCACAACCCGAGCCTTTGACCTAAACGTCTGATCCACAATGCAGTGGAGCAACGTCAGGAGATGCACTACCATGGTTGCTAGTGACCAACAATTGGTTCATACGCCATTTGATCCCTCAGGATCCTGTAGTCCATGTGCACCATTAATTTGGAATCAGGTTTTTTTAAGTCCCCTAGGTGGATCCTCTGTATCCACCAACCCGGTTAAAGCACCGGACGTTCGCTTTTCATCCTCTCCATCTTGTAAACAGTAATTCCGCGAGAATGCAGTGTGTAGGACTTCTCTTACAGTGGTTGTATGCACGTAATCATGTGAGAGCATTTCGAGAGAGTGGCTCTCCCCACTCTCGGCCGTACCAGTAATCAGTGATAACATCCACACACTGACCAATACCTTGAATAATAATCTAAATGAAATTTTTTAGGAATTGTTCTACACTGATTTCCTCACCTTTTTTCAAGAAAAATACATAGTCTTAATATAGGTGAAAATGAATCTTCAGGGTTTTTTTAGAAACGTTTCCTTTATAAATAACAATCTAAGAGCAATATTATGGTACAAATTTTTTCAGATTGAATCCGATACATTAAACCCCGCATATTTACTAGGTCAAAGTCCAAGGATACTGGACATTCTCTATAAATATTCGTGTATTGTTCACTGTATTGTTGTCAATAGAATTTTGAGTTTTTTCCTATACAATATGCACTTTTTAGGAATGTCCAGGTAGAACGTTTTCCCCTATTGGTTTCTATGGTTATCCAACTGATGTCCAGTCATTAACGCATTCAAGTAATATAAGGGCAAAAAATAAATAAATATCCCAGTGACTTTAGTTTAACAACTTACCACTATTGGTTTGAAATATTCTTCAACTACTGAGTCACTTAAATAATTTGAACATAAAGCAAAAGGATGTAGATAAGCATGTATTAGACCAAGTGATAAGAATTCTGTCTGATCACTTGATTGTTGTTGTAGCTGCTGTTGTAACATATCTCTTTGTTGCTGATCCCAGTGGTACTTGTTATTTAACTCAAGGAAACGTGCTTTCAATCGATCGAATCCACTGAATCGTCCAAACAGATTAATAAAATCCACTAGAATAGGTGCATCCTTATAATTTGCATAAGAAATAGAATATTCCTTTATTTGAACAGTATTGTATAGTGTCAGAGGATCATTATTCTCCAAGGGATTACTATCTTCTTCTATTTGTCCTGGTTGTTGCTGACACGTACTGTCGTTTTCGTTTGACATTGATATATGTGGCAATAATTTAATAATATCTTCAAATCGACATACAACATTTCTATGAACACCATAACGAATTTCGTGTGTTACACTAGTGGAAATCATACTACGTGTGTGAAACCTAAATGGAAAAGTGTACAGAGAGAAAGAAAGATAAAATAGGAAATGAAGGTGAAGTAAAAATGAATATTATAGTGATTAAGAAATTCTCAATCTCGTATGGAGCATCACTAACCGATAAAATACAAACCCTTAATATAACATTATTACGCTGCTAAACACCAGGAAGATAAAACTCAATTGTAGTAGTTAAATAAAAACGAAGAAACAATCATAAAGAAATTTGCTATGATTAGTGGTATACTTACTTACTTACTTACGCCTGTTACTCCATACGCCGCTTACCAGCATTCTTCATCCAACCCTGTCCTGGGCAATCCTTTCGAGCTCCTTCCAGTTGTTATTCATCCTTTCCATATCTGCTTTTATTTCCCGACGTAATGTGTTCTTTGACCTTCCTCTTCTCTGCTCCCCCTCAGGATTCCAAGTTAGGGCTTGTCTCGTTGTGCAGTTTGACGATTTTCGTAGTCTATGTCCTATCCATTTCCATCGCCTTTTCCTAATTTCCTCTTCATCTGGAAGCTGGTTTGTTCTCTCCCACAAAAGGCTGTTACTGATGGTACACAGCCAATGGATGTTGGGTATCTTGCGTAGATAACCATTTATAAATACTTGTACCTTCTTGATGGTGGTTGTTGTAGTTCTCCAAGTTTCAGCTCCGTACAGTAAAACTGATTTAACGTTCGTATTGAAGATTGTGACTTTGATATTGGTTGAAAGTTATTTTGAGTCCCATGTGTTCTTCAATTTTAGGAATGCGGCCCTTGCTTTGCCAATCCTCGCCTTTACGTCCGCATCTGGACCTCCTTGTTCATCCATGATGCTTCTTCCCAGGTATGTGAAGGATATATACGATGCATCAGTTCAAGTTGGTTTTAATAAAAGGATGCAGGAATGAAAACTGACTCTAAATTGAATCATTTCCACAAACCCTCTTGATGGAAACTTACTGGCGAACCCATGTCTTAAAAATAACCACTTGGTTACCATAGAATAAATTGGAAATGGATTCCTGAAGTTCCAATGAGAAACCATGGCCAATTTGTTAGAATGGTGATAGAAGAATATATATAACCAGTGATGATAGTGCTGGATTGCGAATTAACTTGACTTGGGAACATGAACGTACGGATTCTGACCGTGGTATAAATGCATCGTATTCACTGTGAAACTTGAACAACCTGGATGTGATCCCGTGAGTGAGCGCTGACAATGAATCATAAACTGAGACAAAACGGGTATTTAGTTCTTTTGGAGTTTTCTTGATTCTACCTTAGAAAGTTACATTAAAGTTTGTACTCGCACTACTAATGAACTAAGGCCAAACATGGAAACCACTGAGTTTTCCTCTTTACTTTAGTTGTTAAAAAGATAGACAAGAACTTACTGTGAATTAGGATCGAATAGGATACTTTCCAATTCTAATATTGCTAGGCAATCAGATTTTGCTTTTATGGAACACAGTTCAATACCCAGTAAAGAGTTGGCGTAAATAAAATGCTTTGTTGAAAAAGAAAGGGAAACGGTGGTAGACATAAAGCAACTAATGAATACATACTAAGATATGTGAGTCCCAGCGAGTAACTGCATCATTATGAAATATTTTCTGAAAAGAACTAATTAAACCATCTGAATAAAATCGTAAACAATCTTGTGAGTGAATATCTTCACCTGAAAAAATTGCAAAAAAAAGATATTTAGAAACAAATGAATATGATTACGAAACCATGTTTAGCCATATTGATTGATGCCAATAGTACAGTTTCCAATTGTGAATCTGGTAGAACAGGTACTTGCCAATGTGGTCGCGATAACAAAGAATTTAAAGTGTTGAATGCATGCACTGGAAATAATGTTGGCGATGATGATTTCAGGTATGTTGAACATGTATTTTCAGTATTTATTACATCTGAAATAGGATTGTTTAGAGAGCTTTCTGATGGAGTATCGCTGAACAGTTGATCTTGTTTGCTGTTACTAACATTCATGATGAACGAACCTAAAAATGAAAAAACCAAGGTTTTAGAAGAACTAAATAAAAATGTGGGAAATGTAGCTTAACACTATTTTCAATATTAGAAAAAACTACACAATCGCATCCATTTTTCAGCAATGAATGAGCTTAAGCCAACGACTATTTACAGGTTTATGCACTAATCTATTAATTTATTCTAACACATAAATATTGGTACAAGGGGGCACCGGATACATATGCACCACACAAGTCACGTGATTTGTGTGTGGGCTGTTATACTGCTCGTGTGCTCAAACCGAAGCAGGTGGTTTTCTCAGGCCACAAATTGAGCCTCCGACGTAAAGGTCTGATCCACAATCCAGTGGAGCAACGTCAGGAGATGCACTACAATAGAAGCCGGTTACCCAACGATTGATTCATACGCCGTTTGTTTCCTTAGGATCCTGGAGATGATGTACACCATTGGTTCGCAATCAGCGTTTTACAACTCCCCTAGGTGGATCCTCCGTATCCACGAACCCGGTTAAAGTGCCGGATATTTGCTTTCCGAACTCTCGATTCCCTAAACAACAGTAATTCCGCGAGAATGTAGTGTGTAGGACTTCCCTAGTAGTGGTTTTATGCACGTGGCCATGTGAGAGCATTCGGAGAGGGAAAGAGGACTCTCCCCACCCTCGGCCGTACCAGGGCGTTTTGGGGGCAATTAATCCAATTGCCACAACTGTATGAGAAAGCCTGCAATCGAAAATGAGGCCTATACTAAGCTATTACAGTTCTATCTTACCGTGTGCAAACGAAAAATAGTCAGCTGTCTGAATGATAATTGCAGAATGATCACAAATAACGTATAATACAACAAAGCAACTACCAACAAGTTTGCATGAATTAAGCAGACGGAATACACCCACTTAGAGACAAAAGCAATAAAGATCGGGTTAGTGAAGTCTTTTAGGCAAATTAGTTTTAAAAGCTGTACAATCAGGAATATACATTTATTTTTCGAAATGATTGTTTGCTAACAATAATCGTGATAATAATAATTTCCTAGCTCTAACAGAAGTACAATAAACAAAGGCACAAACATGTTACTCTCATTAAGGAAATAAGAATGAAGTGATTAAAAGCATGATTGTTAATTAAGAAAGTTATTAATTAAGACAAATGATTCCGTAACATGAAAAAATAAAATCTAATTAGGAAAAGCAGAGGCAAATAATTAGGTTGGGGTGGATTAAAAGATTAATAGAGGAGACAGTAGAAATACAAATTGGGACTATATTATGAGTCCAAAGTCAAATTTATTACAGGAATGTCAAATAAAGCCGGTTAAAGTCCCTTACTGTATCGCTTGGTCATAAGCAACGTAACACCGACACAAATACGTAACAGTTCGTTTCCACATTACATCACCATGTCGATATGAGATCACTAAGATGAACATTGTAAGAGGCGTCTAGATTACCAAACAATAAGGTCATCTACGGAATTTTACTACATCCTAATGACTAGATTAGAGTAATCATGCCGGAGACACCGTTTTAGTAACTATAGGTATTCTTAACTAGAATGGAAGTGGACGTTCCAACATCCTAGTTTTTTTTAGACGGTCTAGTGCTTCGGGGAAAACCGTTACTGGTGAATTATATCCATGTAATCTGCAGAAAGAAAACTGCACAACCTAGACAATAATAGATACTAACCTCTCCTATAACCTACCAAAGCTAAAAGATGTGGACAAAAACTCCAGCCTCTAAAAGACACCATGAAACCAATGCAGAAGAGGAGGGATAGGTCTCCCTTCACGTAAAGTCCAATCAGGAAATTTGGTGTATTATAAGTACCAGAACAAACAACACTCTAGAAGTACTGTCCTTCCCAAAGTTGAACTATAAAAATTATAGCTTGGTGGTCGATTTCTAATCACCGAGTTAAAGGTTTAGACCTAGCTCCGCTTTCTTCATATCAGGCACCCAGCTAGATCTAAAAATTCGTAACTCAGGGCGGTGAATATTCTCCAGTAATATTACTGGAGAAAATAGGTTCCGACCAACAATTGAATCGTTTAATAGGTAGATTAATCAGAAGATATTTTTCGCCATTATTAACACATCAATCAACCTACCATCTTTCACTCCCGAACAAAAAATGGTCTGTAGGAATCATCATTACCTAGCTCTATATGAAACCTGACACCTTCAAAGAACATTTAGATAGCAGTTGTGTCACTTATAGTAAAAATGAAGCAAGGAACTTTGTGAATGTGAACAACAAACCAAACCAACCACTCGGATTAATTCAAAGTAACGACTCCATGTGAAGTAACCGCGGCGTAGTGAGATTATAGATTCAAATGGTTCAAATGTTTCAAATGGTTGTGGACGGAATAGAAGAAGCTTTCGCTTAACAGGCTTCAGTGTCTAGCAGCAGGGGATCACTAAATCCTCCAGGTAGGAGCCTAGGTATGTTAACAATAAAAGAGGAAAAAGAAATTGGTAAATCATAGTATGGTGCTGTCCTTGGTCCTTAAGAATAGATCAAGTTGCCTCTTGAAGGACTCCTGGGAAGTCGCTTGAACTAGCTCGGCCCGCAGCGAGTCTCAGCATTTGACAACTCTTAAGGAGTAGAAGTTATGTCTACACTCCGTTTTTCTATGTTGTGTCTCTGATTTCTGGGTGTTACCCCTTAGTTTAGTGTTCGAACTAAGCTTAAGTAGGTGTTTGAGAGGATTCCCAGAAGTGTTAAGGATACTGTAAGCCATTAGAACGTCACCTCTAAGACGTCTATAATCTAATGGGTAAAGGTTAAATGATTGGAGGCGCTCTTCATATGGTTTGAATTTGAGTCCCCGAACTGATTTCATGGCTCGCCGTGGAATACGCTCCAGAGTGTCCTTATCCTTTTGGAGTGAGGGGGGAAGTACTATATTTCCGTACTCTAAATGGGGACGTATGAAACTATTGAAAATTGTATGGAAAGTTCTTCCGTCAAACTGTTCGAAAATGCGCTTCAATGTTACCAGTGCATAGTTTGCTCAAAAGGCATTTTTGTCACAGTCAGCATAAGACTTTAAATCATGGGGCACCAGGACTCCTAAATCTTTTTCGACTCGGGATACTACTAGAGAGGAGTTTCCCAAGTTATAACTGTAGTCTGCGACATGTCGCAGATGAACTACTTTATACTTTGAAGTGTTAAAGGTAAGTCCGTTATCGTCTGCCCAACTTTGAAGTCGAGTCAGATCCTCCTGAAGTGCCTGTATATCGTCTTGATTGCGTATCTCTCTCCAAAGTTTAACACCATCGGCAAAGAGTAATAATTCTGACGTTACCTGTTGAGGAAGATCATTTATGTAGGTCAAGAAAAGAAGAGATCCTAGTACTGAGCCCTGGGGGACCGCACTAGGACATTCCATAGCCTGAGATAAAGTGAAATTAACCCTGACCTTAAAGTGTCGATTTTTCAGGTATGAAGTAAGCCAATCGATTGGACGTTGTCTGATACCTAGTCGTTTGAGCTTATTGATAAGACATGTATGGTTAACCTTATCAAAAGCTTTTGAGAAATCAAGGTAGATGATATCAACCTTTCCCTTGCAATCGAGGATGCTTGTCCATCTGTCCACCGCAGTCAGCAGGTTGGTTATACAAGAGTAACCCTTCCTGAAACCATGCTGTTGGGGTGAGAAGAAATTTAAGGACAGTAAACAGTCATTTAAACCGTCGCATATCAGGGACTCCATGAGTTTTGAAGGTAATGACAGAAGAGCCACCGGTCGGTAACTTGAAGGTTCGCTGCGTCGACCTCCTTTGAAAATTGGTGTGATGTGAGCCAACTTCCAATTTTCCGGCAGTTTTCCTCGGCTTAGCGAGCGTGAGAACATCACGCTAAGCGGTGTTGCCAGGATTGAGGCTGCTTCCCTCAGTATGGCAGGATGGACCATATCCGGGCCAGGAGAAGTATCTAATCTTAAGTGCTGCAATTTCCGGAACACCAAGTCAGCGCTTAGGTCTACTTCGGAAAGTCCTGTGGAGTTGCAGATGAAACTGTCGTCAGTAAAGTTGATGTCAGCCGGTTGAAATGTTTGAGAGTAATGTGCCGCCAGAAGGTCAGCGGCGTCGCCATCGTTGTTGGTCGGGCCGTTAAGACCTACCAGTTGAGAAACTCCTGTTTTGGCTTGACGAAGAGAGGCTGCATAACGGAATAGGCTTCTAGGGTTAAAGGCAAATTTGTCCATAAGCTTTGTTTGGTACTGAAGCCTGTCTTCTCTTATAGCCTTCGTGCATATGTCCCTTATATGTTAATATTGCCTGTACGCTCCGTCATCGTCAGTTCGTTTGTATTCTGCCCAGCAGTGCCTTTCGCGGCTTAGCAGCTGAAAGATACGGTTCTTGATTATTGTAGGTGGCTTGCAGCTTTTGGGAACCGTTTGAGGAACTGAATGGTTTGTAGCACATAAGAGCGTGTGCAGTAAGAAGTCCCAATAACCGTCCGAATCGATTTGAGAGTGAACATCCCAAAATACCTGTTGTATATAGCCGTGTAGAGCTGGCACATTCAGCCGTTTAAAATTCCAACGCAAGTTGTTGGTAGGATACCTTAGCTGAAGGGTATGACGGCATGATCGCTTTTTCCTAAGGGAACCAGGATTGAGAGGTGTCTGACTGTTTCTCCAACGAGTTGCCGACCTCACATTTTCGTATAATCCCAAGTCATCGATGAGGTTGGAGAACCGAGCTTCAATTGATTTATCGCCTCCAGTATACATGTATTCCGCGAAGTTGACTCTAGGTAGATTGAAGTCCCCTAGAATCAGAATGTGTGTGAAACCGAGACGAGTAAAGCGGTATAGTCCTTCCGCAACTCCTTCCAGCATACGACTATTGTACTCGATGTCGGCAGTGGGCTTCCTGTAAATGACTCCGACTAGAGACCTAGAAGTACTAGACAATCTTGCAGAGCACCATATGGATTCCTTAGGATTGTTAAACTCGAGGTTATGAACTTAGTGCACCT